ATATCAAATAGTATGCTTTTTTTTTTATTGCATATATATGCACAATATTTTGTTTGTATGATAAATAATGAATATTACACCTATATCTTATTATGCCAATATTTTTATAATAATATAATGAGATTTATATAGTTTAATTATTACTGATTTTATTAATATTATGTTTTTTTATTGCAAATATATGCACAATATTTAATTATGTTAATATAATAAACAAATAATATTTTACAAATTACAAATAATAATAATTATAAATTCCAACTCTTTTTTAATAAAAAATAACTATTGTTTTTTTGTTCCATAGAGCACCAACAAGAATTTAAGGAATAATTATTGTCGTCGTTGACAGGTTTTTCGTATCTCATTTTTAGATACGTAATTTAATATTTTATTTATGTTATCGTTGTCGGTTTTCATATTAAATTTTATATTTTGGATAAAGTGTTGTAAAAAGAAAAAAATCAATGAACTTTTTTGTCGTCATCAATATATCTTTGTCTCGACTTTTAAGCACAATTATTATATCTACTTTAATAACGGTTTAGATGCGATATTGACATATATGTATTTGTTACTACGATATTATCAATATATCATTTTGTTTGAAAGTAATTACATGAACAATTATTATTGCTATTAACAAAATTTTACATTCTATTTTAAAAATAAATATTTCCATTTCATACAAGATATCTTCTATGTCTTTATTCTACTAACCTAATGGAGATTACAATTTATAATTGTTTTATGTTTTTGTTTTGAGGTATTAAAAATTGCAAAAATATTATTGGAAATGATATTTTTTATGTTTTTTTTTTTTATTTATATACTTTTACTACTACTACTATTATTATTATTAATTTTTGTATAAAAATAGAATTATGTATATGAATAAAAACTAAACAAATATATAGATACATAGATCGATGGAAATACTCAGAAGCAATAAGTATTCAGTGTAGGATTTTTTTTTTTTATTATTTTCTCACTTTTAGTTTTACCTTTGAACCAAAAAAAAAACTTCACTAAGTAACTATATACTTCTAATTTTATTTTATTTTTTAATTTGTATCTATGACTTTATAAATGCCACTACCAAAAAAATAATATATTTGTAACGGAATTTCGTCCCTAAAGTTCACGTAGCTAATGTAATTTCGTTCATAATTCCGTCTCTAATGACATTAGTAACAGAAAAAAGTAGATTTAGAGACAAAAAAAAAGTTTTGTTACAAAAATAATTTTTTTTTTTTTTTTTAAAGTGTGCTGACACTTGATTTCATCACTCTGCATTTCTGTTTCGCATCCAAACAACACACCTCCTAGCTCACCCTTCTTTCATCTTCATCTTCATCTTCTTCTTTCAGAAATGGAGTTGGGAGAGAGCAATGCTGCAGGCTTCCATGGCTATGGCACCAACACCGCTGCTCCTGCTGGTAACCATTAACCCAACTCTATATACATTTTTTTTTTTTAAAGTATTAAATTTTTGCTGCTAGCTTAGATATCATTTTTATGTGTTAGTTTTATTTGCCAAGAACTTTCTGTCTTTAATATGCAAATTATAAAGACCAATTAATCAAACCCTAAAATTGACCAAAATAATAAATTAATCTTTTTCCATAAATCGTAAAATCGGTACAGTCTGACAAAATTAGGGAATACAAACATCAAAGTGAAAATTTAATCAAACCAAGAAAAACAAAATAAAGAAAAACCAGTGGTTGCATTTAGGGTTTAGGGTTATTAGTGAATAGAGTTAAAAGAATGGAAGAAGTGAAGAAACAAGTGTCAAACATGCAGCCCATGACCCCACACCATATCTAACTTGTCTACTAATTAGCCCATTGCAATAGCATCGATCACACACACAAATACTAGTTTTTTTTTTTTTTTTTTTAATGACGTGGAGCACGCAGTCGTTATCCGAAAGTGCGTATTGGGTAAACCCCCGGCCGAACCTAATACTCTGCAAACCAAGTTCGACAGAAAAGTCACTCTAAACGAACCATGTGTAATAGGTGACCTGAGGCGTCGGGGGTTTGTTCTTTTGAATTAATCTTATATGTAGGATGCAGGGTAAATATGAAATTCTAACTACTCCCTCCGTCCCGAAACTAAATATTAATTTGCTTTTTGCATGTAGCTTTAGAAATATTAGTATTATATTAGGATATAGTAGGAATAAAGTAGAAATGACTAAAATAACTTTATTAGTATGTGTGATATAAAAGTAATGGCATCTGTGTAATAAATTATAAGTTGTAAGGGTATTTGTAATGTTAGGTAGATAGTACAGTTACTAAAAAAAGAAATGAATACTTTGCTATGGGATGGACTAAAATGGAAAAATTGATAATTTGTTATGGAATTGAGAGTATGATTTTAGAAAAAAAAGAAAAAGTATTGTTTTTTCTTGATTTGTGGAGTTGAAGTTGGTGGTGGTTCTGCATTGAAGCCATTGGTCTGATTTTGAATGAATTAAAGCAACAAATATATATATATATATATAATTATTTAACTTAAATACATTTTTGTTTTGATATATATATTTTTTTGCTTAGCTAGTCTACACAATTTTATAGCTGAAGAAATATATATTTTGAAATAATTCATATCATGAATTTGCTTGTGTATATTATTTATTATATAATTTTAGATATGTTGCAAAGTTTTCAAAAAGAAATAAAAATTTGAATATATTTTGTTATTTTTTATTTTCAAAGATAGAAGATTGTATAGTAAAATTTGTATTCTTTCGGTCCATCAATTTTCTGTTCATTTGGGTTGAACATTGTAATTATGAATATAATATTACATTAATTAATTATTATATAAAATAAATATATTTTGGGAAATATATGATTAAATTAATAAGGTAAAAACATACTTAAATATGTGTATTTTTGTGACAAGTTATAGTTATGTTTGATTTGTATTCAAACAATAATTTGATTAATAATTTGTAAAAATAATAAAATATTTAAAGAATCGTAAAAATTATTTTGTAAAAAAATTGAAGAAAAACAAAAGATCTGTTGCTTTTCATAAATTTTAATTTGAATGTTCTTGAAAGTTTGTTCATGCATATGTACTAGTGAAGATAAGATGTGCTTAAATTATATTATGTTAATTTATAAATTAAATCAAAATATAGTTTAAATATGATAATCAACAAATATATGTATATATATATATATATTACAAGTATGTCCTAGTAAAAAAATATGTCTAAAATGAATTATTTTGAATTTTTGGTGACCCAATTGAAATGTTAGAGGCACTCCTTCAAATATTATTGTAATTTTATTTATTTTAGACTTTCTACTTTATATATATATATATATAAATATATACTTATTTTAAAGATACACAAAATACATTGTTATAAACATTTGAATAACAATTAAATCATTTTGTCACATAGTATTTTTTTTATTACATATATATACACACAATATTTTGTTTCTATTAATATGATAAATATAGAATATTTCACACATATTTTATTATGCCAATATTTGTTTTTGGAATAATATAGTGCAATTATATAGTCCAATTATTTGTTTTTTTTTTAATATTGTGATTTTTATATATGAATAATATTTTTTTATATTAATATGATAATACATAATATTTTAAAAATTACAAATAATAATAATAATAATAATAATAATAATAATAATAATAATTGTTCTCAATTAAAAAAAATTATATTAAAAATCTAACAAAAACTATTACTAATAGTCGTCTTAACTCTGAATAATAGTTAAATAATTTTGTCAAAGATAGTATTTTTTTTATTGCATATATATATATATATATGCACAATATTTTGTTTGTATAAATAAAAAATTATTCTATACGATATATTTTATTATGTCAATATTTTTAGAATGATATAGTGAAATTATATAGTTTAATTATTGCTGAGTTTTTTTTTTTTTTTAATATTACATTTTTATTGGAAATATATGCACAATATTTCATTATATTAATACGATAAACAAATAATATTTTACAAATTATAATTCTAATAAGTTCTAACTCATTTTGTTTCAACAAAAAATAGCTATTGTTTTGTTCGATAGAACATAGACAAGAAGTTAAGGAACAATTATTGTTGTGTCGACAGGTTTCCGCATCTCATTTATAGATACGTAATTTAATATTTTATTTATATTATCGGTTGTCACATTAAATTTCATATTGTGGATAAAGCGTAAACAAAAAGCAACGAAATTTTCTTTCGTCATCAACAAATCTTTGTGTCCACTTTTAAGTGCGAGATTTTACGACATCCACTTGAATAACGGTTTAGGTACGACGTTGACTTATATATATATATATATTTGTTACTATGATACTACCAATATATAATTTTGTTTGAAAGTAATTAAATGAACAATTATTATTGCTATTTAAAAAATTTTACATTCTACTTTTAAAGTGAATACTTTCATTTCATGCAAAGATATCTATGTCTTTATTCTACTATCCTACATGAAGATTACAATATAGCTTTTGATTTATTAATTACTTAATATAATTTTATAGTATACATGATATAGCTTAACTAATATGTACTAATATTTTTTATGTTTTCTTTTAAGGTATTAAAAATTGCAAAGATATTATTAGAATGGTATTTTTTTATGTTTTTTATATGTACTTTTATTATTTTTATTATTATTATTATTTATAATGTTTCTAAAGAATTGTATAATTGAATAAAAACTAAACAAGTATATATATACATAGATCGACAGAGATATTGAGTCGATCTATTGAGAAGCAATAAGTATTTAGTGTAGGATTTTTATTTTTATTTTTTTTATCATTTTTAGTTTTATTTATATTTTTCAAAAAAATAAAATAAAATATCAGCAAACAACTTCAATTTTATTTTATTTTTTTGTTGATTTTTGTAATTGTATCTCTATAAATGCTGACACTTGCCTTCATCACTCTGCCTTTCTGTTTCACATCCAAACAACACACCTCCCAGCTCACTCTTCTTTCCTCTTCATCTTCTTCATCTTCTTCTCTAGAAATGGAGTTCGGAGCGAGCAATGCTGCAGGCTTCCATGGCTACAACACCAACACTGTTGCTCCTGCTGGTAACCATTAACCAACTCTACACACACATATTTTCTTTTAGGTTTTATTTTTTGTTGCTAGCTAGATATCATTCTTGTCTGTGTTGATTTTATTTGCCAAAAACCTCCTTTTTCTGATCTGCAGATTATGAAAACCAATTGATCAAACCCTAAAACAGACCCGAATAATAAATCGATCCCTTCATAAACATATACATATATACCTACTTAGTAAGATCTGTACTGCCTCACACAATTAGGGTATACAAACACAATGAGAGTGAAAAAATTAGCCAAATTCAAGTAAAATAAAGCAAAGAAAAATTTACATTAGTAGTAATATGTTACTACTGAATAAAGATGAAGAGAATAGATGTAAGAAAACAAGTGTCAAACATGCAGCTCATGACCCCACATCACATCTGATTTGTCTACTAATTAGCCCATTGTAATAACATCGATCACACACACATACTAAGGTTTTTTTTTTTTTTTTAATTTTCTTAATTATATATTAGTATTATTCTAAAAATTTACAATTCTTTTTCATTTCTACATGAAAATCTATCTAACTCTATTAAGTAATTTGTGAGTTGTTTTTCGATTCAGACACTGTTCTTAATTCTCCCTCTCCACTTTCTGTGTTTTTTCTTCAAAATTATACTAATAAATAGTTGGAGAATTAACAATTATGTGTTCTTGGAGCATCAATCTTGTTCTTCATTTTTATCTTCTGTGTTTATCTTTCATGTCAGATGTACAGTAAATATGAAATTCTAACTATGATTTTGAAAAAATAAATAAATATATGTTCTTGATTTGTGGAGTTAGAGCTGGTGGCGGTTCTGCATTGAAGGTATTGGTCTGATTTTGAATGCTTTCAATTAGTATACATGTTTGAGAAACACAAATTTTTTCTGTTTTGAAAATTTAAGAGTTTGTTTGAATTTCATTTATTTCTTTGTTGGATTTCGAGAAATTTTTGAGTCATTTATTTTAAAGTGGTTGATGAGATGGGATGAGGTGAGGAGATATTGATGTGTATAACGTCAGACAAAATTGATACATAGAGACTCTAACAAATTTCTTATTCATCTCTGTGCCCTTCTCAGCTCTCACCAATAGTTTTGTCCTATTATTTGTTTTCATCTTAATTTTACTTCTTGAATTGGGACCTCTGATCCAGTGTCAATCAACCCCATTGAGGTCTGATCTTCAAGTCCCGGTCCATTTATTCATATATCATTTTTTGTATGAGATATATTTATTTATTTATTTATTATTAATAATAAAAATTTGGAGTGAGACGTGAACAGGCACCAAGGCAGCAGACATCAGCATGGGCTTACCTCCTAAACCGAACCAGGCGCCCGGCGGCAACAACAACACCGAGTGCGTGGTCCGGGAGCAAGACCGTTTCATGCCGATCGCGAATGTGATCAGGATCATGCGGAAGATTCTGCCGCCGCATGCCAAGATATCCGACGACGCCAAAGAGAACATCCAAGAGTGCGTGTCTGAATTCATCAGCTTCGTCACCGGCGAAGCCAACGACCGCTGCCAGCGCGAGCAGCGCAAGACCATCACCGCCGAGGACATCCTTTGGGCCATGAGCAAGCTCGGCTTCGACGACTACATCGAGCCCCTCACTCTCTACCTCCACCGCTACCGCGAGTTCGACGGCGGCGATCGCGGCTCGCTCCGGGGTGACCCGCTCGTTAAGCGGGTCGTTGCCGCCGACCATGCTTTCTCGACCCTGCCGCAGACCACTGCATTCCATCACATGATTGCACCGGCGCCGGCGCCGCACCACTCTGGTTTCTATGCCCCGTTGCCGCCCATGGATCTGTTCAAGGATGCCGTGGCCGCTGGACCGTCGTGCATTGAGCCGCCGCCGCCGCCGCTGCCCATGAATCTGTTCAAGGATTCCGCGGCTGCTGCTGGGCCTTCATGCATTGAGCCGTTGCCCATGAATCTGTTCAAGGATTCCGCGGCTGCTGCTGGGCCTTCATGCATTGAGCCGTTTCCACCGCGCAACGAGCAGATATGAGCGGCGCCGCCTGATGTCTGAAAATGGGTTCTTTGGTATTGCTTTCAGTTTTAATTATATCAGACAATGAAGATGATGGTGTTGATGACTCTTGCCCATTTTCAGAATTCCAGACTTTTATTCCATTCCATCTGCTGTATCTTATCAGACAGCCTACAATAATGTCAATAATGTCGAGACTCTTCGATCTTTTTCAATAATTTTAGCCTATCGTTTTCAATATTTTTAGCATTATACTGTCAGTAAGGGCATCAAATGATTCGGAATCAAGCTTTAATTTGAAAGGAAGGCCATAATAAAAACTTCACTGAATATTTTTGTAAGCTCAGGAACACACAATGAAAAAGAATATCTGCTAAATTGGTGTCTATAAGTTATCCAGGTAAAATGATCAAGATTGTTCAAGGCACTGTCTTTTGGCCCTTTGATCGTTGACCAGCAATCTTGCTTCTTGATTATCTTCAGGACGATCTTCACTTCCTGGTAGCTTCTCGTCTCCTCCCTGTTCGGTCTCTTTTGTTTCACCCTCTTCTTGGTTGTCCTCTGAGCTCGATTCACATCTTTTCCTTTGAGGTATAACTTGAAAAAATGAATTCTTCCAGTCTTTTGTTTCCAAAAACTTGAGCAGTACGTCAATTACTTGATTCACCGTGAGGACCTGAACCAAAGTTCATCACAAGTTAAAGAGCTAAGGTAGCACAAGAGTAACAAGAGCAGAAACTATGGTGTGTATGTAAGTGGTGCAACTCTAACGAGGTTGGTTCAATGAACGGCGCAAAGTTTATAGCAGAAATGTTCCAAATTGAGCTGTGATAGATCTCTAAATAAGACTCAACCAGTTGCAAAATGAAACTCAACATAGAGTGAATAATGGTGTTTTAAATTCTGCACTAATTGCTACGGATTGACGTGATAATCAGACATTGTTGAAGGCATATAGTGCAAATTATCCCTTATTAGTACGTACTACTAAAATGGCCATCACCTTTCTCCCAAATAAACTAACACTTGCAGTATAGAGTGCTCTCAACTATGAAATTATAGAAGCGTTCTTAATTCTTAGCACTACTCAATACGGCTATTGTGTTAGAAAGTATAGCTTGGCATCCCGGATTCATTTAAAGTGAAAATGATAGATTTCGCAGATCTCTTCAAATTTCAAGACAGTAAAAATGTTTAGCAAAATAAACATCAGTTGCAAGTGAATGTGGAAGCCACACACTATCCACAACACAAACAATGGTGATGAAAGCAAAATTGAAAGCAGCTTAATCATACTGTTCCTGACCAAATGTATTAAAATAGTAAATTAACCAATGCATCGCAATTCTGTATTTTTTTAAGAAACCTACTATAGTTGATTCCAAACACAACCAAGCTATATCTACAAATATGAACTCCTTCAATTGAATCACACATTTTCTACAGACTACCGACAAAAAGATCCGCTGTTAAGATGAATGCGGTAAAAGAAGCACCTGAGAACTGGACATCTTCATGTATGCTCCAATAGGCAGTTTAGCAGTTTTGATCCCTTGCTCTTCTGCTTTCTTCATAGTAATGCCTTTCCATCGGTTCCTATCCACCAAACCACCGATGATGTATATGGATTTTGGATCAAGTTCATCCAGGACATTTTCAGAATCAGCAGTGAGATACACCAAATTTTCCTTTTGATCCTGAAAAACTTCCACATAAGACCGATCCTCCTTCTCGATTACCCAGTTTCCATATCCAGGTATCCGTAAGAGCTGATTTTTCATTTCTCCAAGGCAACCAGTTAGCCAAATATGCGCAGGCAAGGGGCATTTTCCATTCGACGAATAGCAATACATAATCTGCACTTTACATCAATCATACTACTTTAATGTCGAATAAAAAAAAATCAATTCTTTACAATAAATAGGACTAATGCCAAATATCTTATTCAATCACCAATAACAACAACAGATCAGATATATAACACGCTCAAAGTGCAACTGTATAGTAACTCTAATAGAAGTCTCTGATGCAATGATGTTCGGATATAAAGATAAAACCTAAAATCTTGCAGATATGAAAGAGAACCCGAAGAGGCCATGAGAGGAGCAACACCATTACATCAAACCTTAAAAAAGGAATAGAACTAATGTATTCCATAAAATTATCAACAACTAAAACTTGCTGTGCAAATTGCGAAGAATTGAAGCGAAGCCAAGAAAGACAGGGTAAAGAAACGACCTGCTGAACGAGGCTATGCAATTCAGAAGAGCTCATAAGATGAGCAAACTCCAAATCGATAACAATATTCTGACCATCGATCCTCGCTTGTTGCAGCCTCCCTATTTTCTTTCCCCTTTCCTCCGATCGCTGCTCCATGCGCTCTTTTCTGAGATTTTTCCTCTCTTCAATCAGCTTTTCCCTTTCCCCGTCGCTCACGCCGGCCAGTTTCTCCTGCCATTCCTTCCGCTTCCGCTCGACCTCCTTCTTCTTTTGCTCCTTCACCTGAGCTTTCTTTTCCGCTTTCTTCTCCTCGTACCGCTGCTGTTTGAGCAGCCGTTTCTGCGCGTTCTTCGACAAGGGTTGAGCAGCGGCGGGAGTGCCTTGGTCATTCCGCGGAGATTCCATGGATGCTTCCATTCGTTGATAAATTACCCGAATGAGTGAGAGCGCGGCGCAATGTAAAAGAGCCGCCGGAAGAGAGATTTCAAGGCGAGGAAAAACGGCGACGCTCTCCAGTCTCCTCCGCTGCCGCAGAAAACCACTCGACTGAAACGACGACCACCGATACGACGTCGTTACATAAGGGCATTCCAGTAATTTGACCGCCAATATAATATATATATATATATTATAATTTAGTAATGGACATAATTGGGCTTGCCTATTTAGGTCCAATCTTATAAAAAATGAAAATTGTATCGAAATAATTTTATTTTAGGGCTAAAATTATTAATTTCTTGGATGGGTTCAATTTTCTTGCACATTTCCAAAAGAAAATAACAAGAAAAGAATATTACATTTTCATCCCCAATTTAGGGCTAATTTACTAATTCACCATTATCGCAGAGAGATAAGCTAATCCAACAATGGCGATCGCCTTGTACATGACAGAAGCAGGAATACAACCCTTGTCCTTCCTCACAAACATACCTTCAAACACAGGCAAATTAATTCCGACAATCATCCCTATCAGCATCACCTGCAACACACAAATCTCAGCATCTCCAGCTGAATTCACCATGAAGAAGAAGAAGATGTTCTTACAAACAACAGAAACCAAAGCCAAGAGATTGAACAAAGCAATGGCTGCCAGAACAACAAACATCGTTGAATCCACCCCAAACTCCATCATCTCCTTCCTGTACCTCTCCCCCTCGTCGTCATCAAACCTCTTCGCAGTGATCACAAAACTCACCTCAGAAAACCCCAACACCTTCATCACTGCTCCATGGAATCCGTACAAGTATGACGTCACTCTCTTGTACAGCCATATCCTCTGCTCATTACACCACCCCTTCATCGTACCTCCCACCCAAACAAATTCTCCCAAACTATACGCGTATTTCGCCATAAATACGTACATGTACGCCAATACCCACCTGCTCGATAACTGCCCAAAAAAGAAAAAAAAAAAAAGATTAATACAACCTTAAAAGATTACCAATTATGTTTAGTTTTCGATTCTTGGTTGAACATCGTACCTGTGGAAATAAGGCGCCGCCATTTAGTAGATAAAATGGCGGCGCCAGGACATAGTAGAGTGTGGCGAGACAATTTGCAGCCCAAAGATTGTAGCAGCAGTAAGAAAGTCGAAGCTTTAGAGGCATCTTTCCATGGCCGTATACTAAACTGTTGTATTTAGACAAGAATATTTGGAAGTTTCCATTCGACCATCGCGTGTGTTGTATTAATGTTTCCATTAGAGTTGTCGGCGCCACGCCGTAAAAGGCTCGCCGCTCGGTGTTGTAAGAAACCGATCTCCATCCCCTACATTGTATCGACAGCCCTGTTATGACATCTTCGACCGAACATCCGTACTTGAGCCCCATCTGTCGAATCACCTTACGACTGTCTTATGTTGTTCATTGTCATAGGTTCAAATGCTATGTAATTAATGATGAATTTCTCGTTTTTTTCTGTCAGTTTTAGGTGAGATTGTCATTTAACATGTTGAAAAAATATATTCAAAAGCTTAAAGTGCGAACCTTGTTTCCCCAAGAAGTATTCTCTTCATACGTACAACTTGCGAGGATTTTGCAAGTTTGTACTAATATTTCCGCGCTTTCTTCAACTTTTCGCGCGCTCAATTCTTTCCAATCGACGCTTGGTTCGTTGGCGTCGAACTTTTTTCCACATAGAACGTCTCTCCGGTGAAAGCAGCCGCTTCCGATGTACAGAGGCCCTCCATTTGCATCGGCAGTTTGATGCTCCACCTTCACGAGGTTTTCGAATGACATTCAATGCTCAATCTCGAACACAAAATATATACGTTTTTTACCTCGTTGATTACTTTTATGTCGCTCCCGTATAGATCGTTCTTCGTCACATTGTCGCAGTATTGCGGAAATTGTACATAGGCAATGCTGCGGCTCTGTTCTTCATCCATGAAAAAGCACAGCGCATTCCTTATCGATTCGGAGTTGTTCGAGTACTGATCGCAGTCGACGTTGAGGATGATCGGGCTGTTGCTTATCCTTTCCGACACCCGAATCTGTTAAAAAATCTGTCGAAAATCAGTGGACAAGAGGCGAAAAAACATATCTTTTTAAGCCTCATTCTGCTCACCAATGCGTTCATTGCCCCTGCTTTGAAGTTATGCTGATGTCCTGGTCGTTTCTCGCGCGCCAAATATACGAGCGTCGGCATAGACATCCCCTCGAAATCCACCGTGTTTGCATCTCTTCCGTCGATCACAATCTGCGCGTCGAAAAACTGAATTTCAGCGACGAATCGATCCATCGGAGCAAGCTTCGAAGCTTGTGTACCTCGAGAATTGTTCGATGGTCTCGACTGCTGATGCTGATGTCCCATTCCTCGAATGCCCGGTGCATTCGACGCGCCTCATCAGGTACTCGTCCGACCTTTGTACACTCGTCGATTCTATCCTTCATTTCTTCGTATAATTTCTATGATCCCGACAATTCATTTCTACTTTAGCTTAAACTTTTAGGTAAGACTATTTAACGAGTTCAGAATTTACTTTAATTTCGCGCCATTCTTTCGAAAAACCAATAGGTGCTTCTACAGATGAGCTAAAGTAGGCAGTCGGCGCCGGCGGCTCAATCCGAAACCTCCGGCGAAACGGCAGCCACCGCCCGGCGAAGCGCGAGGCTTCTAGAAGAGCATAAAACATCACCTCAGATCCTCCATCATCGGAAAGATAGACATGGAGCTTCTCCGGCGGATAGTCGTAAGCCATCATCGATAGAACAGTGTTCATCACCATCGCCGGCGGCTCCTTCTCCGCATCCGCCGTGCACACGAACATGTCCACTCCCGGCAGCACTTCCTCGTACCTACAGAATTCCAAATTCAAAAACATGATCGAAAATTAAGGACATCTAAAAGGATCTACCTTTCCGACAGCCGGTCCTTGAAGGCGTAGCGATAGACCGGCCGATGTCGAAGTGTCTGAGTAATCAGCCAGTAGAAGATGAACCAGAGCTCCGCCATGGAAATACCTATCCAGCCCCATCTTCTTAGCCCTGTTTCTGAAGGAAAATGTGTCCATCTGTAAACAGATATGGAGATTAGGCCTACCACCATGGAAACTGCATAGAGCCAGTAGAGTAAACGCCCTTTGGCCACTCTGGTTTCGAAGAGAGGAAGATAACCATCACTCCCCATTACCTTTTCCTTCTCTCTACAAAAAAATTAAAAGAAAAAAAATCTCATCTTTAAATCTGCCATTCTGAAACAGTGTTTTCAGATAAGACGATTTTGGTCATTGATGCTTTTCGTCTGGCTGCCTGTCGTAATTTTGCAAGTAAAATATAGCTACAATAATTTGACTTTGATTCTGTGTTGTTGAATTATTCAATCGACTAAAAAAATTAGTGTTGAGTGTGAAATTTTGACTTTGATTCTGTGCTGTAGAATTACTCAATCGACGAATAACGGTAAGAAATTATTTGTAGTTGTTATTGTTGATCATAGATTAAGTGTCAGATATTATACATGAGATCTGTAACCATCAAGAGCTCAAGGAATTTATGATATGGTGGATACAAGTGTATGTATTTGATACCTATAGTAGTTAGAGTACAATGGAACCATAGGCTCCTGCCGGAAATATCGACGACGATCGAGGGCGCAACGAATAAGGGGCTCGCTCACTTGTCGTCGCTGATTTTCAGGTCTGTTAGCGACGGGTAGCGCTCCAGGCCTTTGAACTTCTCCAGCTCCGATTCTAGAATCTTGGCGATGTCTTCTTCATCTGCATCTTCGGGTAAGGTCACGTGGACGGATCCCTGTTTCACGGGCTCGGCGTGGTGGCGAATCAAGAACTGCTCCTTGGTGTATTTGTAAAGCTGTTGGTGAAATGGATGGTTCAATGAAAAGCAATTGTTCGCGGGGTTGTCTGAGTTTCTTGACGAGCCGGAGCCGGAGCCTCTCTTGCGGCAGAAATGGGGGAGGGCGGAATAATCCATTATCTGGCCGGAAAAAAACCAAACGTAAGATGGAAAGAATGGTACCTGGAATTAGATTTTCGGAAAGGCATTACCTTCAATAATTCATCTTGTCCGCAACCCGACAACACCTGAATTTTCCTCTTCGTCCTCTCCTGCAGCAGCGGCTTCACAACCTGAAAACAGCCGAGTCGTCAAGAAAATATTCAGATCTTAGCGCAGCTTGAATATCGAGACGAATCTGAAAATTGCGAAAAAGCGAACCTTCCAGCAAGCTGAAAACACATACGGAGCATTCACAATGTAGTAAGTTAATGTCTTCTCCGGATAGTTAAGATCATCAACAGAGGAAATAATTGTCATTAGCTGCACAAGAGCTCACGTCAGGAATTATGAATCAAAGGCGTGAATTTACTCAAAATCTTGGTAGTACAACCAAACCTTTATTTGGCTGAGCGCCGAGAGCTTCAGCCCCGTCATATCTAGGATCTTTACACATTTGCTAATATGCTTCCCATATTTTTTCGTCGCAGCTGGCTGCAGTAAAAGTAATGAGTTAATCAGACATGGAAATAAAATCGAGTACGCTGAAAATAAATCCGATCATGCTTACCAGAATCACACGGTCCCGGTATTCATTGATCTGTATGTGAGATTGTACATAGTAATGAACCTAAAAGAAAGATACATAAGTGCAGGACATCGAATGATAATCTAAAATATAAGCTTAGCCAAATGCGCGAAACTGAGATATAATTAGCAATAAACAATACTTACAGATGCTTTGTCGAGGGTACTCAGGCCAACGCCAGCTGCAAAAACAGGGAGGCCCTGTTGCAAAAAAAAAGTGTACTTGACGATAAGAAGATTTGATTTTGCACCACAAGGGAAGATAAAGTTCTTAGGGAATTACTGATCTTCACCTCATAAGTGTAACCCGACATTCCTATAAGCTGTGAATCGCGTATTGCTCTGTAAAGTTCCACGGGCACAATGGGCTTCTGTAAAAGGACATTACGGATGAGATTTCAACAATCCAAAGTGCTTATCGTTTTTACGGGACTTATCTATTGTGGAGGTTATGAAACTCAAGTTTCACCAAGGGGTTTGATTCTACAAACTAGTTTCTAGTCAACATTGTGGATTTTCGTTATCCTTGCCGTTTTAACAGAGTTTCATTGATCTGTTGTTACGTGTCAGGCAGAAAGACTCGAGCAATGCAACAGAGAAAATGGTAGAAAATTCAAATAGTCGTTTGAAAAAGATGGCGAATAAGATTCTTTTATTCAAATTTTGTTAGAGAGAAAACATACTATAAACAACTTTCGAATCTCACACCTATTATCCACGCATCAAGGTTGAGATATGGTTTATCATAAGAAACACATAGGATTATACAACACACGAAAATCCTCACTGCATACCGCTAACATATCATCGATGTCGTTCTCCACTCTCCACTTCAAGCAATCTACCAACTGAAATTTACATCACCGGAAATTCAGTAAGCATACTTTGTTCACGACAAAAATACGGTGCAACTTATGAGAAGTTGTGTCTAACCATCTCATACGCCTTGGAGACAATGCCCTCTCGAGCCTTCAAAAATCGCATCAAAGTTTCGTGAGGATATCCTTGATGCATACTCTGCACAAAGAACACAGACAAAATGTCATCCTTGATCATATCACCCAATCCAAGCACATATGCATTAGTACATTCTATCGATCCAATTATCATTCCTGATTCTGTTACTCTATGATATGTAAATGCAATTGGTAATTTTGTAGACAAATTAATCATTTTCTGAGTAGGGCTGTGTCAATAATTAGCAGTCCTGAAGAATTGACCTCCTTATTTGGAAATATTTAGGGATTTTTACATCAACATCTTGCCTGATCTAAGTTTTCTGAAATATGATGATTGCACGAAAAAGCACAAACCTGGAATGTTCTCTTGAGTGATTCATCAACTGCACCAAATTTCATCAGCAAAAGAAGAAGAAGAAACACAAAAATCAGTGATGGGCGACATAAAAGAAAGATCAAGATTCAAGAATGAGCTGCTGCTGACCATCTTCAATCATGGCTTCAAACTGATGGATGGCTTCTTGTGGAACCACAGCCATTTCTTCTTCTGAACAAAAAATTACCCAAAAGCTCAAACAATCATTCAGCTTTCCACCGGAATATCCACAAACTGAATTTATTTATTTTTTGTAAAAGAAGAAAGGGAAGAAAACATTTTAAAGCGAAAAAAAAAAGAGCAAAAGTTAGAAAGAGGAAACGGACAAGTAAAGATTCCACTTTTTATGTTATCGAAGAAAATTCAGAAATCTGCAATGGAGGTCAAGATTCAGGAATGGCAGCCCATCCACCCCGTTTTCTTAATTGACCTACAAATTGAGGAATTCCAAGTTCAGAAGAACAATACCAGGCGTCGAGTTTCTGCTCCAAGAAATGGCTATGGCGGAGAAGGACTAATAAAGCAAGTGTTGCCGACAACAACAAGCCTGTACTCCACCGCCGGCCCCGGGCTGGCGGCAGTCCTCAGGCGCCGGAGAACAGAAACAGGAGTCGCTTCACCTCTCAAAAATAGATAGAAAGAAAGATAGAGGTCTGGACTGGTTTGTAGCTGAGTGATTCGATGATCAATGGGAATCGGAAATGAAAGGAAATGAAAGGAAAGCAGCAGATAGATCAGATTAGAAAAGGACGTCGCATCCCCACCTCCATAATTGAATTGACTGTGAAAGTCAAGATCAACAATAAAAGGCTGAAAAGCAAAATTGAAGATTAATCAACGGCCAAGTTTGACTCCAATGTCGAATCCCTTCCATCCACATTCTCTGTACCGCAACCCTAAACTAAACCCTAATTCCCAAATCCCAACCCCCTTTTTTAATTATTAACTTAATTAATAAATGAGTCTGACTCACATGCAATTTCACATTAATCGATCTATTCATTACGTTAGCTTTATTGTACGTTACCCCAACGTGGGAACCCTTTCTTCCATGAATATTAAAAAAACATAAATAAAATTTTTATTCTTCTTATCTATTTGTTGATTTGATTTTTTTTTTTAATCATGGGGCCATTATGATTTATTTTTTTTAATTAATTCATTATGTGTTGAGCTAAAATTCATGTGCGCTTATAATTAACGTGTGGAATCTACTCACTGTAGCGGGTGGGCCCACCTGGTTGAGGTTAGGTTAGACATAGAGACGGTCCAATGGGACGGAAATTAGACGGATTAATATTCTTAATTTTATATTGATTTAATATTATGAATTTGTTAGATTGAGTTTTCATTTTATTTTTTTTATTATTTATTTATAATAATCTTTTTAAAAACCTTATTATTATATATTTATTTTACATGATTAATTTTTTTTTTAGTTTATATATATTTGGTTATAATTTCAAATCTATTTCAATATTATTCATGTTGGTTTCTAATATTAGTATTTATTTTATAAGATATATTGTATTTAAATAATTTTATTTTTTTTTAATTAAAAAAAAACCCCTTTTATGGTCTTTAACTTTTATTTTGCAATTTTAACAATTTCCAACCTTTTAAACTATAGTTGTTATATTTTTCAACCGACAGGCTGGGCCGGCCCAACCTACCATGGACTTGCCTTAATATAAGTGGATTCAAATTTAAATATTTATTAGTAAAAATTTTATTATTCAATATAAAAATATGTTAATAGTAATTTTATATATATATATATAAGATATTATATTTCAATTATTTTTAAATTAGAAAGCTGATTTAAAAAAAAAAAAAAATCATATTTGACTTTTGTTTGGCGTGTTAAGAACTAATCTCGTTACTATTTTATTATACAAATTACTATTTCCCTCCATATTAATATATATTATTTTATTATTTTAAGTATTTATAATTAATATATTCAATTGTTAATTTAATAATAATAAATTATATTATATCTATAATTATAACTATAATGTTAATTTATTTTATCATATACCTTTTGTAGCTTTAAAGACATTTTTATAAATTATATTTAAAATATCTACCGATATCATGTCATTTATATTTAGTAAATAAAGTAGTAAATTTATTGTTTAAAATGCTATAATTAACAAAATATATCTATTTTTAATAAATATATAATTATTATTGTAAAATGTAAAATTAGTATTTTAAATATAAAAAAGTAAACATGAAAGCATAGTAAACCATGTCAGTGCGTTGACTTTGGACTTTGTTTAAAAAATAACATCAATAATAATAATAATAAATTCACCGCGATGGATATTCTCTACATCACTAAGAGTATATTCACTTTTCTCTATTAATTAAAAAAAAAAATGTATGTTTCTTTAAATAAATTTTTAAAAAAATAATTGATTTGAATTTAGTATAAAAAAAAAATAAACTGTAACAATGAAAAAAATAGAATTATCAAAAACTCTGTAACTCAAAAGATTTATGTTATTCTGATTTAAAATTAAAATTTTGATTCAATTATGTTATTTATTTAAATAATATTTTATAAAAAAATAATATATATTTATTAAAATTCATATGAATTTTATAAATAGTAGATATTTGTCGTTAAAATCCAACCAAACGCAGTCCAAATAAAACATACTGTAAAAGTTAATTTTATAGTAATTATGATATTTAGGAGTCTTCGTGAAAGTCAAGGAAATTGGAGAGAAGACAACGCCGTTCCCATAATTTATCTTCGAAATTTTCGCCGTTTCGCAACTTCGTAATCTCCTGCATCCACTGCCTCTCAATCGATCGGTTAATCCTCACTTCGCCGGAAAATGGAGCGAAATTCGAGCGGCGGCGGAGAAATTTCGGAGGAAGATTCTAGTTTCAGAGGTAATTATTATGGTGTTCATGAGTGGGAGAATTACAGCGGAGGCGGTTCAAGCGAGATCCAAGAGATGAGCGAGAGGAACGGCGGCAGGGAAACTGTCGAGCCTCTAGAAAGCATTACCGAAGAATACGAAGGCTTCGACGATTCTTCGGAGGAGGCGGTTTACGTGGCGGTGGGGAAGCAGAGCGAGGAGACGAGCATGGATGCTCTGTGTTGGGCGGTGAGCCACGCCTTGTCTTCGTCTTCAACCGTTGTTTACCTCATCCATGTCTTCCCCGAGACGAAGCACATCCCCACTCCGTGTAAGTTCACTGATCACGATTTCGATGCTCAATCGTTTGCGCAAATCAATTTCTAAAAATTACCTATCGGAACAGCTAAAATACGCATGTGATGCAAGGTATTGTCCGTTAACTCCAATGGCGATTGGCGACAGCAAAATTAGGGATTTCATTTGAGAGAATTGATTAGGCACTAATTAGCTGAGCATATACCAGATTTTTTGGTTTTGAATTCTGCAGGCTAAATCATCTGGATCCCTAGGATTATCTTACACATTTCTGTGCACCATGAATTAGGCTTAGTTCTGGATCAAAATCATGTTGGATTGTCTTCATTGTTCATCAACTTGAAAACTTCAACATTTACAATGGCAATTCACTGCAGTGGGGAAGCTACCAATCAGCCAAGTAAACCCTGAGCAAAAAGAGAATTTCATGGCACAAGAAAGGGGCAAGAGAGGAGAATTCCTCCAGAAATTTCTCACCATCTGTGCTGAATCTAAGGTACCAAATGTAAGCATGATCATCAACACTAAAAAAATCCTCACTATTCTGAAACCAACCACATCTCTCAACAAGGTTAAAGCCGAGACTATATTAATCGAAAGCGACGCGGAAGCCAAAGCAATACTCGAACTGGTTCCTATTCTCAACATCAGGAAGCTGGTCTTGGGCATCACCAAATCTAATCTAAGGTACCTTTCAAGAACACCATGTTGTGTCTCCTATAATTCAAGAACAGCCACATTATACTATACGATGAAATGATCAGGAGGATGCAGGGGAAGAAGGGAAATGGAGGACTCACCGAGCAGATAGTGCAGAACATCCCCGAGTTTTGCGAGGTTAAGGTGATCTGTGAAGGGAAGGAAATGACAGACATGCCCGTTGAGTCATCTCCTTCACCTTCCCCTTCTCCTTCCCCATCACTGAAGGCATTCGACCATGTCAGCAGCGCAAAACTCGACCAAGATCGACACCCTGCCAGAGATACATTCGCCTGTGGATGTTTTAGCATAAAATAGCATGTCAATGAACAAACACAACAATATTGGTAAATGTCCCTTTACTTGAATACATTTAACACGGTATCGGAGTCGGAATGTCTCGTATTCGAGTCCGATGGAAGATTATATTATATATATATATGAAATTTGTACTTGTTTACCTATTTGTGTAATAATTTCCTATTAAATGGGATGGGGAGAAAGAACCTTAAGACAACCTTTTTCAATGGGACAAAAGCTTATTTACAGTAGTAAATATACGTTGACAGATAGTTGACTTTTTCTGGTTCAAAAGTCTTTTGCACTTGAGACACACAAACAATAACTTGAAGAAAAGTTTCATATATTTTCCTTCAATTCCTTCAAATCATACATTCCTTCTTTCTTCAACAAATGATCATAAAATTTGCAAATCCAGTCTTCACCATCAACAGGCTAATCTGATTCTTGTTCTCAAACAAGGATTCCATACACTTGTCCGAATCCTTTTAGTAAGTAACCGTGGCTGACTAGAAAAAATCAAACTCGAGATACTTATCGCCTTTCTGATCGGTAGCCGTGGCCGCAGCAGAGGTGGACTTTCCGGTGGCTTGCGCAGCCACCGGCATGGGTAGTCGATCATAGTCGACAGGTTTCGGGATCTCCGGTGGGGTGGCGCAGCGGATCAATGCCCAGTTAACGCCTTCGAAGAATGGGTGCTGTTTTATCTCGGATGCGCCTCTTTTGTAGGCCAGTCGATTCTGAGGCTCCTTCACAAGCAATCCTCTAATCAAATCCCGAGCAGCGAAACTTACGACCGGTGATTCAGGGAACCGGAGAGGCTGCCCGACAACGTTGAACAGAGTAGCTCTGTTCCCGGATCCTTTAAACGGAGTTTTACCAAACAAAAGCTCGTATAGAAATATCCCGAAAGTCCACCAATCGACGGCGCTCCCGTGTCCTTCACCTTTGATGATTTCTGGCGCCAGATATTCGTGAGTCCCGACGAAGGACATGGATCGAGCATTGCTTGGCTCGGCAATCAGCTCCGGCAGCGGGCTAACTTGGTTTCCAATCTCGTTCTTCGGCTTCCTCTGCTTCTTCGATTTTCCCGAAAAGAAGCCACGTGGAGCTAAGCACGTCGTTGGAACAATGCATGACGGCTGGATGCAGGCGGGCTCGATACACGACGGCTGGACGCAGTAAGCTGAGGTTTTGTTCTGAGGATCGGAGTCGAAAGATGTCGACTTGACGAGAGTCGGGCTAACAGCACACCGTAGCGATAGATCGAAGTCGGAGAGCATGATATGGCCGTCGTCCCTAACAAGAACGTTCTCCGGTTTAAGATCGCGGTACACAATCCCGAGCATGTGTAGATACTCGAGGGAAAGCAGCACTTCGGCGACGTAAAACCTGCGACAATAACAACGAATATAGTCAAAAAAATGCATCGAAAGCTCAAGAAAGTCGATATTTCGAACACAATTTAACAGCTTCTTACTTCACCGCCTGCTCGGCGAAGTACTTTCCCGGCTGCCGCTGCCGGAGAGTGTGGAGGTCGCCGCCGGGGCAATATTCCATCACCAAGCACGAGAACTTATCAGTTTCAAAATGTGTGTAGAGCGTCGGGAGGAACGGATGGTCGAGCGACTGTAGTATTTCGCGTTCGGTCTGTGCTCGGAGGAGCTTCTTGCGGCCGGCGAGCGAAGCTTTGTCCATGACTTTCATGGCAAAGCGGCATTTGGTTCCGGTGAGCTCGGCGAGGTAGACGCTGCCGATGTCGCCGCAGCCTAATCTCTTGAGCAGCCGGAAATGGCTCAATCCCAAGACGCCGTCCCGGGATCGGACGGCCTGGATTGCTTCCCACCGGACGTCGTTCGCCTTGTGCGGCTTGTTGACGCTGCTGCTGAAGCTGCTGCACGTGCTCTCGTCGCTGACATCGCTGGCTGTGCTTCCGCGGCACGTGCTGCTCTTCCCGCTCTCGACTAAGTCGGCTGGATCGCTTGTTTTGGGATTGCCACTGGTTTCTTTTGTGGCTTCTTGGATCGAATTCGATGGCTTCTTTGGCTGATCGATGGAGGATTCTGTGTCGTCGGAATCGATGACTGCAGAGTCTGGTTCGGATCTTGTGGAAGCAGCTTTGGAGCTGGATGGAGCTGCCATTGTTGCGTTGGTAGCTTGGTGAGCACAGGCAGCTCTCTGTTGCAGCTCCAATGGAGGTCGAGAGTCGATTTCAGAGGCCATACTGAAACAATAAAGAGATCTTTATGAAGTTGGGGAAGAAATACCAAAAGTTAGGGAAGACACAGCACGAGAAGAGAGAGTCAATTTCTTCACCTCACCACCAAGAAAGAGGATTCAATAAAAAGCTTAAATACCTAAGAATTTACACATTTCCAGGAAACCTAAAAATTGAAATTCGAAATTGGGAATCGAAGAAAGGAGGACCACATGAGAAATAGTAAAAAGCTACTGAATCAGCAATGTTTTTTCTTTTTCTTTTTTTTATATACAATTATTTTACATTCACAAAACAATCATCACAAGCACACACAAAAGGGAATGGGGAAAAACTTAAAAAAAGCAAGAAAAGAAAGCATATTTTCCCCTAAAAGGTCAGATCTTTATCACAAAATCTTCAAGATGGAAAGTAACAATTTCTCCAAAACGAAAAAGAAGCAAAACCCACAAACAAATTGGCTGTAAATAAATACTTCAGAGAAGAAGAAGAAGAAGAAATAAAAACTTACATAAATTTTCAAAGATCAAAAGGTTGTCTCTTATTCCTCCTTCAGGGCTTAAATTTGGCAGTTGAAGAAAGAAGATAGGTGCAGCAATGGAGAGAAAAGAATCTGAAACTGCTTCATAACACAAAGGCTAAGCTTAGCGTTGCTTGTTCATCCCTGTCTCCTGTTTTGTAGTTTGTATCTATGGCAACAACTCACAGAGTCACAGGTGGAGGAGAGAGAAAAGAAATTATTAAATCAAATCGAAGTAGATGCTTCAAAGCAATAAAAACAAATTGTCTATAGAGAGAGAGAGAGAGAGGAGTCCCAACTCCTGATTTATTATTAGGTAAACCACATGGCCTGCTTCAGTCAAATTAACCTCCATTGAATTGGATTAGGGTTACAGACTTACAGTTAAACACAAACTCCAATTTTCCAAATTCGAACAAAATCTCCAACCAAACAAGGCCTTAGACGACGTCCCTGTAAATGATTTATTGAGCATTGAGTGGGGTTGGGTCACCCCGGCAACGAAAATGAATGAATGATGCAGAGATGAATGGCTGTTATTATCCAGTTATCCTACTTTCTTTTTTTTAGAGAGAGATAGAGAGATAGAGAGAGAAAGGTGGTCCACAGGACAGCTGAGTGTAGACCCATTTTACACTTAGCTCCATCTCCAAGCAGCTGTCAAATTTTTGCCCAGATTTTGGCCTGTTCATCTCCCTCCTGCATATGGATATCCTTCTTGATTAATAATGCATGTCTATCCAATTCCACACACAAATACATACGTACATATACATATACATATACATACATATATGTTTGTATGTATGTATGTATCTCCATTATTGGGTGAGTAAACTAAGATCAGTTTTGATATATTGTAGATAGTATTATTGGATGAATTTCGAAAATTGATTCAACAATCCAAACAAACAGGGCCCAACATGGAGGATGGCATTGCTGTGTAGAGACAAGGCAGCAAGTTTGAACTTCCCCATCTGCTTTATTTCTTGTGGGCTCATGCATACACGTACGTCCACACATGTACACGTGCGCCTTTATCTCGCGATTAATTAATTCATGTGTCTCTCTATGGCTCTACGTACGTGTGTATGTATATATACATATATATATATATATGAGTAATTAGCATGTTGATTAGAGTTAATTATCATATTAACAATTACCATGGAAATCTGCATGCCCTACTCTTCAAATGGTGTGTTTGTTTGGAGGTTTGGATTTTGAGTTGGGATTTGAATAGTAAAAGTTTTGAATTTGAACAGTTGTATGACGTGATATTTTGAATGTAAAATTGATTTTTATTATAATATAAAAAATAAAAAATAGGTGTTTGATTTGATATTTTTGGGGGATGAATAGTGTATTTAAAATCCAATCCATAAACATTCAATAATTATTCCATAAACCAAAATATTAAGAACACAAAAAACACACCCCCAAGTAATTAATTAATTAATATGCATATATTTATATAGCTTCAACAAGAATCTGATGATCTGTCCAACCAACTTCATGATTTCATCAAGATTTTGCATGCAATTAAATCATTTAATTGTGACCTTAGAATAACACACACATATATATATATATATATATATAAATGTTTGTAGTTTCTACAATCCTTATAATTAATTATTCAACTAATCCATTATATAAATATATATGTGATCAAATTAAGTAGTCAATAAATTAAAAGAAAATTTGAAATGACAATAGACATATGTCACTTGGAGGACCCCCAAAGCAGCATCGATCGATCAACTGGATGGCCCTTTATTCAATGACATACTTTTACATTACAGCCACACAATACCAAAATAATCAAATCCAATTAAATATATCCAAACATATATCCAGGAAAGTTTTGGATTATTATGTGCCAAATAATTATTTAAAAAAATTGTGACATTGAACATTAGACTTGTTAATTATTCAATTGATCGACTATATATATATATATATATATATATATAAATGCATGCATGCATGCTTATTTGCATTAAAATTGGATAGGTGGGTTCATCTTAATTTATAACCATTTAGACATAGTCATTTAAGTAAATGACTAAATTATTAGTTTTTTTTTTTCTTGTAGGATTTTTAAAATTGTATATAATTTTGATCATTTTTAACACTACAAAAAATAGCATAAGTTTAACCCAAATTAAAGACTACTAGCGTTAATTAACTATGTGAACTTTAAAAATAGAATTTAATAAATTTTATCCTTATTCTGTCTATAGTATCATTAGTAACAAAAATAATAATAAAAATTTAGGGACGAAAAAATATATATATATATTGCCAAAATACTACTACTATTTTTTTTTTTGCAGGATAATTTTTTTATTCTTTATTTTCATTTAAAATATTTTTTATAAATTATATTTAAAATAGTTTTTAAAATACATGTAACTTAAAAATGTATGAATTCAAATAAAAAATTAATATACTCCCTCTGTCCCGGAAGAAGGGTGGTGTTTGCTTTTTGCACGTAGATTTTTGAATATTAGCTTTATAAAAAATGATGGAAATACCTCTGTTAGTATTGTGTAATATAAAAGTAATGATATTTGTATAATATAGTATAAGTTGGAAGGGTATTTATTATGTTAGATAGGTAGTACAATTACTAAATTAGAAAATAGTAAACTTATTTTAGGACGGACAAAAATGAAAAATGATAACCTGCGGAAGCATATATATATATATACATATTTTTTCTACCTATAGAGAATGATAAGCAATTAATTAATTTCACAGAGGTCCATGCATGGGTGTTCGAGCCTAGCCTAGCTAGCTAGCCCTAGAAAATAAAGTTAATTAATTAAATAATTAATATAAGATTTAATTAATTAATCATCATTATCATATCTATTAATCTCAATCTCTCAAATGATCCTTCCACGTGCTTTGCATGTGACAACAACCTCAGGAATATATTCCCTCTACCGCCGATTCACTTTTTCTGCCTCACAACATAACTAAAATAAATACAAAAAAATAATTAATATATAATTAAATAACCTCACACTTCTCCAAGCTCATGTAATTTTTTTACTGCTAAATTTGGAATTTTTTTGCTTTATTTTCTGCAAAAAAAAAAAAAATTGAATATTTTATGTAAACAAGAAAGAAAAAAAAAAAAAAAAATACAAGTGGCTGATCTCAGCTGCAATCTTTTCAATTAGAAGAATTTATGACTTATATAATTAATTAATTAATTAAGATGCCTTTCCAATAAGATAATACCAGATGTATTATATTTATAAAATATCATATGGAATATTGATTATTTATTATTTTTACTTTTTATTTATTTATTTATTTATTTTTTTTATTTCAAGATTTTCTGTCGAAACAGATCCAAAATATTTCTATCTTATTTATTTATTTGTTTGTTTTGAAGTTGGTAAATGGGCGACAAAGTACCTTTCATAGAGTCGTGTCAAAGTTTTGAGACGTGACAATTAGTTAGTTCTCTTCTGTTTAATGAAAGCAACACTATTGGGCCTGTTGGCCCATGTAATTTGGGCTCATATTTTGAGCCATTTTCAATAATAAAAAGTTTGATTCTCATTTGTGTTTGATTTTAAATAAAAAATTTAAATTACACAAATTTTATACAAATAAAATTTATTAAACCTATTTTATTTTTATTAAACATGATTCAATACAAATATCACCTACGGCTGAAATATGATCTAATACCGTATAGAATAAATTAATAAATAGTTTATACACCAGTAGCCGATGTGTATACACGTGTGTGACCGTGCGCTTGAGTAGCTTGTACGTTTGGATCTACGTACAACTATTGATGCTTAATAATCGCGGAATAGATACAAGCTAGCGTAAGCCCAGCACGCCGCTATCAAATTGGGCCGCCCAATAGATGTAGATGGGCCGCTGCTAATGGACCGCCCGGTCGGCGTTGGCAGAGGCTGCGGACGGATACTGCTTCCGCCGCCGCCGCCGCCGCCTCCGCCGCCACCATCGCCGTCATCACCTCCTCCGACACCACCTCTATTATTACCGCCTCCTCCTTTTCCTCCTCCGCCGGCGCCGCCGCTCCCTCCTCCTTTTCCTCCTCCGCCGGCGCCGCCGCTACCCCCTCCTTTTCCTCCTCCGCCGACGACGCCGCTCCCTCCAGTAGTGCTACCTCCCCTTGATCCACCTCCGGTGCTACCACCGCCGCTGCTAGAACCACCACCTCCTCTTGCACCACCAGCGCTGCTTCCGCCTCCGCCGCCGGCCGGAGGAGCGACTGCTGATGTGATGAGGAGACAAATAATTCCTAGCAGGAAGACGAACTTTACGAGATGTTGCATTTTATTTTATTTGGTAACTAATAATAATAACAATTGTATCAATTGATGATTCAGTTACATAACATATAAATAAATTTGATGAAGCTTTACGATATATATAGTTGAAATTTACAACGCGTCCCAAGAGTTCATTTTAAATTAATAAATCTTAATCTAATTTTAGTTTAAATCTCAATATATCCCCACACGTCGGTCTGATCACTCAATCTTCTCCATACAAAATGCAAAATAGTTTAGAAACATACTAATAATATTATTTTATATTTAAAATAAAATAGGACAAATCAATATATAAAAGAAATGTCAAACGAGTATTTATTATTTTATCGATCAATTTCAAGTAGAGCATAAATATGTTAATTATTGACTATGTCCACGCGTCATTGTCAATAATAATAAATTAAGAATCTTTGTTATATCTATTTATTTATTTTCCAAATACTGTCGATAAAAACACTATTATGAAAATTCAACAACGGATATGAATGAATCTACTGATATTTCAGAATTTAATTTTTACTGTTTTATTTGATTGAAATTTAAAATGACAATATTTATTCGTATACGCAATTTTTTTTTTTTTTTTCATATTATTTTTTAAAAATCAAATTTTAATAAGTTATTTATAATACTTTCATGCCTACTTTTTTTTTTTTTTTTTTTGGGTAAACCTCCGGTCGAATAGGCGAACCATGTGTGACAAGTGACCTGATACGAGGGTTTGAAACCATAATTTTGACGGCCAAACTATTCCCAAGGGGACAGTCCATGCCTACTTTTCCCATTCAAAACATGTCATTAGCATTCATTTAATAAAAAATTGCCCTGAAGAAACAAAGAACACAAACACATTTCATCTAATTTCTCACTCTGAATCACTATTCACCAACCAAACAAAGAGCTGAAGATTGGTTTAACACAATAATATTTCAATAAAATTTCGATGGACTGCTGTTTAATCATCCAATACAAGAAAAGCAATGCTTAGAATTAATATCAGAGTTTTCAACAATATAACAGAGCCATAAATAGATAAGGGTGCTTCGACCAGAATGTAATGGCCATTGTCATAATCATTTTGCAACTGGCAATGTTACAAAAAGGAAGAATAACTTTACCCGATTGATCAATGATGATCCTTAACCAATTTGGCTATATCGGCAACACTGCTTGTAACGTATTCTGGCTGTATATCATTTGATGGATCTTCGAGGCTTGAAAGATTCGTCACGCCTGCATATGCAATGCAACAACACAACTAATCAATCTTCACATGGGATTATGTAAGAATGATTTCGATTGATGAGATTCAATCAACCTGTAAGAACAAGAAGGGTTCTACAGCCAGCATTTTGTCCAAATAAAATATCAGTGTCCAATCTATCGCCAACCATACACATCCTAGAGGTCGGGATGTTGAAACTGCAAGGTGTCAAGATTAAGATTAAGACAATAAAGATCTTAATAAAGGTAATAAAAAAGAAAAAGAAAACATCTCACTTACTTTTTCAGTAAAAACTCCATTAGAAATGTAGATGGTTTTCCAACAACCACCGGTTCCTTCTGTGTTGAGCCACATACTGCAGCAACCATGCATCCAGCACCTACAACTCAATGAAGCTTAACATCACATGATAGCCTTAATGATAAGGAGGGGAGGCGAAATATTAAAGGTTTTTTGTTTGTTAAAGATAGAAACAACACAAACTTACCAGGCCATTCTTGCAGATCAGTTAGATTTCCAGTAGCATCACGGTTTGTGGCAATAAACAGGCATCCTGGGTTCTCACGTATACATAGTGTCGCATACCTAAGCATTATAAGCTTATGGTCATTACAAGAAAAAAAAAAATTAAACAGAAGATTTACATGTTTGAATTGAGGATAAAATCAAGTCTAAGTATATAACAAATAAGATGGTATTTTGTCAAATGTATGAAAATTCATGCATTAATGTGCAAATGGAAATCAAATAACTACTGAGGTTCCTTCCTTACGAAAATTGCATATACATGACAACGGGGAAAAAGAAAAGTTGGGAGTAATAACATAAGGGGCAATGATAAATTCCTTCGATGCAAGGTAAAACCGCGAACTTACTGCAGCTTGTAAAGATTTATGTATAGGTCAAGCCCGACCACCACAGCTCCCACCTAGCATTGCCATTAGAAAAATATACTATAAATGGACAATAATTATGGTATGATGTTGTGGGTAAGACAGCAACTAACACTCTTGTCGTGCTCAAATAGGCTGTTTGAATTTAATTGGACAGTTTTATTCCCATCCTCCTGCAATAAAACATAACCACCATCAAGCTCCCTAAAGGCTGGGTAATTACAACCAAGAAGTTTCCATGTGAGAAATTAGAAACTTGATTTTTTTTGGATGAAATGTTTCACCAGGGTTATTGAAACTTACAGGACCACCTAGACATGTGAAACCTGCATCGGTCATTTCCTCCAATATACCTGGTCCACCAATTGCATACACCTTCAAACCAATTCACAGTTGTGAGAACAACACAATAATTTACTAAAAGATTGACAAATTCTACTTAATGGTAGTTCAGGTTCACCAGATCCCAAAAAATTCTACATTTTAAGATATATATATATAATCATGATAGAGAAACATAACAGAACAAGAAGCATTAGAAATAAAATGATATTCATTACTAAACCAGCACGTTACACAGTTGTTATACACATCAAGAAAATGCAATTATCCATAAGACTTATCTACTTTCAATCCACTTGGCCAAAAACAGATTCTCACAGCATGTAAATGTACAGACTGTCAAGAAGACGTACCTTTTTTTCCTTAGGAAAGCCATTGGCTTTCAAGTACATGGCCGCAGCAAATGATGAAGAAAAAATCTCATCCTGAAAACAGAAGGATATTAATCTAGAGAAGTTGTCGAATCGTACTAGAAGACTGATCAATGAAAAAAAACCTCAGAAACGGAAATGCCAAGGGAATGGAACTTCTTGGCATATTGCTGTCTGGACTTTGTCGAGTTGTTCGTAACAAAAATCAGCTTTTTCCCCTTCACAATACAACATTTCTAGAATCAGTTCCAAAACCACACGCCAAGAGTTTAAAAAAAAGAAGAAGACACGAATGTACCATAGCTCGAAGTGTATCCAGAGTATCAGGAACACCATCAATCAGAGAATCTCCCTTCCAAATGACACCTGAGATTATCGACGGAAAAAACAAAAGAAGAAGTGAGACAATAAAACCGTCTGGACATTACCGTGAATCCATGAGCGCACATACCGTCACAGTCGAAGAGAAAGGCATCGACGGAATCAACGAGATTCGCTGCAGTGTCTGGTTTAAGAAGATGACAGTTGGCTTTCTCTTTAGCAGATGAGTTGGAGACTTCTCCGGCCATCGCCGCCGACGAGAGAAAACAGAAAAGACGAATTTCCACCCACCACCGGGCACTCGACACGACACGACACTGTTCTATTCACCAAGTAAATCGTGTTTGTAGATTTCACGCTTTTCCGACTCCAGCCAAAACCATGGCGCTTTTCTTTATAAGTTTCCGAAAGTCGAAACTATAAAACAATTTTAAATTAACGTTGATTCCAATATGCTGCTTTTGGCGCTTTAGACTTCTCCCTTTTTACACGCTTAGTTATATTTTCCAATCACGTTTTTATTGTTACAAGATCAGGCCATTTTAGATAGTATCTTATTCCCACTTTCAAGTTGATGCCATCGGAATTGAATTCTATGTACATTTAGGACATAGGTAGGCAACATTGTGTCGCCACTATTCAATTTATTATTTTCTTAATTATTATATATTTACTTTGCAATAAGAATATATACAAATTGGTTTGCTTTTGTTTTTATCTATATATCTTTCCTCTCATCACAATATAATTTAAGTGTAACCTCTCATCACAATATAATTTAAGTGTAACTTATGTTGTTATAAAATTATATTTAAAACGACTATTTGCTTGGCAAATGTAAATGTACTTTCTTTGGACGAACAAAAGAGTACTTTGCATCAATTTTTCCAAGTCTATGTTATTATGTGTTGTGATAAGACCCTACCCATCAACCCTTTCAATTTCAACCATTGCACACATCAATTATTGAAAGAAAAAACACTCCCTTTGAAGATCCTACCTCATTAATTCAAAGAATTATTGTTCGTCCAAAAATAAAATAAAATTATTACTTTGATGTCAACAAACATCTTGTATTGGAATCAATTGTGACATGTCTTGTATGAACTATTACTAAATTCTGTGAGTTCATATGAAGCATCCGCTTCTTGTTACAACTTCTTCCTCTATTTGATGAACAATTGTATAATATATCTTTTCTCTTTTCTAACTAGTTTCTACTTGTAAGATCGATTTGTCTCCAGCTGCTCTTCACATTACATGGAATTGTTACTTTCAAGACTCTAATGTAGCCATCATTTCTATCTAATTTGAAACTAAAGTCGTGTGTGTGTTAAAATGCAATCAATTGGGTTTTATGTTCTTTAAAAATTATATATTTGATTTAACTTCAACTATGAATTGTCATGTAACCTCATATTACCAAGATTTATCTGATTTTATTCCTGGTTCAGAATCAAATCCCTGCCGCACCTTATTATGCATAAATATTACAATGCAAGGAGGGTGTCATATTACCAGGAAAAATGACAATAAGACTCATTCTTATGCCCTCTTCTGAGGCTTGCACACTTAAATCATAATCTCAACTGTCAGTTTTAATACCCAAACTGGGGAAATGAGGATTACCTAACCCGGCGATTGATAATCCTTCCATAATTTGACAACATCAGACAGCATGCTAGTAAAGTAATCAGGTCGTATGCGATTTGATGGATCCTCAAGATCTGAAAGATTTGTCACACCTGGCAATGGCAAGCTATAAGTAAGCAACAATAATGTATTTTTTTTTTCTTTTTAATGCATATTCCCATGATTAAGAAATAAATCATACAAAGAATCCACTTCCCACCTGAAAGAACAAGAAGGGTTCTACAACCACCGTTCTGTCCAAATAAAATGTCAGTGTCTAATCTATCCCCAACCATGCACATCCTAGACGTCGGAATATTGTATCTGAAAGGGAAAATAATGGCAAAGCCCGATGAAAAAACAACTGGTATAGCAGTCGGAAATCAAGATTTAGCATGTTTAGAGTATTGGGTGAGGATGGATACTGTTCCAGCAGATAGTCCATCAAGAAGGTGGACGGTTTTCCTACTACAACTGGCTCCCTTTGTGTGGAGACACACATTGCAGCAACCATACATCCTGCACCTGAAACACGGGAGAAGAAAGTGTATCAAAAATACATTTAGCTTAATATATGTGGAGCTAATTAGGGGGTGGTGGTGGCTTAAAATATACCAGGCCATTCTTGGTGACTAGTTAGATGGGCTGCGGCATCGCGGTTTGTAGCAATAAATAGACATCCTGGATTTTCTTGTATACATAGAGTGCCATACCTAAGACATTATTTGACTGCTCATTATGAACATTTAATAGAGAATTTATTATTTTTTTTAATGGTAATGTTCCATTCATGCTTCTTGAGTGTGCGCTTCTATACAGATGAATAAATAAAAAAAAGGAGTAGATAGCGAACAAGAAAGGACTCACGGGGTTATTAGGATAATGATGGTAGATATGTTCCATATGCAGTATGCTGGAATTAAAGATATAGGTAGGAGACAAGGGGGTCTTACTGTAGCTTGTAGTAGTTTATATGCCGATCAAGTCCAACCACTACAGCTCCCACCTAGTGTAGCCATAACACAACATACAATCAGTGGACAGGCATAATCCTGTAACAAAGATATAAGCAGGATGGGAAATTACACTCTTGTCGTGCTCGAATAGACTGTTTGATTTCAATTGGATGGTTTTTTTTCCATCTTCCTGCAAGAATATATCATAATCATCAAATGCCCTAAAACCTGGAAACATGGCCATCACCCAACCTTTAATTTCATGCTGTTCTCGGGACAAACTAAACATTTTTCAAGAATAAAAACAAAAAGACTCTTGTTTGCAGGATTAGTGGGAAGTCATGATCCTCTGCATATTTATCTTAAAACTAAAAGCATATTGCTCTACTGTATTAACATAGATGCGGAATCAATTTATTGTGCCTACCGAATCTCAAGGCTTTAAAAGAATGGAATGAAATAGTTCAGATTATTTTTCGACATACCAAAACTAAGCATATTTACGAGAAATGATTAACCAAACGAAGAAACACAGATGACCGATAAAGGGTTCCACATATTCATATAAAAGCACTTAACATTAACCAGTTTACCCTCAGTAAGCATCAGCACATGATCTACATCTAATCTCAATCATTTAGAAGATAAAACATGAAAACAATAACCTAATTTGGTTGTATAAAGAATTCGAGAAAGATTACAGCAAGCTTACAGGACCACCAAGACAAGTATAACCAGCAAGCGTCACTTCTTCCAATATGCCTTCCTCACCAATTGCATATACCTGCAAAATCAACACATTTTGTGTGGGTTTTTTGAGTCAGTGGGATAAATGATAGAATTCATCATCTATTATCAAGTGAATATATAAGCAAGTTAAATCAGTTGAGCTATAATGGAATCCCAATTATTTAGCACATCTAAGATTCTTTTAATTATGAAGCTATTGGGGATGCTAAGTAAGATGAGGCATATACCTTCTTTTCTTTAGGAAAATTATTTACTTTCAAGTACATGGCTGCAGCGAATGATGAGCAGAAGATCTCATCCTACATTCAAAAAATGATATCAGCAAGTTTCTGATTCTGAATCCTTAAGAACAGAATGACCAATGACCAATAAAATAAACCTCGGAGACGGAAATGCCAAGCGAATGAAACTTCTTGGCATTTAGCCTTCTGGACTTTGTCGAGTTGTTAGTTACAAAAATCAACTTCTTTCCCTATCCAAAGAGACGACCAAACAAAAGGTTCGTCGTAATTCATTGATCAACTAAAGCAAAAATCTAAAGTGAAACGGGGAAAAAACAAAAGAAAACAGAATAAAAATACCATAGCTCTAAGGGCTTCCAGAGTGTCCGAAACGCCGTCAATCAGCGCGTCTCCTCTCCAAATGACACCTGAGATTTTGAATGCAAACCATCAGAAACAGATACGAAGATCATTCAGTTCGTGAAAGGCGATGCTATGCGCGCGCAGTGATCGAACCATCGCAGTCGAAGAGAAACGCATCGACGGAATCGAGGAGATTCGCAGCAGACTGAGGAGTGAGGCGTTGACAAGTAGATTTCTCTTCTCCGGCCATCCGGCGCCGACGAGTCGAATCGCTGTTCGAATCGTCCTTGGACGGAGTAACAACTTATACGAGTGAGCTAGCTTAGTGACAAGTGATTTTGTTTGGTCGGTATGATTTTAGTAAATATTTAAAAATTTAAAAGATAATTTATCGGTATAATTAATAATTTAAATATTATAAATTATAAATTTTAAAATTTAATTAAAATAAATAATATTTAGATATAAAAATTTAAATAAAATATAATTAGTGAGTAATTTATATACTTAAGAAAACAAAACATTGCAGTGTCTACAATTCCATTTTTATTTTTATTTATTAAAAAAACGGGTTATTATGTTCTTTTATATGTTCTCTAACATAATTTGACTACAATAAAGGTTCCGTATAAGAAAACCTGAAGTACAAGTAAGTTCAGAAACAAATGGCGGTTCTCAGCGCAAGTGCAGCGGCAACTGCACAATAGGGGTGCGTAATTTATCTCGCAATCCATTGCTGGCTTCTCCATCGAAGACATGGCCAATGCGAATGGAGCTACAACGGATCTGAGGGCGGAGTTTCTCAATGTGTACTCGGTGCTCAAGTCAGAGCTCTTGAACGACCCTGCTTTCGAATGGGCCGATGCTTCTCGCCAATGGGTCGAGCGGGTTAGGTTTCTGCTTTGATTTTCGCCCTCATTTTTAGCGTTTCATCGTCTCCGCGCTTTATTCGGAAATACCTTGCTGTTATCTGTTGTCTGTGGATTATTAGCTAATGAGGAGTCGTGCAATTTAACTACCCTTACTGTAATACTTCAAATCTGTTAAAAATGGCGCTATTAGACTGATTCGTGTGAACCGGGCGGTGGTTTAGATCACAGTGCCGATTGAATTCAATGGATTTCTATGTTTCGACTTTCTACATTGAAGTGTTCTTAAATATATCACATCAACTTTGAATTTCCATGTCCGAATTTAATTCTAGGTATATGTTAGTCTATGCTGTTTTCTTAATATGCATAGTATTAAATGTTGCTAGTTACATTTTGCTTGTGGAAATGTGAAACCTTAATCTTTTTGCCTGTGTTATATTTGATTGGATGATTCCTGCGGATCTCTACTGTTGTTGATAGAAAAGTTGCGTTTGATCGTTTGTGTGTTTTTGCTTCTGAGAATGCAATTATATCAGTTAAAAGATGCTCAGAAAGAGTTAAATTTTATGAAATGTCATATTTAGTACCCTACACATGGAGCATCAGAAAGTGTTAATATTTTACACACTATTGTTACTGATTGAGCTCCTTTTGTATACAACAGATGCTGGACTACAATGTGCCTGGAGGTGAGATAAGCATCATCATTTTTTTCGTTTAAGGTGACGGATGGTATATAGTATCTGTAGGGATTTTCAACATAAATGGAAAGGCTTTTTTTTTTTAATTGTTTGCAGGGAAGTTAAACCGGGGAATGTCGGTTATTCATAGCTACAAGTTACTTAAAGAAGGAAATGATCTAACTGAAGAAGAAGTGTTTCTGGCTTGCACCCTTGGCTGGTGTGTTGAATGGGTAGGTTGGAATCCAGTTATTCTCTTTTGAGCTGCCGATCTATTTTCACAGAAATAAAATGCAGTAGACATGCAGCTTCAGGCATACTTTCTTGTCCTTGATGACATTATGGATAATTCTCACACAAGACGTGGCCAACCATGTTGGTTTAGAGTTCCCAAGGTCTGTGTAGAATGCAAATTTCCCATAGAAGTTTCTCCACACAGTATTTATCTTGGTCGGACTGTATTCTAGGTGGGGATGATTGCTATAAATGACGGTATCCTACTTCGAAATCAACTCCTTAGGGTTCTCAAAAAGCACTTCAGAGAAAAGCCCTACTATGTGGACTTGCTGGATTTGTTCAATGAGGTAATGTAGCTATTCAGAATTCAGACATGATTACTTTAATTGTTTGCAAATGCTAAATTATATATTCATCATTTTCTTCAGGTGGAGTTTCAAACTAATGTAGGACAGATGATAGATTTGATCACTACTATTGAAGGAGAAAATGATCTATCAAAATACTCATTGCCTCTGTGAGTACAAAGATTCAATACCCGGCATCATGATAAAAAAAAAAAGGATATGTCTAAACGAACATGTCACCTGTTCTTGTATGCATCTTACTATGTGCATGTTCTTAAATTTTAACCTGAGCTTCTTTCTCGTATTCATTTTCTGATGTTATGGTTCGTTTTACTGCAGTCACCGTCACATTGTTCAATATAAGACTGCTTACTACTCATTTTACCTTCCAGTGAGCATCTTCCAGCATTTTGTAGACCTGTAAGTAATTAATGTCTCTCTTTACCTTAACTTCTAATCTTGTACTTAAGTAGGTTGCGTGCGCTCTGCTCATGGCGGGCGAGAAACTTGAAAACCATGTTGATGTGAAGGATTCACTCGTCGAAATGGGAATCTACTTTCAAGTACAGGTGAAGGATTAATCTTCAACAGTTTTTCTTTTTTTAGATTTATACACATTTAGAAATTTACAGAGGCTACAACAAACTTCGTAATCTTTCAACATATTCTTTATCTATTCAGGACGACTACTTGGATTGCTTTGGCGATCCTGAAAAGATTGGAAAGGTGGTTCCCCCACACACACGTTGAACTATCTAGCTTTTTCAAGAATGATTAATCAATCCATGTTATTTGCATTTTTAGATTGGAACTGATATCGAAGATTTCAAATGTTCTTGGCTTGTGGTGAAGGCGCTTGAGCTTTGTAGCAAAGACCAACAGAAAATCCTTCATGTAAGCACTCATCCTTTCCCTGTTCTTCTTTAAAAGCTCGGCGAATTTGCACATTGACATCCAGCCTTCCAGGAGCACTATGGGAAGTCAGATCCAGCTGAAGTTGCAAAAATCAAAGAACTATACAACGAGATTAATCTTCAACGAGTGTTTTCAGAATATGAGGACAAAACCCACAAGCGACTAACAAGCTCCATCGAAGCTCATCCTAGCAAAGCCGTGCAAGCAGTGCTGACATCCTTCTTGAGCAAGATATACAAGAGGCAGAGATAAGATCAAGAGCTTTGAGTATGAACGATGAACGGCTACTTCAAATCCACTAAGTCAATATTGATATGATATTGTCCGTTAATTAAGTGTGACTTTTTTTGGGAGGTTTCGGTAAATCGTAAATTAAAATACAAATAAAAAAAGAAACCCCCCGAGACCTCCAGATCGTGGGCTCAAATTCTCGATGTCTTCAGGTCAGTGTATTAGGTTCAGTTAGAGGTTTACGCTTGCAGTTTCGGACAGCGGCTACGGATTTTACCGTCATAAAATAATAATAATAATAATAATGATTTTATAATCTATATGTATAAAAAAATAGTAAACACATTTTTAAGATAAGAGTAATCTTAGAAATTGTTGGAGGCTATAGAAAATATTTCAATGTAGAATAGCCGTCATCTATTACTTCATGTGCTTTATTCTTGGGAGCACCCGGGAGTCCCAACGCCATTGAAATCCCATCCGCTGGTTCTCGTAAGAATCTACCTGGTGTTGGAAGTCCAGGAGCTCCATAAATAAGCACGAGACGCTCACGTGGTGGTTGTTGAAATGTCAAGCATGCTTGCCAATTTTTTCCTCACATTTAATCCCTTCACTGTTGCAAAAAAATATTTTATGAATTAAAAAAATATATAAAATTATAATATAATTCAGAGTCAGACAAATTACTTCAACTTCACGCGGAAATTATTTATAATATAATCATTCGTGTCCTTTTTAGTTTTGTTATTCAAATTTTATATTTTAAGTGAACACAATTGTTGATTATAATTATTATTTTAATTAAAAAGGAAAAGGTCTTTTTATTAGTAGTATTATTATTTAAATAAATAATAGTAGTACTATACTATAAAATTGACTGGTAAAAAAAGTCAACTAAGTCCGTCTAACGACTTAAGACGCGCAATTGCAGATTGATTTTCCATTCAAAAACAACGGAAATGGAGATCGGAAAGTTTGCGGTCTGAATCAAGTCAAGTCCAGCAGATTCGTGTTCCGGCGTTCCGACAGTTTATTGGATGATCGAAGTTCCGACAGTAGGAATATTTGCTTGTAACAGCGTTTCAGCTTCTGAAAAGTTCTTTTTCGTTTCGTCAATCGCATATTCTTCCGATTGGTTGATGCAATCGATCGATTCTGTTAATTCTACTTCCTTTTCTGTTACGAATTTCTTCATTCTTGGTGTATTTAGTATCTTTATTGAAGTCGATTATTGGATTTTCCCCTTTGATGAAAATGAAGCTTCTAGTCCGTGTGCTCGAAGCTAAGAACTTACCGGCCATGGACCTAAACGGTTTCAGCGATCCATATGTAAGGCTACAATTGGGGAGGCAGAAATTCAGGAGTAAAGTGGTGAAGAAGTGTTTGAATCCTATTTGGCGCGAGGAATACACTTTCAAAGTGGATGATTTGAATGAGGAGCTACTTGTAAATGTTCTGGATGAAGATAAGTATTTCAATGATGATTTTGTTGGGATGATCAGATTGCCAATCAGTCAGGTTTTGGAAGCCAAAGACAAGTCCCTCGGGACTTCGTGGTACAAGTTGCAGCCTAAAAACAATAAGTCGAAGACCAAGGATTGTGGTATAAACTTTATCTTATTTTTGCTCTGTATTTTGGGCATTGAGGAATTTATTGAGCTTCTGTTGTTATTTGGTAATTGTGAGATGGATGGATGATGAATGTGTGAAGTTTTAGCATATGTGTGTGTAGTTCATTGTTTGTGTTTGATCGTCGTGACTGACATATTGTTTTTCCTTTTTTGTTCAACAGGTGAAATTCTTCTGACTATTTGTTTGTTGCAAAATAACAAATTGTCGGACCTGCAATTTGCTGGTGATCCTGTGACATTGCAAAGAAGGAGCATTGACACAACGTCGGATTCATCTGCAAGGTCGTCTCCTATGCGAGCATCTCCTTTGAGGAGGATGGAAGATGTCATATCTAAGGATGAAAAGTCATATGCAGTGACATTTACTGGTCGAATTGCTAGGATGTTTAACAAGAGTTCGGATTCAACATCTGTTAGTTCTGTTGAAGTATCTGATGCATCGGAGTTACCTGAAAGTGTGGAGTCTGTGGTATTGGAGCATAAGTCTGAAGAGGAAGATTCATCAGCTGGTTTCGATGAAATCTTGAAGAATATGGAGATGAGAGATGAAGGAGCTGAAGTTCCAAGCAGTTTATCTGGAGGTGTAGTCCTTGACCAAATTTATGGGACAACGCCTCGAGAATTGAATTCAATACTATTTTCACCCGATTCAACTCTTTTAAAGTCTCTGTTCGATGCTCAAGGATCCACAGATGTACAAATAGGAGCCTGGAAAAATGAACACACTAGTGAAGGCATGAAAAGAGTGATCTCTTATACTAAAGCCGCTAGTAAATTAATTAAAGCTTTGAAAACAACTGAGGAACAAACCTATGTGAAAGCAGATGGTAAAACTTTTGCTGTTTTATCCAGTGTAAGCACTCCAGATGCTCCATATGGGAAAACATTTAGGGTAGAAGTTCTTTACTGCATCACTTTAGGGCCCGAGCAGCCTTCAGGAGAACAATCATCCCGTCTTGAAGTTTCTTGGCGAGTTAACTTTTCTCAGAGCACTATGATGAAAGGTATGATCGAAGGTGGAACAAGGCAAGGTATTAAGGAAAGCTTTGATCAGTACCAAAAGTTGCTAGCCGAGATCGTGAAGCCTCTTGATCTTAAAGATGTAGGTTCTGAGAAAGATCAACTTTTAGCATCACTTCAAGTGGAACCTCAATCTGATTGGAAACTTGGGATACAGTATTTTGCTAATTTTCCAGTCATTTCTGCAATTTTCATGGGATTATATGTGCTTGTGCACTTATGGATGTGTATGCCGAGTACAATTCAGGGTCTAGAGTTTGTTGGCTTAGACTTGCCTGATTCAATTGGTGAATTGGTAGTTTGTGGAGTATTGGTTCTGCAAGGGAAACGTGTTCTGGAATTAATATCTCGTTTTATGCAGGCCAGAGTGCAAAAAGGTAACCCAATGTTATTATTGTTGAATCAAACATACAGTGATTTTGGGACTAACCAACCCCTATTTGATTTCAATAGCACCTATCTTTGTATCCATGAAGCTTACTGGTATACAATCTGCATACATTATGTACTATGTTTGTGTGTGCTTATGCATTTTAACAGTTTACTGCTTTTTTAGCAGTCATATATATATATTACTTGTCACTTAGTTATTCTAATTACTGGATATGTTATTAGGTACTGATCATGGAGTCAAAGCACAGGGGGATGGATGGTTGCTCACAGTTGCCTTAATCGAAGGAAGCAATTTAGCAGCTGTTGACTCAAGTGGATTTTCTGACCCTTATGTGGTTTTCACTTGCAATGGAAAACCAAGGACCAGTTCTATCAAATTTCAGAAATCTGATCCTCTTTGGAATGGTATTCCTGCTAATATTTTTGGTCTTATTTGATAGCTGTTGTAAAAAATCAATGATATTTATACAGGGAGGTCTGAATAGATGTTTTGTTGCAGAAATATTTGAATTTGATGCCATGGATGAGCCTCCATCAGTGCTGGGAGTGGAAGTATATGATTTTGATGGTCCTTTTGATGAGCCTACATCTCTTGGACGTGCTGAAATAAATTTCATAAAATCTAATATATCAGATCTGTCAGATATCTGGATTCCTCTACAAGGAAAGCTGGCCCAAGCTTGCCAATCGAAGTTACATCTAAGAATTTTTTTGAACAATACTAGGGGGGGCAATGCTGTCACAGATTATTTAACTAAGATGGAGAAGGAGGTCGGGAAAAAGGTATAAACCCTTTTGCAATACACCTAATCATACTATCACACTGGTTATTGATTTTCCTTTTGCTGAGTTGATTAAAAATGTCTGTAAAACACTTGCAGATAAGATTGCGGTCTCCTCAGACGAATTCAGCATTCCAGAAGCTTTTTGCACTACCCCCTGAAGAGTTTCTCATTAATGATTTCACTTGTCACTTGAAGCGGAGAATGATTCTCCAGGTAAGTATATAGTTTCATTCATTTGATTTAACTATTCATGTTGGTCTTTGAATATAATGGTGTTGAATTTCTTTTCTTTTGTTGTATTTCATGTTAATTTCTTGCCAAATGACTTGCTTATCTGGTGCCAGGGCCGTCTGTTTCTATCAGCAAGAATAATTGGGTTCCATGCAGATTTGTTTGGTCACAAAACAAAGTTTTTCTTTCTCTGGGAAGATATCGAAGACATTCAAATCACAGCTCCTACTTTGTCATCAATGGGTAGTCCAATCATTATTATAACTCTAAAGGCAGGAAGAGGATTTGATGCAAGACATGGTGCAAAGACGCAGGATAAAGAAGGCAGGCTGAAGTATTATTTTCATTCGTTTGTGTCTTTCAATGTGGCACACAGGTAACCTAAACTCTAAAATGTTCTTCTATATATGATGCAATGGTGTTATTTCTTCAATTCACTTTTCTATAGTGATGTAGATGGTTCTCTGTCCTCCACATCTTTGGTCAATGTTATTGTCACAACTCTTTGTAATTAACCTTTCTATGATTAATAATTTGATTTCTTTTTTTTATGTGATTTTTTTTTTTTTTTTTTTTTTTATAATCTCTCGTGCCTTCTATGTCTTAATGAAAGGAAAACTAAACCACGAAGTAAAAATTTCTTTCTTTAAATGATTGACGGGTAGATGAGATGAAGTTCTCTGGTATTAGAAACCAATTTTGATCAATCAAAATGTCTCGATAGCGCTTAGATTTTCTTTCAGAGATGGACAACATACTTCTAAAATTTATGATTTTTGGAGGTTGTTTGAATATAATTTATTAAATAGATTATATCTTCTGTGCTTTTGCCAGAACAATTATGGCACTCTGGAGGGCCCGAGCCTTAACCCCTGAGCAGAAGGTACAAATTGCCGATGAGGAATGCAAAGCACAAAGTGGGCAGGCTGATGAGCTGAAGAGTCTTCCTGCAGCAGATGAGGAACTTGATGCTAAAGTGGCAGATGAAGAATCCGAAGCCAAAACCCTTCAGACTGAGGAGAGCGGATCTTTACTGGAAGTTGGGGATATCAATATGTCGGCAATTTACTCTTCTACCCTATCTCTTCCTGTGAGTATTATTTTCCCCACCTTGCATTGCATTCAGGAAAATGGGTTCTTCGGCCTGTTTTGTTTGATGAGCTGCATTAGATGATGTTAGGACAGCAAATTTACTGAATACGCCTCTATTGTTTCAGACTAGTTTCTTTATGGAGTTGTTCAGAGGGAGTGACATTGACCAAAGAGTGATGGAGAGAGCCGGATGCCTCGACTATACTCACAGCCCTTGGGAATCTGAGAAGCCAGACGTATACCAGAGGCAAATTTATTACAAATTTGAAAAGCGGGCTTCATGTTATGGAGGAGAAGCGACAATAGCTCAACAGAAATCCCGACTTTCTGGTCAAAGTGGATGGCTCATCGAAGAGGTCATGACTCTCCACGGGGTTCCACTTGGAGACTATTTTACAGTAGGGTCCTATCTACTATGCTTTCATTAATGTATATCACATTTTCTGGAATTTTCTCTTCTCTGTTCTATTTCTCCGTCACCATCTCCTTTGATCAATATGCATTTCTTTCCTGCAGCTTCACTTAAGATATCAGGTTGAAGATTTGCCATCAAGATCTGTAGGTTGCACTGTTCAAGTACACTTTGGCATTGCATGGATGAAATACACGAGGCGTCAAAAGAGGATGACAAAAAACATAGTTTCAAATATGCAGAAGCGCCTAAAAGTCATGTTCAGCTTATTGGAGAAAGAATATGTTTCAAAGGCATAGGCATGCCTTTGTTGTTTCATTAGATTGACCAGATAGAATAAACGTCCCGAGTATTTCTCAACCATGACAAGCATGAACTACATGTGCAGCTCAGAGACCTGTGATTCGATGCTAACATCGTCCTTGCTTACTCTGTGAGGCTCTGATCAAGATGTTGGGACTAACTGTATATATCTATGCGAAGTTAACTGCACCGAATCTATTGGGAGACATTTAGGGCTACAGCAAAACGGGGACCAGTTTTGTGAGATGGCTGCTGCACTGTCATACAACAGCTGTATACTCGGTATTTCAGAAAACCTTGTATTCTTTTAGGTACTATAAGTTACATTTCTTGTAATATGATATATGTCCTTTTTTATGGACGAGACCAAATCTTAATAGAATTATAGAAATTCTTTCAGTGCTAGATAGTTGGGATGCATTCTTTTATGGCTTCTGTGTATGACCAATGTTGACACCACATGTTCAAATAATGTGCTCTGTTAATATATAATTTTGCCTCTTCTAATGTTAGAATGTTGTTTCGATTACGTTTTTCTCTATGTTGACCATGTTTATGTTATCAGTTGCAGCTACTAAATCTAAGCGATGAGGGTGCAGGTACAGAAATTGTGTCAAAACTGTCAATATATGTACTTTTAGCTCATTTTGAACATTGTTGAATTGCAGTACTTGTTCATTATCAAAGTTATATTAATCTAACTTGTGTTGAATGATCACTAGCATTGGGCAAACACTCTTTGGGGGGTTTTGACATTAAAAAAATAAGCAGGAATTCTCTTTAGTAGCTGATTTCTCGTTTGATGTAGTCGGTAAATGATCTATGGTAAACTTAGTATCTTGTTGGTAATGAGATCAGAATTTGCTAACCTTTGAATACATTCTTGTTATGCAAATTCCGCCGCCAAAAGCTGCTACATGAACTTCTCTCGAATGACCTATCTGTCCTCCAGGTTAGTCTCATAAAGGTTGGTGGGCAGTTCCAGAATCCTGCCGACTGTGGAAGAAAAGGTTTGCAATCTCATCATTTTAATGCTTCATAATGAAGTCATGCCTAATATATCCATAAATCTTTCAATTCCTTTGGGTACATTATGTTTTATCCTTGCTTCTTATGTTCTGTAGTACAGTTCAAATTTTCTTTATTTTCATACATAACTTCAGTTGTTCTTTGTAGCTTTGTCACTCCTCCTGTATATCCTCTTAACCATTTTCCTTGTTTGTGTCCCTTTAGATTTGTTCGTAGCATTCAAGAAATCCGCGACTAATCTAAAGGCCATTCCACTGTCTCCATCCAAAATCCCACCAATAACCCGAGCAGCTGCCTCGTGGGAATTCAATTGGCCGTACCTAATGTAAGTCACTCGATTGTAGCTTGTGTTATGATCAACCATGTTGCCGTAAGTACTTTCACTCTCCTGAGCACCGCCAGCCTGCATAATTTCCGATCCCATTCCAATCTTGCTTTCAAACTTGTTGAATTCATCGAAACATTCAGTGAACTGTTCTGATGCATTGTAAGATGTGCAGCTATCTGTGTTGTCTCCCCCATCGCAGATATACATGTCCACTAGCTCTTCAAGCTTCATGGCTTCAGATGACCTCGACTGCGATACTATCCTCTCCTGGAATTTGTAGAAATCTTGCGCTACTTTTTCCAGGTGATCGTCGCTGACTTGTGCTGTATCCTGTGATTTGCAGGCGTACGTTTCATTTCCTCCGCTGTAGATGTACAGATCCACAAGCTCTTCGAGTTTCATGGCACTGCTCGCCCTCGACTGCAAGAGTTGGCCCCGGAATTCATTGAAGTCTTGCACAACTTCTTCCAGTTGATCATCAATGGCTTCAAGTTGTAAGTTATCTGCATCAGTATCCATTTTCTCCATGCCTTGCATTGCAATCACACCATTATTATGCATCAAAAGAAATCATCAACCCTTTTCTGTACTGTACCTAAAATTAGAGTAAAAATACCTTCAAAAAATATCACATTATATTTTTAAAAAGAAACGAAGAATGAATAAAATTTTCCACACTGTCTAGTGCTTCCTCAAGTCTTTAGAATATTGCCATGGTACAGTCAGAAATTCAAACTGCATATAATATAGGGTAGCGAGAGAGAGAGAGGGAGAGATTACTGTACATATATGTATGTATAACATTATTCAATTTACAGTGCTAAGCTAACCATACTGCAAGAACAAATTGCTAGAAGTCATTTATCATGTCTGATTCCTATAGAAAACAACCAAGAGGAGAAGATTCATTCATCTCCCATGGACAAAAGAAGGCACAAGCAGGATAATAACAACTCCTCTCTCTCTCTATATCCCCCTCTCTCTCTCTGCCTGCTTGTATTTGGTTCCTTAATTATCTTATTCCTCTGTACATACTTCTACAGATAGTTATAACCATTCAATGGTTTCTTGCCGTCAGATCCAGCGGATCGTAATCGTATGGATCCCCTGCTTTCACAAAACGCCCCTTCACGCGCTTCCTGACATCAGCCCTCGCCTTGCGTGATTCGTATCTAATTTTCTTGTTGAACCTGTTCAAAGGGAGCCATTCAAATGAATTGTTTTTGTTCGATACTATGGAAAAAAGTGAAGGTAGAAGATAGCTTCAACGACTATACTTACATGCGTGACTTCCTTTTCTCTTTATATCGTAAAACTGCATCATCTCTTGTGGCTGATGAAAATGGATTGTCAGGAAGAGGAATATTATCGCTTGGGTATTCCTCATGAATAACCATCGAGAACCCACCACCACAGTCCCGGTGATCACTGGTTCCCGACTCCCTTTGCTGCCCTGCTCTTGAATGTGGATTAGTAGTCGATGCCAGTTTTGGATTACAAATATTCTGATCAATTTTGCTGGTGTCACTGGGCACTTGCCGGCTGCAGGCCTTCTCTCCGTCTGATTCCTGGAATTTTCAATCGAGTTCAAGTTAACATACAAGGAAGCACATGCAAAGAGCTAATAACAACAAATAGAAAGCTATAGGACAAACCTGTTCTGCATGCGAATGCTTAACATCGCATTCAATATCATGTGAGTCTCCAAGTTCGAATAAGTTATCCATTCCGTTGTTCTCAAAGTATTGTTCTGGATCGTCAAGGGATTCATCTAACAGACCTTCACAGTTCTCCAAGCTCAAGTCAAGATCCGAGGTATCAAAATCATGGTAGATGACATCATGGGTGGATTCAGATTCGCATTCTTTTATTCTCGACGGCCATTCCTACAATATAAAGGTAATTAATTACATATTGGACAAACAAGAATAGTAAATTCAAGGGAGCAAAGATGCCAAAAACTTCACAACCACCACCACCAAATATAATGCCTCTTAGGTTAATTCTGGCAGCACATTCTACGACTGCATAGGTACCAACTAGATTGCTAACTTGATGATGTATGCATTCTTAATCCAACCAGGTCGGAGGTTCGTTAGAAGTGAGATCCAAAATAAAGTATAGTTAGTAACATACCTGCGCAGAATTTGGACCCCAGTGAACCAACAGCGACAGCCAAAAGAGCATGAATGCAGGGGAATCGGACCTATTAGAGGATAAGTTCAGGCTAGATGATGTTTCTTTCCCAATTTAAAAAATGTATAATTGATTAAGAAGGGGTAAGAAAAAATAAAATCATTGTTGTAAACTAGAAATGTGTTTCCCAAGATCTGGCTGAGAAGGAAAAGTCAGAAAGATTTTTAGAAGTTTCGGCCTTTTTTGTTGGATGAAATAACTTAGCTGAAAGTCCTACTCGAATTTTGTATGCCACAAAGTATTGTGAAGGACCTTTTCCCCTACAATGCTGTTGGTGTGCTGAATAAAAGCTCCACTGGCTTCCTGATTTTCGCATTGACGATTATGTATGAAGATGATGCAGGTTCGATGTTTTACCTTTTCTTTGAGAGGATTCAGGGATTCACTTCCATGGAACTGCTCCACATAAGAATCCATCATAGTCATAACAGCGTCCTCCATATCACAATCGATAGGCGACAGTGGACGCTGAGACTGGACTTCGTCTCCCCCCTCTTTGAGATCACAGAACGACTGCCCGAAGGAAAAGAAGGACCAAATTTTTGAAAATTCAGCCGCTGAAGGACATCCAGAATAACAATTGATCGTCTCCCGTTTATGCTCGGATGACATGGCCGGGGGAATATGTCCAGATCGATTGCAGTCTTCGCAGAGCGAGAGCTTCTCCTCCAGGCACCTTACTGATGCAGGCTGACAATGGCATTTCTCACATACAAGGGTCCTTAAGTGGCGCTTAGATAGAGAATTCGCCGAATGAATGTTCCGGTCACAGGACAGACATAAGGAAGCAGCATCAGACCTGCAATAGATCATCGATCTCTGCTCCTTGCAGAAGTCACAGCATATGCGTTCCCCCATTGTTGATAACCAATCCTGCTGAAAAAAAGGTAGCAAAAAAGCCCCAATGGCAGTGATCAATTAGTAAACCTATGCCAATTATCAAACTCAGATTTCATACATCCTGTAGCTTAGGATGATAATCCAAGCTGAAGTGAATTCAATTCAAGACATAGACGTACACAATCAAGGTTCTTAAAACTCCACTGTAAACCTACTTAGAGCCAATTTCTTGTTTACTTTAATCGAACCCTAAATTAAAGATAAAAACACATATAGAAGAAGAAGATAAGGAGCATCGAGTGTAAACTCTCCACCATACCAGCATAAGATCCTTTCATAATTTCTCGAATCACACCTTTGCGATTCAAACCAACAACCAAAAAAGGACTAAGAACACGAGACACAGTTCACACAGAACATACAGAAGAATAACGCAAAAGAGAAGGAAACAGTAACAATAAACCAACCAGTATCACTAGCGCGACGGTCTTGGAGACAAAGCAGCAGCAACAGTAGCTCCTCGAGCAGGAATATCAAAAAAGAAGAACAATATAAACAAATAAGAAAAAAACAAAGGCGCAAACTTAAATATCCTCGAACAAGAAACGAGACTCGGTTCGATTCTTATGAAGCGATTGACTCAGGAATCGGATGGGAGGCTCCGGCGGCGAGCGTGAGGATGTGCGGATGGCGGTGGCGGTGGCGGTGGGGATGGGTGGATGGATGGATATGATACTAAAATAAAGTTGCAGTAAAATAAATTAAAGGATGGGCCAATTGAGAAGGAAACAAAGGAGCTGACAGAGAGATAGAGACACGCTTTTTGGGGCAGATGTGGCGATTTATTACTGCAAATTGCGCTTTTTCTACTGTTTGATAGTTCCTTGTTTGTTTGTCTTTTGCTGTAATTAATTAATGTAATAATAATATGCTACTAATAAGTATGACTGATATCTCATAATAAAGTGCAAGCTCTATCCACACCAACGCTTCTTTTATATTAAAAATAGAAATAAATAAAAATAAAGGTATTAAATTATATAACACTTTTTTGTATGTTTTAACAAAAATATACTCATGTGTTCAAAATGAAAACTTAAAATATTTTGAATAATTTAAATTTTATTTAGAACAAAACAATAGATTTTGTGCAAATTTTACAGTTTCACAAAAAAAAAAAAAAAAAAAAAAAAACATAACACAAAATTTTGTTATATAATTTATTTTTATATAAAAATACACTATTTAAATTATTATAAAAAAAAAAAATCAAAGATAAAACAATTCCTCAATAATGGGCTCATTTTGAACATCCAAATCAATCCCCAACATGATTAATAATGAACAGGGACAAAAACCAAAATGTGACAACAAATGCAAGAAAATAGCGATTAAACTTGTGATTTTGGAATAAGTATCTAAAGTTGGGTTATCTTATTCTCCTCAGATATTTATGGGAAGCATTAATTCTGCTTTTTTTTCAAAAATAAAAACTAGTCTGGTCTTTTTTCTAAATATGTGACAAATTAGGGAATTCGGACAAAATCGAGCTTCCTGTTTAAAGTCACTTTCCGAAATTACTTTACTTACCCACTAATTGTGCCAAATTATGACGGGACCCAATAGGACAGAGAGTTCTTCAAATAGTATTTGGACACGCGAAATATGCATTTCTAGGCAAAGTTGCTATAATTGTCAGCACGCTTTCTAATTTTTATATCAATGGGCTTAGGCCCAATAAGATCAGCCATCTCAAAGGTCTACAAGAATATAACCTATTGGGCTTTAGGCCCAATAGTCGAAACCTTGCCAGCAACCGCAAGCTGGCAGCAGAGTTCGTAGCCGTCTCTGATGTTCTTCGGAGAATCCGAAACTGATTCATAAGCGAGACCACGTTAATCCTGCGATTGCCAGCGGGGGACCACATGTGATAAACGAGTTTCTTCTTTCCTGTTCTACTGCCGATTTGATTATTACTCTTTCAATCCATATCTCTGCCTCCCCTTCCCCACAGACGCAGCAGTAAAGACGTATAGTTACGTACAGGCAGGCCCCGCCATCGCTTCAGCACCCCATCGCCGTTTTGTCTACCTAGGTACGTGTTCGTGCTACCGTTTTCGGATTTTGGATTGATTTTGATAAACCTTATTATTAATTTAAAATTTTTCCCCAATCTTTGGGTTTTTTTAGAGCTATTTTTATGATTCAATGTATGATCAATTTCGATAATTTGGCGCTTGATTGCGGGGGTCCCTTTTGATTGAGGAAAAGGAAGGTGGTCTTCAATTGACGTGCTGTTTTTTTCGAATCAATGTGAAGTTCTTGTGTTTTATTACTTTTAATTGGAATCTTTGTTACTTTGGTCCCCCTTACAAGCCCTTTATCGTACAGTTTCCATAGCGTGAAGATTCTTTGGATTTCATGTTGGTGTTTGGAATTAATTGGTTTTATTTATCGTTGGGCGAAGCTGCTGTATGTATTCTTTGGAAATTTGAAATTTTGTTGAATGGACTAGCGAATTTATCCTCTGGATCACTTGTATATTTTAATTCCTTCTTGGAAGCCTCTGTATGTGTGTGCTTTTAAGTATGATCTTCTTTTGTTAATTTTGAGTTTTACTTCTGTAAGATGTTTTTCGTGTTGGCACTTTTCTGGTTTTCAGATTGGTGTCAGATGTGACTCAGTATTGAGATTTTTAATTTGATTGGGGATCCATGTGAAGAGAGCTGATTAACCAGCTTAGATGCCAAGAAAGATGGAATCTTTGACTCTTATTTTCAATTTAGTAAGACTTGTCGAATATTTTTTGGCTAATCTGAAGTGGAAATCTTAAAACTTTCGAGTTTTGTGGCCATTTCAAATGTCAATGCTTGATGCCACATTTCGCTTTTCAACTCCTTGGATTAAAATATAGCAATAATTGATGTTTCATGGACTTCTGTTTTACCATCAAACCTATGGAATTGCATCTAACGGTTATCGAAAGAGATTTGATCTGAAGTGTGGCTGAGATCTTTCATGATCTGTGGTTTGCAGCCTCAACTTCCTATCTTGTTTCTGATTTTCCTTGATGTGTTATGAAACTTATAACTCAGGCTATTTTATCATCTTTCCTGCTATCGCGAATAGCCAAATGAATTCCCCGATTTCTTGCACTTCAATTTTTGGCTGCAATTTTCTTAATGATGTTTCACTGGTGTATAGGTATGGAGTGTTATGGTTTGGGGAAAAGATGATGGTGCAGTGCTTACAAGGAGTGAAACATTTATTTTCTGCTGTTGTGACTTGTTGTGATTCTGAGATATACAAACAGCCCAGAGGCTTGCAAAATCCTGAAACTCTAGCGAGAGAGACTGTGTGTATGTCATCATCTTTTGTTTTGAATATCATTTTTTCAAAGCCACACTGCAGATGTTAGATTGATGTTAGTGTCTTTATGTGTTATGTTCTTTACCATTAAAACTGAAATATTTGTGAAGAATGTGGTTTTTATTTAACCCCAAATCAGCAAGAGTTGTTTCATGCAGCATACATTAGGGACCATTTCATTTGTGTCTGAATCTAGATGAATCGTTGAATTTTACATTGACGATCTTGTTATTTTTTATTTGGCTCAAATGTTAAAATTTTCCAATTATAATTTTTATTCACACAAAAGTGACACAAATAGGGAATTGGTAAAATTCATGTTTGGATAGTGAGTTCCAAATTAATTAAGTGATGAATTCAAATAAAGTTTTAACGATAAATTTTTATTACAAACATGGCTGGATTTAGGATATTTTGTCATATATAGAATAGATGAACTTTTTAAATTAAGTGTTAAGCGATAACTGTCTCATTTGTTGCTAAAGTTTATATTGCCTATATTATCCCATTGCTCTAATTTCCTGAATGTGTTCAATGTTCATCGAGATTAAGTGTTTAATCATTAAATTTAAAAGATAATTATGCTACTAGACAGGGCTAAGTTAGTTTTGTATGCATACTAATATAGTTGCATTGAGTTTGATTTGTAATTTGATTTGTAATGTGACTTTATCTTTACTCAAATTAAAGTTATAAAAGAACCCCAAACTCTAAGACAGACATTAAATGCAATATAAAAATCTTGAAAATATTGATCACCTAATTATTGAGGCTACAATATGGCAGCCAGCACTCTCTTAAATTTTTTTAAGGATTTTGTAGTGCATGTTCGTAAGTGTAATTGCTTACATGGAGCTGATATTTTGATTTTGAATTTTTTTTTATTAATAAAAACTACTTTAAACTTTCTTTTCATGAGTCAAAAAGGTAAGCTATCTTAACTAGTTGTCTAAATCAATGAAGGTCTTAGTTATTATATGTGATCGTACATTGAGACCTGAGAATATAGATATGTATAATATTTGTACTTTTAGTAACACTTACAGAACTTAAATAAACGAACATCAAGAGGAATGGTAAATACAATTACAACATGTATTCCACGTGCTAACTAAGTTACTCCCTCCGTTCACATAATTTGTCGGTTCTTACTTATATATTTTGATATTTTTTTTTTCAAAAACTACCTTCAAAGAATTTCTTTTCATGAGTCAAAAAGATAAACGATCTTAACTAGTTATCTAAATCGATGATGGTCTTAGTTATTATTTGAGATCGTACATGGAGACCTTTTAATATAGATATGTATAATATTTGTACCCTTAGTAACACTTACAAAACTAAAATAAACGAATATTAAAAGGAATGTTAAATACAATTACAACATATATTCCACGTGCTAACTAAGTTACTCTCTCCAGTTTTCCAATGTGTTTTGATATATTATTTTTTTTCAAAATCTACCTTCAAAGAATTTCTTTTCATGAGTAAAAAAGGTTTAGCAATCTTAGCTATTTGTCTAAATCAATGAAGGTCTTAGTAATTATTTGTAATAGTACATGTAGACTGTATGATATAGATACTTATAATATTTGTACCTTTAGTAACACTTAACAAACTAAAAATAAACGAATATTAAGAGGAATGCTAAATACAACTACAACATATGTTCCACGTGTTAACTAATTACTTTTTCCGTTGTACATAATGTCTAGTTTTCCCATTTCGGTCCATCTAACATATTTTGGTACTTTTTTTTTTTGAAGAAAAATTATACATTTTAATCACATTTTAAATTTCATAATCTATAATTATTTGTATTGTACAGTAATTATTTTTATTAATATACTTTTTAATTATTTACTAATTATGTTATTCCCTAAAATCTCGTATTAATAGTATGCTGGACAAATTATATGGATTGAGGAATAATTTCCGCACGTGTTTTAGTGTGATATAAATATTCCTAGACTACATGACAATGTGAAACATTATAGATTCTATTGAAGTATTAATCAAGCAATTAAAAAAGAATGAAAGAAAAACACTACCACAATAGAAAGTAATAAATAAGACCGGCTTCGTTAGAAGAAAAAAAAAAAGGTTAACAGGAGAACAAAATATGAAATAAATAAATAGAAGACTGTCTATTTAAGAATGTTGAGGGTTCTTACCATGGAAAGTAATATTGGTTTATGCAGCTGCTAGTCTTCAAGTGCTTTATTCATACTCTTGTGTGGTTTTGTTTTGATGCAGTTAGCATTAGTGAAATTGAAGCTTTGTACGAATTGTTTAAAAAGATTAGCAGTGCTGTGATTGATGATGGCTTGATCAACAAGGTACCAAATATTCGCTCATTTATCATTCTCTATTTTAGATATTATTTTCTTGCATATGTTCTTTTACTTGTATTCACGGCTTAATTTGGTTCTTTCCAGGAAGAGTTCCAGCTGGCACTATTTAAGACAAACAAAAAGGAAAGTTTGTTTGCTGACAGGGTTAGTTTCCACGTGTCAAATTAAATAATACGTCTAAATTTCTGGTTGGGCTATTCAATCACATTCCATATCATGCTTCTTCACCTCTGCTTGGCTCTTAGACACTGCACCTTACTTTGCTTTATTTGTTGTTTTGGCTCCTCATCTTGGACTTTACTTCGACAAATTTGTTGTCATCACTACTACCATTGCTGTCTTGGGTTTTTAATCTATCATTATATTTCTCAAGGTCTTTGACTTATTTGATACTAAGCACAACGGGATATTGGACTTCGATGAGTTTGCTCGTGCTCTTTCAGTATTTCACCCCAATGCTCCTATTGATCAAAAGATTGATTGTAAGTCTTTATTTCTAAGTCAGTATTTACGCTTGTCTTGCTTAGGTGCATAGCTTTAATGATCGACTGTTGATGCTGAAGCATGACTTTTAAAGACACACATATTATGTAAACACAATCAGTAATTGAAATTTCATTACATATTCATTTCGATATATTTGTCTAGTTATTTTACGTAGGGGGATTTCGTTGGGTTGGTAGTCTTGGTTCACAACAGTGACTGTGCTCAATTACTTATGTTTGTATTGGATGTGATTTCCGTTCTACTTGCTAAGCCGAAACTTTAATTCAACAGTTTCGTTCCAATTATATGATCTCAAGCAACAAGGATTCATTGAAAGACAGGAGGTAAAACGTTTTTGTTTTTTTTTCCACCTTGAAGACAAAAAGAAACCTGATTAAATTGTTGCCTTGGAGGCTCGTAAGAAGATTCTTATTGTAGTGTTGTGATGTTGTAGTGATATCTCATTGGCTATTGTAGGTGAAGCAAATGGTGGTCGCGACTTTGGCTGAATCTGGAATGAATCTTTCGGATGATATTATTGAGAGCATCATTGACAAGGTGGAGTATTATTTGTTCTCATTCAATATGGACGATGATTTTTAGAGTTGATTAATTTTTCCTCTTCATTTCTTGGTTTGTGGTTTTCTGCTCAATGGCTAATTTGGGTCACTCGTTAAATTGCTTGCCTCTTCTTTAGCATATTTCTCGAATATTTTGTTCTTGTTAAGTAATCAAAATTTAGCTACTGACATAAAGAAAGCGAAGACAAGGAAGGTTTATAAATATATCCTAATTTTTTTTGTTCTTGGATATCCTAAGGCTTGTTCGCGTTATTTTCAGACATTTGAGGAAGCAGACACCAAAGATGATGGAAGGATCGACAAAGAAGAATGGCGTAGCCTTGTGATGCGACATCCATCTCTTTTAAAGAACATGACCCTTCAATACCTCAAGTAAGTAGTCTTTCTTTGTTCTTTCACATTCAATTGTATATTATGAACATTAGGGATCTGCAACTGATTTCTGCAATTCTTTTTTCGCTTACGATGAACAGGGACATAACAACAACTTTCCCAAGTTTTGTATTCCATTCTCAAGTTGATGATACTTAAGTCTCTGCTGCGGCCGTTGCAATCAAGAAAGAATGTTCGACCAAAAACTGAGTGTAAGTGAAAATGAAAAACATTGATTTTTTTGCTGCTTTGGTATTTTAGACACTCATTTGGTGCACTTTCCTTTTAAAACAATTGCAAGGATATTCAATGTTATTTTCTTCGACTTTTTCTGCTTTTGAGATTATACTTTGCGTAAATAAATAAATATTATCGGTATTCATTTTACCCGATTTAACATTTGATGCAAATGCCAGTTTGTTTTCTTTTAATTCTATCAATCAGTCTCAAAGCACAGCTGAATAATGATAATATAGTTATTATTATTATTATTATTGTTTTATATGATTAACCAACGATCTCTTACTTATTCTATGATAAGGTTTCTTTCTTAAATAGAAAAATACAGCTCATATTTGCTTATCCCTGATTGTGATTGGTATATGAAGTTTGACATAAAACTTTTTAGAACGCTTCGGATGTTGATTATCTTAACCAATATGCTCTTGAATTAGTTAGTTTATATATTTTATTTGTATTATTTTGGTATAAAATTTATATTTTTTTTATTTTTTATCAATTTATATTTCACATTTAGCGTGTTGTCACCGTGACCTCTGCTGATTAATATATTTCACAGTCCAACTGACTCGTGAGATTATTATAAGACAAAATGACAGCCTCAGTTGATCTCTCTATCCATCGAAGGGCTTTCTATGGAATTGATCTCCATTGACTTGGTGAAATTTTATTTTTTGAGTTTTTATTTTTAGTTTAAATATTGGTTTTATGTAATATTTTGTAAGAAAAAAAAAATTAATTCCCCATGGGGTATGTTTTTTTATCCAATTTTCTCAAATTTTACTATTTGGACTCTACATTAAATACATTTTTTTTTCTCATAAAATATTCCATCAAACATTATTTTAATACCAAATACAAACTAATTTTTTCTGAACTCAATAAAAAGAAACACATCCTTATGTATTTTTGTTAATGTTGTATAGTAAAATTAAAATAAAAGCAGCTTTTGAACAAGATAATGAAATATGTAATTACAAAGAAGAAAAGTTATACTCCCTCCGTTACATAAGTATCTATTTTTCTATTTTAGTCCGTCTCATTTCATTTTTTACTAATCGTATTATCTACTTAACATTACAAATACCTTTACAACTTACAATATAATGTCATTACCTTTATATCACACATATTATTTTAATCATTTTTATTTTATTCATACTATATTCCAATATAATACTAATATTTTTAAAATTACGTGCAAAAAGTAAATGGATATTTCTTTTTGGACGGAGGAGTACTAACTTGCAAAAACAATAACATGAATAGGATAGGGAGGGTATATTTTGTACATTGCGAGATAGCTTCCGAGAAGTCAAACAAATCGCATCCATGGTTTCTTGTACATTAAGAAGTGATGAATAAAAGAATGTGTAGGTGAGAGTGATGTCTGAACATGAACTTCGCAGAAGTCGTCGCCAATGTCTTAAAAATCATTTCATCTCTAATCTGATCCTTCCATGAAAATGAATCCTTCTTCTTCCCTGTCCGTTGTCCACCATCAACAACCACATTCCTTGCACTTCTTCCTTTGAGGTTTCTTCTGTTCCACCAGGGTATGTATATTACTTCGTCGTCGTCATCGTCGTCGTCTTGCTTTTTTCTTTGAATTCAGACAGTCTCTGATGCAGTTTTGCTTTCAGCACAAAAAGTATATCCGAACAGCAGTCAATCATAAATCTACGGCGAAATGGGCACGAGACATAGTAGTCTGTCGAACTCGTCTCCTCGTGAGGAAAGCAGCTTTCTTCCTGATAGAACAAGACAAGTTCAATCAAGATATGCAAGAATTCCAGACAACTATAGATCACTCGAACAGGTAACCAAGTTTTACATACATACATATATACATACATACGTGTGTGTGTGTGTGTATATATATGTGTGTGTTTGTGTTCATAATGTTGGATAAGTAAAGGTATGGAAAGCTATGTACCTAGGTGACACAAGCTCTGCACGAATCGGGCCTCGAATCGTCGAATCTCATCGTCGGGATAGACTTCACGAAGAGCAACGAGTGGACGGGGCAGCATTCCTTCGGGGGTCGATGCCTACATCACTTGGGCGAAGGGTTGAATCTATACGAACACGCTATCTCGATCATTGGAAGCACACTCTCGGCGTTTGACGAGGACAATTTCATCCCCTGTTTCGGGTTTGGTGACGGTACGTCGATGTCGACAACACAATATTGTCGATTACTTTCAAAACCCAGATAACTTTAAAATCAAACTCGCCTTGATCCTGCAGTTACAACTCACGACCAAGACGTATTCAGCTTCTATCCCGACAACAGGCCTTGCAACGGCTTCGAAGAAGCCCTGTCTCGGTACCGAGACATCCTCCAATATGTCCAATTAGCAGGTTCGTTCTCGAAACCGTTGTTTTAAGCTCGTTGATATCTCCGGATTATCGATCGTTTATTCGCGAGATGAGCTGCTGTTTCGATTCTGTAGGCCCGACGTCATATGCCCCGATTATCGAAGCTGCGATCGGGATAGTCGAACAGAGCGGCGGCCAATATCATGTCCTGCTGATTGTAGCCGATGGCCAGGTATCTTCAGTAGGTTGCGTTGTTGTCGCCGGGATTCTTTATATAAATTAATAATCTTTTCTTCTTACGATAGGTGACGCGAAGCGTCGACACGGGACCAGGGAAGTTTAGTCCTCAAGAACAGAACACATTGAATGCAATCATCAAAGCAAGGTTATACAGAATCAGAAAAAATTCAAGCTTGAGATTTATCTTAACTTAAGAAAATCTTACCTTCGATTCTGTTTCTCAGTGAATACCCATTGTCGATCATCGTGGTCGGAGTCGGAGACGGGCCATGGGACATGATGCACGAGTTCGACGACAACGTCCCGGCCAGAGCATTCGACAACATCCAGGTTTAGGATTTCTATAAACTCCGAACCTCTTTGTACCTACAACACCAAACTCATTTCCTGTGAAATGCAGTTTGTAAACTTCACAGAAATCATGTCGAGAAACGTCCCGCTGTCCGTGAAGGAAGCCGAGTTCGCGCTGGCTGCGTTAATGGAGATCCCGTTTCAATACCGAGCAACTCTCGAGCTCCAGCTCTTGGGGTAATTGTACTTTCCTCGACACGAATGTTTATAACCTTAATAAGATCGATACCTTCGGCGCCAATCAATGTCGTTTCTTCTTGCAGCAAACGGAGAGGGCATTGTGCAAGAGTTCCGTTGCCGCCTCCGACGCATATCCTGCGGTCGAACTCATACTCGTATATATCCAGATCGCCGTCGAGCAGCTTCAGCCGTAACTTCCCCAGCTCCTATCCGCCTTCTCCAAACAACACCGAGAGTTCTTCGAGCAATTGGGTAAGTTTCTTCACTCGAAAAGATCATCCTTTCCCTGGAAATAGCTCTGATGATTCCTACATTTCAGAGATGCCCTGTTTGTACCTGGAACAAACGAGACCTTGTGTTCGGATGCGGACATCAGGTAACTTAACAGCAATCGATCTTGTCTGAAACAACCGTTCTTCTCTTTGCTCATTTCCTTTTGTCTACAGGTGTGCCGTGACTGCGGAGGCGAGCTCACCTGGTGCCCTATTTGCCACTCAGAGATAACCACAAGGATAAGGGTACAAGAACATTAGCAAGACAGAGATTTCATAACCAACATGTCAAGATTACTCTTTCGATTATTCGATAACTTCATACAGATTGTGTTCGCCCTTCACCGTCTTTTCAAATGTACTGAACACATCCACAGTGTCATTTGCCAATGAAAGCTCAAGAGAATACAAACACTTTGTGATGTTTAAATCAAGATAATTCATTGCTATAGAAAGATCCCAAATTTGCTAATTGTCTTCACAGGACCTAAAGAATTTTCCCAACTGACATATCTTTTCTGATGATGATGATGTTTCCTATTCTGTCTAAAAATGTAACGATTTCCAGAAGATGTCTATCTTAAAGAAACATATGAAAGCACCAATATATAATCAGTAAAAACAACACACTCATACCATTCAACCTGAAGCTCACACAGTTGCTACGCACGACGCCAACAAGAAATCTGCAGTTTCCGATGGATGGATCCAAGAATGTGACCATACCAATCCCGTCAAAGTCACAGCTCCTCGGATTCTGCTTCTGCGACTGATAGTAGCTGTTGAAAACATACGAGATATTATCCTTCTCACCGAGTCCATTGCAAGAGCCTCCATCGCTGAGAGTCGTGCAATCAGCATAAGTACAGGCAAGCTTGTAGTGGTCAGCCACTCTAGAAATGTCTCGGTAGGGATTCACGACGCACCACCTGGAAGGTAGATATGCAACTTCTTTCGCATTCTTCAACTGCCCGTGGCCAAGATTCAGCGAATACTTTGCCTGCCCATCGAACGAGAAGATGCCCCAATGTCTCTCAAAATTCCCCGGGAGTACACTTTTTCCATCCTCGTCAAAGAGGCTGAAAAGATACACGTCTTCTGGAGGCACACCCGGCCTCAGAGGGGTTCCCTTTTTGCTCAAAACGTGTTCCACGAGTCCTCCGTTGAAAGCTCTTGCAGCACTAAGGTTAGCACTTGGAGCTCCATCCGACGGCCATCCCACCTCGCCTATAACAATTGGCATTTGAGGGAATCCGAGTTTGGATAGAGCTGCAACTAAAGTGTCGAAATTTCCATCAAATGCATTGTAATAAATGTTCGATCCATCCACCACCGGATGATCTGTACCCCCGAAGAATGCATAGTCCTGAGGAAAGTCTTTGTTTCCATACAAGCTTAGGAAAGGGTAAATATTCACGATGAAAGGCGAACCATTCGAATTCAGGAACGTGACGAGCTGAGTTATGATTTCAGTGAGCTCAGGGCGAAAAGCTCCTTGAGACGGTAGAGACGATTCATACGCATCAGCATTACAGGGGACAACAAGCTTCACCATTGCTGCAAGATTTGCTCTTGCAAGAGACTGTTGCAAATTCGCCATAGCAGGTAAGACATAGGATTGATATTGACCCGAATAACTAGTCAGAAACGGTTCGTTTCCTACTGCAATGTACCTGCAAGAAAGTTCTATGAAGATGGATGGAATATTCGACAAAAGTTTAGCAAAACAATTTGAGCCCAGAAAATCTCACTTAGCAATCCACAACTTAATCTTCTCGTTTTCTTGTTCTTCCATCTAATTAAAAATCGAATAAAATCCTCACAGTTACAACCAACAGCTAAGGGCAGAACAAATCGAATGTTTTCTTGTGTAGGTTTTAAAAGTGGATGCAAACTAACAGACTGCCAAGATCAACATTATTTAGGAAAGTTAAAAAGGAGAAGAAGAAAGAAAGGTGTACTTGATATTAACCCCGCCTTTGATCAAATATCTGGAAACATTCTGAGCAACCCACAAATCAGAAGCAGGAGCAGATGTGCTGAGCAATGCCAGCATCTCGTTAGGGATTCCAACCATGACTTCAATCCCGCTGCCCTTCAATGCCCGCAGCACAGTGGAATCAGCGTCGAATAGCTTCACTTTAGAAATCTTGTTTTCCTTCAAAAGATCCACCACCGTCTCCGGCGCCAGGCGGTGGGACGCCACCGTTCCCCAATTCACTCCGATGTCCGATTCCACCACCGACAAGGCCATAGACAGCAATAGGAGTAGGATTCTGCTCCCAAATTGTGCCCTAGCCATTTTGATTTTGATCCTCCTACAAATCTCGTGTGTGCTGTTTACTCATTTGGGGTGAAGTAGGTTGGCTTCTATAAATGAAAACGGGATGGGCAAAATGTCATACACGCTGTGATGATACTGATACAGAAATGCTGATGCGTAAATTAGAAGTATCTTTTTGCCCACCAAAAGAAAAGGGAAAAAGATAAAGCCAAGTTCCATTAAACATTTCGCCACAGTTCGATCTCAGCCGACAATCTTTTGAGTCATCATAAAATTAAGTAATTGCACTAATTAATGATGATTACAGTAGCATATTTAGTAGCAAGATTGGATTTTTTTCTTTTGTCTTTTCAATAAGTGCCACGTGTCATTAGCTTACACCGAAATCAGGCTGATTAGTAACAGACCTCACCCACGCCCACTTATGGTCTCTTGTATTCACCGGATTCTTCGTCTCCGCCACTTCCGTCACCGGAATATACGCATAGTTGCCGTTAATGGGGCCGGAAACAAATCCTGTGTACCCCGCCATTGCGCCGTGAATCGCCGAGTGGGCCAGCAGCGTGCAGTACAAATTATCCGTCGCATTCGCCGGAACGGCGCGGATCATGTACGTCGGATCGATATACTTCACGGTGAACAGCTGATCGGAATGTTCCCTCGCCCACCATTCTTTTAGCTCCGATTTCAACCATCCTCCCACGTCGAGGAACACAGGATTCCCCGATTCGTCCTTCTCCTGCACGTGGGAATCGGAATTGCCCGTCATCGGAATGATGTCCTGCCCGGCGCCTTCGGCGACCACCACGACGGCGTGGCCGTTGTTCTTGATCCGGTCGTCGAGGAATTCGAACAGGCCGCCTGTTCCGGCGAGGTAGAAATCGTTCTCCGGGATCAAACAGCAGTCGACGTCGCGGCTGCTCAGAGTAGCGTGGAGTGCGATGTGGCCGGTGCTCCGCCCCATCAGCTTCACCAGGCCGACGCCGTTGACGGCGCTCTCGGCCTCCGTGTGGGCGGCGTTGATCGCCTGCTGCGCCATTTCCACCGCCGTCTGGAACCCGAACGACTTGTCGATAATCCCGACGTCGTTGTCCACCGTCTTCGGGATTCCGGCCACCGCGATTTTCAGTTTCCTGGACTTGATTTCGTTGAAGATCTTCACCATCCCCCGCATCGTGCCGTCCCCGCCGATTATGTACACCTGTCGGAGAATTTCCGATCAGTTTCGATTACTGGTCCAAATTGAATTCAATTGATTACCTGATTGAACCCTCGATCTTGAATGGCGTCGACAATTTTGTCGAGGTCAAATCCTCCCCGGGAAGTCTCAAGCAGGGTTCCGCCATTTTTGTGCCATCCGTGGACCATATTAGGGTTTAATGGCAGGGGTTCAGAGGAATAAAATCCTCTGTACCCCGCCGGAACGCCGAAGATCTCCCGGACTCCGTACAGCTCCGAGAGGCCCACCACCAGCTCTCTGATCACTGTATTCATCCCGGGGCAGAGCCCTCCGCACGTGACTATCGCCGCCCGCACGTGACTCGGGTCGAAAAGAATCCGCTTCCTCGGCCCGGCCCGGTGGTAGGCTGGATGGGGCTCCGGAGATGCAGCGGCGCCGTCGGTGATGTCGTGGATGATGCGGCGGAGGACGACGTCGGAGGGGGGGATGTAGAATTCGTGGGTAGGGTGGAAGAAGGGGCTATTGTCGAGTGGATTCGCGTGGGTTTGGAGGTTTTGAAGGTAGTCTGTGAGGTGCGGCAGCCGCTGCAACCTGATGTTGGGGATCGGCAGGCTGCGGTTTTCTTCGTCGCGGCGGCTACCGCCGCCGGCGGTGGCTGAGGACGCCATAGATGGATTACTGAGAGATGGAGCTAACCGTACGCCGGGAGGGATTTTATGTGAATTGCGAGGAATGAGTATAGTACGTGGAAAAATGTGTGACTGACACGTGGACATTACGTGGCATGAGTGCGGTGAAAGAAGCATTTTTTCATATATAAAGGTGCAGTGACGAATGACGATAAAGGCACACGGTCCAATTAAAATAAAAAATTATTCCATGAGCACAATTAATTGAGATTATGTTTTTATATACTTATATTTATAAAAATATTATAATTCATTGTGATGACACTTTGTTGTGTTTAGTTTGAATTTCAAACTAAAATATCTACTTCTTTTACATAATAATATTTAATAATATTTAAGGGGTGTTTAGCAAATGAGCTATTAGCTTCTTGAACAGTTTTTAGCTGTCAGTCAAAAAGTTAATTTAGATGTTTGGTATATTAGCTTTTTGAAATAACTTTTTGACCAAAAATCTATTTCTGAAAAGCTAACTTACCCAACGTTTTGAAATAGTTTTATCTGTAAAAAAAAAATTTATTTTTTATATGCCCTTCAAAATTTATTATGCATTTTACACAAATAAATATATTTTGATTATTTATTAATTATATTAGAATATTTTATTATATTATAGTTTTACTTTTATAAATTTAAAATAATTAATTTTTATATAAAAACTATTTTAATTGTAAAATATATAAATTTATTAAATCAAGATAAAATAAAAAATTATAAATATTAATAATTTCTTTTTATATTAAAATTATATTATATAAATTTTATACTAAAAATAAATTAATTTTATTAAAAATTATAAATATAATGAACTAATCGATAACTAACATAATAAATATATACACGAAAAATTTATTATTTTATATTTTACAGCATTTTTAATAGAAAAACTATTTATATATTTTAATAAAAATATATTATTTTTTAAATTTAACTGTAATAAAAATAAATACTTTTATAACACTTTTACAATTTTCAATAACTAATGACAAAAATTTTTAAACATTCTAAACTCAAAAGAACATAATTGAATATATTATAAAGAAAAATAAAATAGAAATATCCTCAACAGCTAATATCAAACAGTTATTTTACCAAACATTTTAATACAAACAGCTAATCGAATCAGCTAGTCAAACCAGCTAATTGAATCAGCTAACAGCTATCAGCTAATTGCCAAACACACCCTTAAATCAAAACTTAGATAAAAATTTAAATTCAAACCTCAATTGTCATTTTACATATAAACAGCTAATATCAAACAGTTGTTTTACCAAACATTTTAATACAAACAGCTAATCGAATCAGCTAATTGAATCAGCTAACAGCTATCCGCTAATTAAATCAGCTAACAGCTATCATCTAATTGCCAAACAGGCCCTAAATCAAAACTTAGATAAAAATTTAAATTCAAACCAAAATTAAATAATATTTAATATATAAACATAGTAAATAAATATAATATATAAATACCTCTACATATATTTTTACTTCCAAATGTTTACCAGTATTTGCATAAACATTAGAGTGTGCTTTGTCATGTAATATATAATAAACACACATATTTCATTTACTTAATATAATTATTCCTTACTTTACAACACATATTTTTCTTTTTAACTTTACAACATAGAAAGCTTGCTTGGTTCACAAATTAATATTAACATAAACATTCAAAGGAAATGATTTGTATTTTCAGTTTTATATTTTCACAATATATAAATATTTGCTACTTTCAAATATTAAATTTGATATATATATATATTATTTGGAGATAAAGTTTATTTATTTATAATGGTTAAGAAGGGATCCGACTTCCAATTTAAAAATAAATTGGTGATAGATGAAGTTTTCAATACTTGGGATAATACTCAACAATAATTTCATACCCTTTTCATACATAAAAATAAATAAATAAATAAATAAAAATGCATATCCAACAATATTATTTTCATTTAACAAATATTGCATTCGAAATATAAAGTAAAATTTGTAACTATATATTTAAAAAATATAAATATGTACTACCTTTATTGTTTTACATAGTGCTGTCAATAACACATTATATTTGTTGATTTCTCATATCCAAACAAACAGTAATGTGTATTCACTGTCATTCCATTATTATGTTGATTTGACTCAATTAATATATATTTATAAAAAAATATGTTAGCACATGTATAATCTTATACAATATATAATTTACACAACACATATTTATATATTTCCTCCATCCCTCCGTCCACACACAAAGTAAACATTTACTTTTGGCGCGATATTTAAAAAATTATAATATTTTAATTATAATGGGTAGTTAAAAGTAGTAAAATAATATTTTTGCCTTTACTTTTTGCTATAAAAGTAATGATGTGATATAAAGTAAAAGTATTTGTAAAAAAAAATGAGATATTTAATAAAATATTTAGTTTGTAATTAGACTTCCCAAAAAAGAAATATGTATACCTTTTAATCGGATGGAAGGAGTATTATTTGTCTTGTAATAACATACTAATTATTTTTATACACTATTTTATTCATCTATACCAAATATCCTTTCTATTTAATTTATAATTACTCCACCACTTTAATACTCGGGAATTTAGGTAAATATGATTAGTAAATAATTAAGAAGTGTATTAGTAAAAATAATTAGATTTAAAAAATTATAAAATATAAAGTTTAAAATGTAATTAAAATGTATAATTATATTTCTAAAATGACAAATTATATGGAACAAGAGGAAAATAAAAAATAGGTCAAATTATGTGGGACTGAGGGAGAGAGTATTTTTTTTTTTTTTTTTCATTTAAACATACATAATTCACTCTTTCTATACCAAACATACATAGATATATACTGCATACATATACTATCCAAGACACCTCGAAAAATTTTACATGCAGATCATACAAAGGAAGCCATCCCATGACTTCGGCCACAAATTATAACCTTCCCAGACGAGTATATATATATATATATATATATATCTATATCTATATCTATATCTATACGTAGCTATCAGATGGTAAGGACGAAAAATAGAAAACTCTACAAATTGATCTGAAGAGAGAAAGTGAAAAGAAAGTGAAAGAAAGGAACAATTAACAGAAAAAGTGGAAGCCTAGGAAAATAATTATTGTGATTTTGATTTTCCTCTGCAGACTTCAGTTAACTAATAGAATCAACGAATATTCAACAATCAAACCCAAGTAAACCCTAATTTGAATTTTGAAAGATTAATTTATAGCATAATTTTTTTAAAAAAAATTCCCAACAAAGAAACCCTCATAAACCCTAATCCCTAAAATCACTCACTCATTTATGTCATATTATGCAACCTTGTAATGTTTATCTTCCTGATTAAGATCATTTGGTAGTAGAAATCATCGTCTATAATTTAGGACTCCTGTGTAACAGTCCTCCCTCCTCTCTCTATATATATCTATATATACAAGAGCACTGTGTAGAGCTTAATTATATCACAGTGATCATATAAAGTATCGTTCACCACAGGGTTTAATTTTATTTTACAGTGAAAAGAGAAGGCAGCCATGTTAGATGGCAAGTTTAAAATGTTTCTTGCAATGTTCATACTTTTTGCTGCGTTTGGGAAACCAGCTTTAGCCATTAAAAAGGTGAACCTCTCTAATTGTTCATATATATATATATGTATGTATATATAGTTTTTATACAATTTGTTGTCTTCTTCTGATGATCAATCAAATTAAATTTCGTTGTGGTGTATATATGATCATGGGAAGCAGTCTTACATTGTGTACATGGGAGGGCACTCTCATGGACCTGAATTTACTGATTCTGATCTTGCTGCTGTGATCGATTCGCACACGGACTTGCTTGCTTCATTCTTGGGAAGGTTCGAATTAAACTGATTAATCAAATGTCTTTAATTCGTTTACAGGTTTATATATATATATATATGTATGTATATGTATATGATGGTGTTTTGCTTATGATCACTCTCACTCTATACTTTTGTTGTCAAATTTGTTTCCTTCTGTATGTTTTCTGAAGTCATGAAAAAGCTAACGATGCAATGATCCACTTGTACACGAGATACGTTAATGGCTTTGCTGCAATCCTCGAAGAGGAAGAGGCTGCAAAGATTGCTGGTGCATATGATACAAATGCATAAAAATGCATTCTTGTTTCTTTTGTGTGCATATATATATATACATATGCTGACCAATGCTTTTGTTTATGGTGTTGTTTAGATCACCCTGACGTCGTCTCTGTATTCCCCGACCAAGGGAAGAAGCTGCACACAACGTATTCGTGGGACTTCCTCGTGCTTGAAAAGAATGGAAGGATACCGTCTGCTTCGATATGGAACAAGGCCAGATTTGGGGAAGATACCATCATAGCAAACATGGATACTGGTAATTAAAATTTTATCGATGATCACTTTAGAATGGAAATCAATGGCTTCCCATTTCTTCTTCCAGGTGTTTGGCCTGAATCAGCGAGCTTTAGTGGCAATGGATATGGCCCCATTCCTGCAAAGTGGAATGGAATCTGTGACTTAAATGATAAAACAGGGCGATCCCTTTGCAACAGGTAATTCCTCCTTGTTCTCTGTTTTTTTTATCGTGCTCGATGATGGCGTCGAATTTTGCAGGAAACTGATCGGGGCGAGGTACTTCAACAAAGGATATGCTGCTTACGTAAAACAGTACGGTATATCGATGAATGCGACACACAACACACCGCGGGACATGGAAGGCCACGGCACCCACACATTATCCACTGCTGGCGGGAACTTTGTCCCTGGAGCGAGTGTTTTTGGCGTAGGAGTTGGCACGTCGAAAGGGGGTTCTCCGAGAGCCCGTGTCGCTGCTTACAGAGTATGCTTCCCTGAAGTGAAGGACGGCGAATGCTTCGATTCTGACATCCTGCAGGGCCTCGAGACAGCCATACACGATGGTGTGGATGTGATATCGATGTCCTTGGGTGGAGATCCAGCCGATTACTTTGCCGATGGCATTGCCATCGGCACCTTCCATGCTGTCAAGAATGGGAGAGTTGTTGTAGCTTCTGCGGGTAACTCGGGACCAAGTTCAGGGACAGTTTCTAATGTTGCGCCGTGGATCATAACCGTTGGAGCGAGCACCATTGATCGCGTGTTCAAGGCTAATGTTAAATTGGCTACTGGTTTAGTCCTTGAGGTTAGCTCTTGATTCGAACATTCGCATTTGTCTTAATCCTATCACTGATCTGCTCAATGTTCGAAACAGGGGACGAGCCTTTCGAAATCAATGGCGCAGGATGGAATGCATACCTTAATCAGTGGTGCTGATGCTGCAACTGATAATGTATCCCTACATGATGCGTAAGTAGCTCCGGTTCTTGTTGTTTTTTGATGCAAGAATGTTCTTATTTACAATGCCCTGTGTAGGATACTCTGCAAAGGTAATACATTAGATCCTGCGAAGGCTCGGGGGAAGATTGTGGTGTGTTTAAGGGGAGACAATGCAAGAGTGGAGAAAGGAGAGGAGTGTCATCGCGCCGGCGCTGCTGGAATGATTCTCTGCAATGATAAGACCAGCGGTAACGACATTATCTCCGATCCTCACACTCTTCCTGCATCTCATGTCAATTACACAGACGGCCAGATTATCTTCCACTACGTGAATTACACAGCGTAAGAAATGCAAATCTGTTCTTCTTCTGTGTTCATCTTATGATTCGTAAATCTGTGTGTTCTTGAGAGGATTGAAAACGCATTCTTGGCAGGAATCCGAGAGGGATACTTACGCCGCCGGAAGGCGTGGTCGGAGTTAAGCCAGCTCCATTCATGGCGGGCTTTTCATCCAGGGGTCCAAATAAAGTTACTCCAGAGATTCTTAAGGTAATGAAGATGTCCTTAATTTCATCCATGGCGGATATTCGATGGTTTTTGATATTCAATGAATTTCTGCAGCCTGATATTACAGCTCCAGGAGTAAACATCATCGCTTCTTACTCCGAAGCAATCAGCCCTAGTGAGATGCCGTTCGATCACCGGAGAACTCCTTTCGACGTCATGTCGGGCACCTCAATGTCGTGCCCCCACGTTTCCGGCGTGGTCGGCCTGCTTAAAAGCCTCTACCCGGAGTGGAGCCCCGGCGCAATCCGATCTGCACTCATGACAACCTGTAAAATCAAATCTTCAATCCATTCTTCAAATTACAGCCTCAATCAATCGGAATCAAATTTTCTCTGATCTTAATCGCCATTAAACAGCAAGAACAAGAGACAACACGGGGCACCCGATGCTGGACGCTGACTACAAGGATGCGACGCCGTTCGCGTACGGCTCCGGCCATATCCGCCCCAACCGCGCCATGGATCCTGGCTTGGTCTACGACGTCACCGTCGACGATTACTTGGATTTCCTCTGCGGCGTGGGGTACAACGAGACTTCGATCAGCCTATTCTCAGGAACATCCCACAATTGCCCCGCCAATTACAGTGTCTTGAACTTCAACAATCCTTCAATCACAGTCCCGAAGCTCTCCGGATCGGTCACCGTGAAAAGGACCCTGACGAACGTCGGCGACCCTGGAAAGTATGCAGCTCGCGTTCGGTCCCCATCTGGATACAGAGTCTCTGTCGACCCATCCATTTTGCAGTTTGACACAATTGGGGAAGAGAAATCCTTTACAGTGACGATCACAGCCTCGGGCAGCGCTAAAGCGGGATCGTATCAAACAGGGCATTTGACATGGACGGATGGAAGCCACTATGTTAGGAGTCCCGTGTTAGTAGCCAGTCATTGAAGGTTGAAGACGATGATCGATCGACGACAATTGTAGATTAGGTTAGAAGTTTTTGGTTTTCATCTATGATCTTGCATTCGATTCTCTCTCACGATTCTATATTTGGGTGATGGAGTTTTTCGGGTAAATAAGGGTTAAAAAGTGGATCTTTTTTACCAAATTTCTTTCTGCTGTGAAACTTCAGATCAGTCAATCGTTTTTTTACTGCTGTACTGGTTCCATTTCTTGCTGTTAAATTGAAATAAAGAATTTGTGTCGAGATTCTTCTTCATGAACATGTGAAATTTGATACTGCTTCGCTGGAACCGTGTGGAGAGACCATCCGTCGTTTGGCTCCCACAACTTTTGCTTTTTGCTTGCGAATTAAATTTAATATATAATTGAAATAAAATACTGCCAATCATACGCCGACTTCAAACCCTTCTTCTACCTTTCTCGAATTCTGGGTTTCCCTCTTTCCCCCAATCCAGGTTTAGGGAGTAAAAGATTTGCAGGAATTTGCCGGAAATATGTCTTATGCGTATCTTTTCAAGTACATCATCATCGGCGATACTGGTAATTTGTTGCTTCGTGATTTTCTCTTTTTCTGCCATTCTTGCTCGTCTGTTGCATCTTCGGATCGTTATTTTTGAGCCACGGTTTGGGCTTTGATCTATCGGTTTATCATATTTAAGTTTATTTTGCTTATTGATGCAAAGATTCCAAATTGTCGAAGATGTTAGTGATTTTGATAGCGTTAACTTGTTGATCAAGGAGCAATTGAATATATGGTATCTTTTTTTTTTCTTTTTTTTTTTTTCTGAGATTTATGAATTGCTGCTGTTGATCTAAACAAGAAAGCTTGATGGTTTAGATGAACTGGTGAATGATGGCTTCAGAAGAGCAATTTTTCTTGGATTAGCTACTAGCCTTAGGTTAGGTAGTGCTGGAAATGAATGAAGTTGCTTGTTACATCCCAATTTGAGAATCTTCTAGAAATCATTAGATTCATACTACAACCATAGTCGATCGTATCTCTCAGAAACTTGCTTGTAGATGATGGTTTACCTAATTCTGAATTTCACCAAATTGTTTGTAAGGGCTTCAGCAATGGTGCAATATATGTTGACGGATTGTTTTGCAGGAGTCGGGAAATCGTGTCTTCTCCTACAATTCACAGACAAGCGTTTCCAGCCAGTGCATGACTTGACCATTGGAGTCGAGTTTGGAGCTCGGATGATTACAATTGACAACAAGCCCATCAAGCTTCAGATATGGGACACTGTTAGTTCTCTCTCTAAAATCAGAATTCTATGTTCTGTTATTAATTCAGTTAAATTCTGCTAAGAATCATCTTCAATGGATCGATCACTAACCTCATTCTAACTGCTGATTGTTTCTCATAAAATTTTCTTAAACCGAAAACCTGGTTTTTTGTGGTGTTCACAGGCAGGTCAAGAATCCTTTAGATCCATCACAAGGTCTTATTACAGAGGAGCTGCTGGTGCACTTCTGGTGTATGATATAACTCGGTATGTCTTATCTTGTCTCTGCAAAGTTTTTTCAATATGAATTCTGTCGAAATTATTCAATTGTTCGAGCTTTGTGTCATCCTAATTGTCAGGAGGGAAACATTCAATCATTTGGCTAGCTGGCTAGAAGATGCAAGGCAACATGCTAATCCAAACATGACGATCATGCTAGTGGGCAACAAATGCGATCTCGCCCACAGAAGGGCTGTTAGCACCGAGGAAGGAGAGCAGTTTGCCAAAGAACACGGGTTGATTTTCATGGAGGCATCGGCAAAATCTGCGCAGAATGTTGAGGAGGTAAAGAAGGATTCCAAGAAATCGAACTGTCATTGAAGGAAAATTCTTATAACACACACTACATGCACACACTACATGCATCCCCTTCACCCTATCATTTTCATCTGCAGGCTTTCATCAAAACAGCTGCAACAATATACAAGAAGATTCAAGATGGAGTTTTTGATGTTTCGAACGAGGTTTCCACTCATTATTTCTCCTTAACATAGTTCATTCGCCCTGAATTTTCACCACAACTATCATGCTAACATGGTATCTCTTCTCTTGGCAGTCTTATGGGATAAAAGTGGGATACGGTGGAATCCCGGGAACTTCAGGCGGGAGGGACGGTTCTTCTCCACAAGGCGGAGGCTGCTGCAGTTAAGAGCTCTCTGTAATATAATTCATCCCGCTCGTATACACTTGTATGTTTATCGGTATACTGCTTTCTGCTTCTTGTTCTTTCTTCTTTTCGAGTGCAACCATTGGGCATGGCAGCTGTTTATTTTTGTGGGAATTGCACATACCACAAGTTTGGCAAACTATTGTGTTGTAAGATCATGGTATCTGTTGATATGGAATACACCATCGTGAGTATATATACTTATAGTACAGTGATCATTTGTTTTTTACTTATGTTTGTTGTTTTGATGTAAACTCCATTTGTTTGGGTTGGAGGACTTATCAATATTCATCAACTGTATACACAAATATACCCTGAATCAAGAAACAATAGTCATAATTATTCCCATTTATCACAAGAAATGCATAAATTCATCCAAATAATGATCAGTGACTTTACTGAAATGTAACTCCTTTATTTTCTCAGATTTGTATAACTAATTACCCAAAAGTAGAATTGGTAAAATACAGGTGGCTTTCATCTCTTCATTTCTGCCTTACTTTTGCCTTTTTTCTTGTTGTACACTTTACCTCTCTCTCTCTCTCTCTCTCTCTTGTAATTTCTATGTGGATTTTATATTTGTGGGAGAAACAAAATAGCAATGAAATAAACAAAACAATCTCCTTTGTGGGCTTAACCCAAAAGTCACCAAGTGCATGGAGGTTCTTCATTTCCATCACAGATGATTTAAAATTCCTGCAGAAAATTTCACAAGATAGACCCTTGATTAAAATCTCGATTTGATTTCCCCCTTATTTCCCATTTTTGGGTTTGTTCACAATTGTCAACAATGTCACTCAAATAGGATTTGGGGGAGATAAGCAAACATAAAGAAAAATGGAACTCAGAAAATCAGCCCTGTTCTTGTTGTTGGCTATGGTTCTGTGCAGTGATACTCTTGGAGTTTTTTCAAATTCATTTTCTGGTAATTCTTCCTTCTGTCTGTTGCTTACTTTATCCCCTCCAACCTTGTTTCGATATTTTCTTACATTATCCTCTGTGGTTTTGCAGATAGAAAGCAATTGCAAGATGATTTACCAGCCACTGTAAGTCTCATTTGATCATATCTTATTACCAGTGGTGAATTTTCTTATGCTGTTCACATCTTTGTTATGCTGATTGTCTGTTGCTGCTTCTCAATATTAGGAATCATCTACAAAATCACTGGATCCATATTCGGAAAACTCTACCTTAACTAGTTCAAATTACTCTAGACGGCTCGCTGGAGGTTTTTAATCATTAGCTTGTCCCTCCCTCCCTTTGTTTTCTACTGAATGCTGAATTTTGATTTCTGTTACTTATGAAAGCAATGACTAAACAGCTGAAGACGGAACTTCAACCTCGTCCGGTGATGGCGACAGGCGCGCTTCTGATGGTAATACTGTAAGAGAGGTGACTGATCAGGTGCAAGAACAAAATATAAAGGAAACTGAAGCATTCAGGGATGATGTGATGTTTCCAGATTCGCGCATTCGTCTGCTTAAGGACCAGCTCATTCGAGCGAACATTTATCTTTCGTTTCCGGGGACTAGAAGTAACTCTCAGTTCATAAGGGAGCTTCGGGTGCGAGTAAAAGATATTCTCAAAGTACTCGGAGATGCCACCGATGATTCTGAGCTGCCTAGGAAGTTAGTTCTTGTCCCAACATCTGATTTTCCATGTCTTCTTTTCGATGATTTTTTGTTTTTGTGTTGATGCAGTGCTTCGGAGAAGCTGAAAGCAATGGAGAAAACCCTGCATAAAGCGAAACAGATACACGACGATTGCACAGCAGTTGTGAAGAAGCTTCGCGCAATGCTTCATGTAGCCGAGGAGCAGCTCAAAGTCACGAAGAAGCAGACGTTGTTTCTTACACACTTGACCGCGAAGACAGTGCCCAAAGGACTTCACTGTCTTCCTCTGCGACTCTCAACCGATTATTTCAGATTGAACTCGACACAACAGAAGTTCCCGAACAAGGAGAAGCTGGATGATCCGAACCTATACCACTATGCCTTGTTTTCAGACAACGTCTTGGCAGCAGCCGTCGTCGTAAACTCGACCATAATCCACGCAGCGGTGATACAACCATTTCCTATTCCAAATTTTTGCGCGATACTCATAATTCTTACACTAACGTTTTCGTGCCTCTTTGCAGGATCCTTTGAAACATGTCTTCCATATTGTGACCGACAGGCTGAACTACGCCGCGATGAGAATGTGGTTTCTCGCTTATCCTCCCGGAAACGCGACGATACAGGTTCGGAATGTCGAAGAATTCACGTGGCTAAATTCGAGTTACAGTCCGTTTCTACGGCAGCACGGCGCGTTGTCAGTGATCGATTATTTTTTCAAGAGTCATCGCGTCGAGTTTAACTCCACCTCCCGGTATAGAAATCCCAAGTATCTTTCGATCCTGAATCATCTCCGGTTTTATCTACCGGACGTCTTCCCTAAGCTAAAGAAGGTATTGTTCTTAGACGACGATGTTGTAGTCCAGAAGGACCTCGCCGCCCTCTGGTCCATGGATCTTAAGGACAAAGTCATCGGCGTTGTTGAACGATGCGATGAAAGGTTTCATCGATTCGATCAACACCTCAACTTCTCGAATCCTCTGATTTCGAAGAATTTTAGCCCCCGCGCCTGCGGTTGGGCTTTCGGGATGAATGTCGTCGACCTGCATGCGTGGAGGAAGAAAAATATCACGCAAGTTTATCACAAATGGCAGAGCCTGGTAGGATTCATACAACAGTTGGTCTTCATTTTAACGTTAGTCTTGTTGAAAGGTTGTCATTTTTCTTTTATTACCAGAATCAGGACAGGCTGCTGTGGAAGCTCGGGACACTGCCACCGGGGCTAATAACCTTTTGGAACAACACATACCGGCTCGACAAATCTTGGCACACGTTGGGGCTCGGTTACAATCCAAATGTGCCACGAAGGGACGTCGAAAGAGCTGCTGTCATACACTACGACGGCAACTTAAAGCCGTGGCTCGAGATAGCCGTACCGAAGTTTCGAAGCTTCTGGACAAGGTACGTCGACTACGATCAACTGCATTTGCGCGAATGCAACATCACGCCGTGAGCGTGCACGGCGGATGGTATTTGGAACAGCATCGTCATCGTCGGTTTTCGGGGAACATGGGCGTGTTGATGATTCATTCAATCAAAACGGGGGCAACACGGGCGTGTTGATGATTTGTTCAATCAAAACAGGATATAGTCTTATTGCCCTGCCGACAGTGCCAAACCTTTGTGACACCGAATGAAAACAGCCCAACTGGTTTCCCACTCTCCCAGAAAAAAACCACACGTTAGTTGTCAACATTTTCTTTCTCAATTGACAAAACATGGTCCAGACAGCAATTGAAAAAGGATCAGCAGGTGTGTTAGGTTGTCTCTAAATAATATCCCGAAATTGGGGCTGTTATGGCTTCAACGGGTGCTTGGGATTTGTCTTTGTCTTCAACAACAGATTGGCCCTCCCATATTACATTAAATTCCATCCATTTTCTGCTGCATATTTTAATCCTTTATTGCCATATTTTAATCCATTTTAAGATGACCCTTGATACATAAGATGGAATGTAAGAAGTCTTGAGTAAATGATCTTCATCAAAAGAGCCAAGATTCAATGTTTATTTTTTTCTGCTTTTTTACAATAGTTGGAGGCTTTGGAGCCACATTGTATGATTTAATTATATATTTTTGTACTTTGTATTCAAAAAGCAGATATACATACAGATCAGAAATGAAGAAAAAGATGAAATCAAAGAAATGTGAGCAATTAGAATCAGACAAATCCTGGCAAACAATCATTAGAGGATCTTTAATCAAATCAAGACCTGAAAGAGGCTTCTCAACGGTAGTTTTAAAGTTTTCGAAATCACCCCCTCAAAGAAAACATTGTTTTACATAAATTTAAGCATGACTGGACCTGGTCAAACTTCACAGGATTTTATAAACATTGGTTCAAACGCATCACTTCAAAAAATATTTATATTATATATATATATGCTTGATTCTGGCATTTGTTTATTGTGCTATGTATATGTATGTAGTGCAGTTGCTTCAAGAGTTTGGAATAAAACAAGGGCAGCAAGTCTTTTGGTGAATTTTCTTCTTTTGAGGGACATAAGTGGGAGCAACCCATCAATCAAAGGCACCCCCACCCCCACCCCCACCTTATTTGTCAGTTTATTACACCCAAAGAAAAAAATAAAAATAAAAGTGGGTTCTTTGAAAAAAAAGACATGATACCGTCATTACATGCTTTGCATCACACAGTCCATATTCCCACTTTTGCTCGATGCCCATTCCTTCACTTTTTGATGGAAACCCCTTTTTCTTTTGTGGTCTTTTGAGATCACAGCTTGCGTTTTTGAATTTTGAACAATCTTGTGAAAGCAGACAACCCACTCTGGTAAGAAATAATCTGAATGTGTCCAAAGAGAAGCATGCCCATTCAACAAAATAATTTAGGCCATCATCAGAAGATTTCCAAAAAAAAAAAGGAAAGAGGCCAACACATCATATATGCCTAAGCCTATGACCCTTTTGGAAAATAGAAATGAAACAACCAAACAAACAAGCTCACGGGCATTGATACACAAATTATAATTTAGGGATTCAATAAAAAGATTTGTTTGTTAGGGTTTCTTCTGAAATTTTAATGGGAAACCCAAAAAAAAAAAAAAAAAGGTAGAAAAAGGCTAGGTAGTATTGTTATCATCACTGGTTAAGAAAGACAAGTCATGGCTGGTGGTAACCTACTTGTCCCCTCTGCAATAATTTTCATTTAAAAAGGATTTTTACAGGTCAAATTAGGGGTGTTTACCTCCAGCTTGCTTGCAAGTTCCATGAAAGTTGAGATGATTGTAGTCCCAGAAGAGGAGGGTGGAGTGTCAATGTGCCATTATTACTTGTAATAATAAAAATAAATGACAGTGGCAGTAGTGAATGACAATTGTACTGAGGCAGTGAGGGTTCTTGTCAAACAAAATTATACTCTTTAACATCTCTCTTCTTCTTCTTCTTCTTCATTTTTTCTGTAAATTTTTAATAATGGGATGCTATTATTAAAGTAAAGTTTATTTGGTTAGAGTCACACCCCATTAACCCCACTCTCCTTAAAATGGTAAAAACCAATACTTTATTACACCTCGTGTAGGCAAAAATATAAATCTGAGTGGGGCAGTGGGGATTTGTATTTATACATGGCTTCAGTGCAGTGTGCAGCTCTTGTCCAGAAAAGATGTACAGATAAAAGATGGGAGTAGAGCCCCAGCAACACCAATCATAGAAACAGCATTGTAGAGAGAGAGAGAGAGAGAGAGAGAGAGTGAGAGAGGGGGAAAAATGAAATATGTTTGTTTGAGGCATTTGGTTTGATCACTTAGTGTGTGAAGTCTGATTGGTTTCACCAAACAGGGAAGAACCATCTGCTTCTGTAAGTTTGTTCTACAGGTGGCCAAGAAAATGGGCCGCGGCGGCGGTGGCGGCGCGTCGTGGGGATTCAAGAAAGCCGCCAGGAAAATACTTGTTCAGACATGTGGCTCCTTCTGCCAGCGCCACCAAACCCCCCGGAATTCCACTGCCACCACTGTAACTTCCCCCCCCCCCCCCCCCCCCCCCCCCCCCCCCTCTTTCCATGGAATCTCTGTAAATCAACTGTAGGGTTCATTCTGGGAGACAATGTGCCATGTTCTTCTCAATCATGTTTTTTTTAACTGGTTTTGTGAAATTTTCTTGCTCAGGTATCTTCCAATTCACCTAACCCAGAGATCCGACCGAGGAACATTTCTTTCAGGAAGAACTCGTCGGACATTTCTGGACAAGGCAATTCAAGAACCAGCCCTTGTTCCAACAAGGTATCTTTAATTTCTCTGATCATACAGTTCCTCATCCTCAAAATTTCAATTCTTGATATCTATCAATGGTTTGGTTCAGATGCATATTTGTTTCGATTTAGGCGTCGATTAATTAGGGCTTTTTGTCGTTTACCGTTGGAACAGAATTTGTGCGCAATATGTCTCGATCCATTGAATTACAGCTCCGGCGGCAGTCCCGGCCAGGCGATATTCACAGCTCAGTGCACACACGCATTCCATTTCGCCTGCATTTCCTCGAATGTCCGCCATGGCAGCGTCACTTGCCCTATTTGCAGAGCTCACTGGACGCAGCTGCCTCGCAACCTCAATTTACGATGCTCGATTCACTCTAACAAAGCTGACCCCATTTTACAGATCCTCGACGATTCCATCGCCAATTCTAGGGTTCACCGGCGATCGTTCCTCCGATCGGCTCGATACGACGACGACGATCCAATCGAGCCCGATCACTCCAGCGATCAGCCACGTCTCCATCTTCATCTCTGCCATCGCCATTTGTCCGCATTGTCGTCAAAACCCGAGTCTCCGATCGCTGCGCACTTCCCGTCGACTGGAGAATCGCCATTCGTATGCTCGCCGAGCAACCTAGCTTACCTCCGTGTGAAATTAGCGCCGCAGCCGGCAACCGATTTGGTCCTCGTTGCAAGCCCGAATGGTCCTCACTTAAGGCTTATGAAACAGGCGATGGCATTGGTGGTATTCTCGCTGCGGCCGATCGATCGATTAGCCATTGTTACGTACTCGTCCGCAGCTGCGAGGGTGTTCCCTCTCCGGCGAATGACTTCCTACGGAAAAAGGGCGGCATTACAAGTCATCGATCGGTTATTCTACATGGGACAGGCGGATCCGATGGAAGGGCTAAAGAAAGGCGTGAAGATACTCGACGATCGCGTGCACAAGAATCCCGAATCCCGAATCCTTCACTTGACCGACAATCCGTCGAGATCCTATCATCAGTTCGACATGGAAGTTCCCGTCGTGATCCACCGATTCCATGTGGGCTACGGATTCAGCACGTCGAACGGGTTCATAATGCACGAATTCGAAGAGTTTCTAGCGAGAACGCTCGGGGGAGCGATTAGGGATATCCAGCTGAGGATCGAGGATGGAACCCGAGTTGTTCGGATTGGAGAACTGAGAGGCGGCGAGGAGAGGAATGTCCCGATATATTTGGATGATTTTGGACCGCTGTGCGTCGAGTATAGCTATGTCGATGGTGCAGACGGCGAATCCATTCGACAAGGCGAGCTCGTCGTCGACGTCGAGGATAAAGGGGATAGAAGGGAGGAGATGGATCCCGGCGGCACCATTGGAGGGAGGATGAGCAGTGCTGAAACCTGGGATTATCATGATCCTTTCATGGCTAGAAGATGGGCAAAACATTTACATGGCTATAGGCTGTAGATTGTCTAGTAACATATATATATATATATATATATTCATTGTAATTGTTTGTGTACACTTTCAGACACTGATTGTGCTTAGCAGCCTTGAGTTTCCAGGCGACCTTCTTCACGAGGGTTAGTCATAATTTGAGTGTTAATTCATCCCTGAGCTCTTTGCTCTTCCAAATATTTTCTGCACTTCAAAACCTTAAAATCTCCATGGCTGTAAGAAATTCCAAGCATTAATGGGCCAGCAAAGCCCAAATAGTCCACTGGGCAAAGACCATGATCAAGAAACAAGAGGCCCGAGGATGGGACATTTTTCACAAAGATAACAAAAATGGATAAATTATCGACCAATAAAGAGAGCCCATATAGCTAAGAATCCAGCCAAGGTAAGACACTATATTTAGGAAGCAATCTTAGTTGGAAATGACATTCACTTTACATAGATAGCTGTAGTTTCAATCTTGAAACCACTGAAAAGAACTCACAAAATTATGCATTCTAATCACTTAACTAATCGAACCAATTATTGCCCTTAATCCCACGATCTTTCTTCCATTTCGACTACAAGAAAATTCTTGATCAGACAAATATCTTCTCAAAAATTCCATCTTTAATGTAATGCCAAGGACAGCACAGCAGTAAAAGGGCAAAGCTCCAAGTCCAACCTGGACCTGCAGTAGACCCGGCGCACCAGATTCCTGCCCTGACCTCTTTTACAGCGTCCTTGATTCGACATTTTTCACCTTCTCCCCCATCCTTACCTCCGCCCGTGACCCCTGCTGCGATTCCGTGCAAGTTTTCATCCTCTGGGCTGGCTGTGGTAATTTGGAATTGATTCCACTGTAAATTGCAGCCGTAGCCGCATTAGGCGTCGGGTAGGCCAGAGCGAGTCAAATCCTTTTCCATTTTCATCGAGTTTTTCTACCGTACTTTTTGCGATGGGGAAAAAGTAATGGCAGCGAATAAACTATTCGGAGAGCTAAAAGGGGAGTCTACTCATTGCCTGGATTAATTGGCAGCCGAAAAGGAAAGGAAAACAAACAAAACTAGAGAGTTTTGGGGCACGAAGCTGAGATCTCTTCTTCTTCTTCTTGTTCTTCTTTGATTTAGGAGACCCACCTCTGCAATCGTGTTCGCAGCTGCTGCCATTTTTCCTCCTAATGTTTCCGAGATTGATTCATCCTCGTGAAGCTATTCTGAGTCAGGAAAATGTTCAGGTGTCGAGCGGTGGTGGGTATGGTCAACGGAGTGGTGGGGACCCGTGTTTGGTCCTGACATCCGACCCGAAGCCACGCCTCCGATGGACTGCTGACCTTCATGAACGCTTTGTCGACGCTGTGACTCAGCTTGGTGGCGCTAGCAGTCAGCATCCTTCTCCCTTTTTATGCTTCGTTCTTGTTTTGTGAAATGTGGTCAGCGTTTTCTCTGTTTCTTGGGTGTTTGGTTCTGACCTTTTAGAATTTTTGATTGATTACACGTTTGAATGCTGTTGGGTGGAATGGTTTTTGGGAATGTCTTTCTTGTTGGAATGGTTTGGATCTCATAACTTGTTTGATTCTTCATTGATTAAGAGGGCTTAAATTTTTCTGGATTCTTGATTTTGTTTTTCGAACATTGTGTAGCTGAAAGGGGTTTCTATCTAGAAGCATTGCCAAAATCTGTTGCTTTTCGATACTTGTAGTTTATAATAGGTTTGCTTTTCGATACTTGTAGTTTATAATAGGTTTGCTGTTGCAGTTGAGGTCAACTTTGGATATTCTTGTAGGGATTCCATTTTCTTGCCTGCAAAGATTTATGTTCTCTGTCGGGTCTAAGTTAAACATTGTTGCATTGAAAGTTTGGGATTGCATTTATCATTTCTTTGCAGTTGTTCATGTTGATGGTGTTCTTGAAATCAGATGTTCTAATTGTGTTATAGTTTCATTTGCTCTCCGAAAAAGTGTCCAATCCCATATAGGATTCTTACCAAACAGCTTTCTCCATTACATTACTTAACCTCTTTATGCTTTAACGTCCATGGTTGGAGCCATTATCATCCTCAGTAATAAATGAATGTTTAACTAGTCGAACAAGATATGTCGCGCGGTTCTTACAGAATAAAATTACTAGGTAAGTAACAAACAAGTTATGGAATTGAAGTTTTACTTCATTGTGCATTCCACAAGGATAGCAAAATTCGATCTGATCATTTCGCCGCATTTGCTTGAAAGAAGTACTTTTGTGGTGTTCCATTTTAGCTTTGCATTTGAAACTTACGTTTTTGAATCTCATTTTCGACATGTTTGCAGAAGCTACCCCAAAGGCGATTATGCGCACAATGGGCGTCAAAGGATTGACTCTATTTCATTTGAAGAGTCATCTCCAGGTTGCGCTTTTGTCTCCTTTATATCGTGTTATCTATCAAGTCAATTTTTTGTCTACGCATTTTCTTTTAGTCGTAAGTCTGCAAGTTGTCTTACTGCATACTTTCGCGCCTCCAGAAATATAGACTCGGCAAGCAATCTGGTAAAGAACTCGGCGAGGCTTCAAAAGATGGTATGTCCACACAATTCGATTGCTGAAATACTTCGATTTTAACAGATTCTAAGCAAGATTCATTTCTTGTTTGATATCTAACATGTTTATGCGCCGAATTGGCAGGTTCGTATATTATGGATAGCCCTCGCGCGAGCAATTCTTCGCAAAACTTACAAGCATCTGAATTGAATGAGTAAGATCTTGATCATCGTCACAATTAGATTCATCGATTTCGAAAGATTACAAAACTGAACCAACTTTGTGTGGTAGGGGCTATGAAGTTAAAGAGGCATTAAGAGCTCAAATGGAAGTTCAAAGCAAACTGCATTTACAAGTTGAAGTAAGTCTTTCCTTTCCCTTACCACTTTCGAAATCTGCATTTAACTAAATTTTGCGCGATTTTACATGCGCAGGCCGAAAAACATCTGCAGATTCGTCAAGATGCCGAGAGACGATACATGGCTATGCTAGAGCGCGCCTGCAAGATGCTAGCCGATCAGATCCTCGGCGCCGGGATCACAGGCGACAATGCCGACGATTATCAAGAAAAAGAATCGAAAACACCTCTCAACGTGCCCCAAACTCCCGGAATCATCGTTTCATACCAATCCCAATCAGCCAACGAGCTCGGCAACATCCCGGCTACCGTTGAAATGCCTCTCAACATCCATCAACAGCGCACCGACTGCTCGACCGACAGCTGCCTCACTTCGCACGAGAGTCCCGTCGGATTGCCCCCGGAAGGATCCTCGGCTGCAGGCAAGAGAGCCATTCTTACAGTCGATTCGAGCAACGGCTCGCTTATCTGGGGTGAGGCTGACGTCTATGCCCCCGACCTGCATCAGGTTGCTGTCGGCGGCCACCGCATCGCCGGCTGTGGTGTGTAAAGAGGCTCGTAAACCATCTGCCATTTTCGACTTCCCCAGCTCGTAGTTAATGGCAGCAGCTAGCAGATGGTTAATTACAGGTCTGACTTGTGATCGAAAGATGTAAATGAAAAGATGCTGATGTTTTCATGTCAAGACTCGACACTGTTTCCTCCTTACATCGCATCTTTTACCTTTGCCATTTTCTTCTGTTCCTTTGCAATACCTCTGTGTCTGCATCTGCCCGTTCAATTCAGCTTGAATTCATTTTTCTTTCCAAGTGGGAGTCGAAAAAAAAAAGAAAAAAAAACAGTTCTTTGCAATTGGATGAATAACCATATAAAATTATAATCTAGAAGATTCCGGCCGGTCAGCGTCTTCATCCTTGTCAGTATGCACCCATGAAGCTGACCGGGGCAGACGGGCTGGTGTACGTGAATTTACAATCTTACCCTTGACAAACACGCATTGAATGGCTCAGATTGTTTATTGTTTTGCTATGGTGTTTTGAGGTGGTTTCTTGTTTTTACTACCAAATACATATCAAATAAATAATTGTCAGAAAATTTCAAAAGTACATTTATAATGGGTTAGGCGTAGCTTCCTATTTCTGAGTAATTTCACCACGAATTTCTTGTATATTCTGACGCTGGTAAATAAAAGCTGAATATCGTTGGAATGCTATTTTGGGACATAAGTGTCATATATGGGATGGAGATGGGCATTCTAGTCAAAGTAATTTACTGCAAAATTGTGGTAATAAATTAAAAAGAAGGGCAAAGGCGTAAACAGAAAACTAATAAAGAACAAATAAGAGGCGTTTTTGTCTCGACTCACTGCTTCTCTTCGCTGGACTTCGTTCATTGCCCACTCAAGGAATCGGCTGGCGTAATCAACTAACAAATTTTTGTTTACCTGAAATTGAATACGTATAATTTTTAATCCGGGGGGTTTTTCGTTCCGCGGAATTTGAAGTATTCGCGTGATTACGCCGCCGATTGGTGGTGTTTGAGGGGGATTTGTACGAGCTTCTGTAGATCTGGGTAAGGAATTCTTCTCCCTCTTTTTGTTGAATTTAGATATTGATTGTTTATTGCTATGCTTAGGTTAGGTTTTGCTCGACATTTGATTATGATGAATGCTCTGAGAAGTGAGAATTCTCCTTGCTTTCTGCAAGGCATGGCTAGAGTAAAAATACGGTTTCTCACTCGTTTGAGTTTTCGCGAATTTACTACCATGTAGATGATTAGTTTCTATAACTGTAAGTTCAAAAATTTAGCTTTATAGTTTTGCAAACATAGGCTGAGATAGGGGATGATCGACGTTGGTGGTTTACAGTTATCTGCAAAATTTTTGAACCGTTTTAATGTTCTCGATATACACGGTCTTTGGGCAACACAAGATTGGTCATTTAGTAATGAGGTTAATATTGCCTATTGCCTATTCCTGTATTCCATGCACTTTCGGTGGTTGTTTGTGCTGGAACTAAATTAAGTAGCTCTATTTGTCATGGCTTACTCCACTTTTAGATGATTATATGTTGCTTTGTGTTTTTCTCTGTGTTTTTTCCTTTTCAAAACTTTCTATGATCGTTAAGTGGTAATTTTTACTTGATTAAAAGGTTTATCTCTTTACTTTTATTTTATTTTTATGCCATCTATGGTTTATGTATAGCTTATTTGTATGTAAATTTACTTCCTTTAGTGGATAAATTGATTTGGCTCGATTTATAAATATATTTGCCATCAATGTTTTCTGAATGGCTTATTTTTAACTCAATTTAGATTAATCGGACTTATGCCTTACATGCTACTTTAAGTTGATGTAGTAAGTCAGCCTATTGGAATTAACACTTTGTTATCGTTCAACTTGGAATCAGATTCCCTTGTTTATGGCCTTTGTATCCATTTCCTTAAATGTGTGACTGGAATCGATTCCCTTTATCATGGCCTTTGTATCTATTTCCTTAAACGTGTGAACTCATTCTAGGTTCTTTTAGCCCTTTTCGGTGGCACAAGTTTCGAAAGTCTTTGAAACCACATTAGTGATATATATAAATGTCTTACCATAGTTGATTATGAAGAATAAATTTGTATTCAGTGGATGAATTCTTGAAGAAATCTTGAGTGCTAGTGAGTGTTTATGCACAATGTCTAAAACAAGTACTTATATACTTCTCTTTTTATCTTCTTTATACTATTTATTGGACAAGTTCATCCTGACTAGTGCATTTATTGGATTGTATATTTCAGTATTTCACCACAATCATTTTTGTTTTCTTCCATAGATAGATGAAAGATTCGAAAGTTCCTATAGTTCAAACTTGATCCACAGCAATCCAGTTGTTCGAAGTCAGCCATTAGATTGTGCTGACAGCACTATGGATCCAGTCAGTGGAAGTAGCAATGCTAACAATCCTAATTTGGCTTCCAAACAGCGACTTCGATGGACGCATGAGCTCCATGAACGATTTGTTGATGCTGTAGCACAACTGGGTGGCCCAGATCGTAAGATTCAAAGAACATTCCTTTGGCTGCCCACCTCTTTTCACTCCACCAGCACTAGCTAAAATAGGATGGATTCTTATCATTTATCTGTCTTCTAGGGGCTACTCCTAAAGGTGTTCTTCGAGTTATGGGGGTTCAAGGGCTAACTATTTATCACGTAAAAAGCCACCTACAGGTATGCACACCAGGAATTTTACATTGCTTTTCTGATGTTGATATCTGGTTTCCTACATCATAGCTTACATTAACTTTTGCTACCATGGACAGAAGTACCGGCTCGCAAAGTATCTACCAGATTCTTCTTCGGATGGTTGGTTGTTTTGTTAACATTTCCTTTATTATTGCACCAAGATTGATCATTTATATGTTTGTCCTTAATATTCTATTATTTTATCAGCACTGTGGACTGGCATCCTTAATTTTGGCTTTGTTTAATGTGTAAGGAAAAATTGCTGAAAAGAAGGAATCTCCCTCCAACTTGGATGGTTCACCGTAAGTGAAATGTTTCCGCCTGCATGTGATTGTGTGGTTCTTTCCTCCAAACCATCATAAAAATACATAATTCAAAAATCTCCCTTCTCAGTCACAACATTTCATTGTCATTATATAATTAAGATCATAAAGCAACTCATTTTATGCAAGAAACTTTATTCTTTGCTTGAAGTGGGATGCAAATAACTGAAGCCCTTAAGCTGCAAATGGAAGTTCAAAAGCGGCTGCACGAGCAATTGGAAGTATGTTTCAAATCTTTTACTTTTCGAGCTATTTTTTCAACTGGCTAAACTGATTGAACTTTGGGAGGATATTTTTGCCGGCTTCCATTGGTTATTAGGAGTATTCGATTTAGGTAATTGTTTCTTTCTTGTTCAAGTATGTTTGTTGATAAGACCTCTTACAGGTGCAAAGACAACTCCAGCTGAGAATAGAAGCCCAAGGGAAATATTTGACGAAGATTATTGAAGAACAACAGCGTCTCAGCGGGGTTCTCTCTGAAGCACCGGGGCCAGGGGGATCTGTTCCTCGGGCAGACGGCATTTCTCCTGAATGTGGTAGTAAAACTGACCCGGCAACCCCAGCTCCAACGTCTGAGTTGCCTTTCCAAGACAAATTGGCGAAAGATCAAACTCCTGCCAAGAGTCTTTCTGTGGATGAATCCTCCTCTCACCAAGAACCACTAACCCCAGATTCATCCCGTTCACCCGTCGATAGACCACAGAAAAAACAGCGTGGGAGCACCGATTTAGCGTTCGACAAGTCGGAGATGGTGCGGACCAGTTCAATGCTGGAGTCGAACCTGAGCCCTCCTTATCAGCAGCCACACTCGCTCTTCCTAACAAGAGATCAGTTCGAACATACGTCGTCGCGAGTACCTGTCTGCAGCCGAGATCAGTTGGAAAAGATCTCGGGTAGCAACATGTAATTCTAGTGGTTCCTACATGTCGATTGCTGCTACTCATTCGTCGTCGTGTACGCGTGGTCTGTAGAAACACTCTCCTGCACTTGGTTACTATGACTTTGATTTGAGATATAATTTAGGCAGCCTTTTAGAGGGAGTTTTCATTACAAATGGGTGAATGTTGGCATTCATACATTGTAGTGCTTAAGCTTTTTAGGTGAGATAGTCATTAAACAGGATTCTGCACCCAAAAACTGGTATTCACCGAGTTCAAGAACTTGTCCCAGGCAGAGCTCGGAAGCTCGACTTTTGCTAGAGGGAAGTATCAATGTGGTTAAGAATGGCGTCTTCGTCTTCTTGCAGCTGCTGCATACAGTCTTCGAACACGGCCACCAGCTCCGGACTGAACACACAATCTTCAGCCTGCCGGCCAGTCTCTTCGTTGGCGACCTTCGCATTGTAGCTGCCGAATTTTGGAGTGACGTAAGTCCCCGGAGAGTAGATATGCCCCTCCGCAAAATGCTGCCGCTGCCGGAACCTCGCTGCAACCGGGAATTCTATGTCGAGTGATTTCAGTCCCTTGGCTATGGATTTCCTTCTCCAACCTGTTTCTCCAGGGCCATCTTCTCCGGTGGTGTAACTTTTTGGCGAATTGGAGCCCTCCCGACAATCCAGGTCTGCGCCAGGTTCGTTTTCCATGGACTTGTTCTTATTTTCTGGTAAAGAATTCAATCCTGGATCTTCCACATTATCCCATGATTCATAATGTCTGAATTGTTCCATGCCTGTGCTGCTGCTCCTCCGAATTCTCTCGACCAGGGCGTCGTATTCCTCGACAGTATGGAAGCTTCTGGAGCCTACCAGGTTCTTGTCTCTCCAGTTTATCTTGTTATCAGTTCCAGGGGCGATCATCTCCTGCTCATCTTTATCCCTCACCACCTGACAGCTTCTGGATCTGGTAAATCTCCCAAAACCAGGCTCTATAGCTTCATCAGACCCTGTTTCAGCCCCTGGATTTTTCGGGATTTCCGGGATCAGGGAGAGAAACTTGTCGGCGTCCTGAGGAGTTTCGGGATCCCTCGACACCATGCTGAAGCTACTGCTTCTGAGCTTAGCAGCTACTAAGGAAAACAGCTTGCCACTGCCACTGTGGGAAGCCAACAATTCTTCCCAGGGCACGCCGTCGATGCCGGGATTTGAGTTTTCTCTTAGGCTTGATGATCTTGATCGGACAACCAACGATTTCTTGGAAGGTATGCACCCCATCTCGACGATCCTTTTCACTGTATTATATATACTATGCTCAGTCTCAGATAGATTAGATCAATTTTTGTGTGAAGTTTTTGGATATTGGGACATGATTTTTGGACCTGGGGTAGTTAATAGTTTTGGCAAGAATATGCTGTCCTATAAACCATTGCTAAACTAAAAGATATTCTGAAAAGGGATGTGATGAAAGTGTCGAAAAGGTATATAGGTACTGAAGCCTGTGATTGTCTGTCTGAAATAAACTTACCAGTTTGAATCTGTTATGTTCTCCTGCAAGGTCTGAAAACTTTGTAGGAATGTGATATGAGAAGGATGATGTGTGAGAAATGGAAATTTGGGGTTTGGTGAACTGACCCCGCAATGTTTTTGGACTTTTCTTTCTTTCAGACCTCGAAATTCAACACAATTATTGGACGTAAGTGTAGAGTCAGTTTAGACAACAGCACCACTTTAATTCTTGTTTATTTATTAACTCTTATCTCTTCTGAATCCACTTCTTCATTTGCATTTATTTTATTTGTTTTTGTCTGCAGTCTTGAAATCCCACTTTTTTATATTTTTTTTTTATGTTTGTGAATTCCAGTTCCTATAATTTATGTTGTCTGAAAATGACAGTGTCTTTCAGCCCCAAAACCAGGAAGAGATCCTCAACTTTTTCTTGTTTTCTGATGTCAAGGTTAGGAGAAAAAAGGGTGTCGTTAAATTGGCATATCAGTGGCATAAATTAAGGGTTGCGTTCAGATAGTGTTTTGAAATTTTAGAATTTTATTTTTTTTTAAATTATATATATATATATATATATATTTGATCTGGTGTTTCTGAAAAATTGTTGTAATCTAAAATTTCAAAAGTTCCCAGAAGCTTTGTGTAGACAAAGATATTACACCAAAAATGCTGAACTGCGACGAAAAAAAAATCAAATTCATTTTTTGGATCAGTGATTTGGACGTGTGAGCAGAAAGTCGTAGCATGGGATTATTTTTAAAAATTGGGTGTCTTTGAAGTCAATAAAATTTGTTGCTTGTTCAGACAATATTTATTGTTGTTTGATGTTTTATCCTTCTTCGTTTTTATATTCAATGTCCGACATTAATTTTGCATTGACAAGTTCAATTTTGAAATTGGCTCTGACACCTTTTGCGCTACGCAATCACTTGAGCCCGTAGTTATTTTTGTAAATATGGGCCAAATTTAAATTTAAGTGGCCCATGGACATTGGGCTTTTCTTGATCTTAGGCCATATACTTTTTAGAATTTCAGCAATTCTGAGTTGGCCCATATACATTTTAGGCCTTGTATTCATATTTCAGCATGGTCTATGTACTTCAGCCTAATATGAATTTTGACCTTCGCCCATAACCAAATTGGGGTCGTAACCAATGTTATATTATCCCATTTTGGGCCTATGGAATCATTATGTAGCTCAGCCCAAATAAGATTTGGACCATATCGAATCAATTTTAGCTTGGCCCACATAAATTTTGGGCCTGGCTATTTTTTACTGGCCAAGTAAAGTTATTGGGCCTCTTCAGTCTTTCTAAGCTTTTAGCCCACAAACATTTTGGGCTATTATTTTTACTGGCCAGAATAAATAATTGGGCCTCATTGATCATTAGTTAGCATGGCCCGTATACATTTTGGGCCTTTCATTATTTTTACAGGTAGGCATTTATTATTAGGCCTCATCGATTATTATTAGCCAGCCCCATATACATTTTGGCCTGAATTATTTTCACTGGCCTGCATATGGAATTGGGCCTGAAATCACATTTTAACTCGCCCCATATACATTGTGGGCCTACATGACCCATCTACTGCCTATCTTTATAATTACAGTTTGGCATATAGCATTATAACCTTTGAGAAATTAAAATTTATACATTTTTTTTAACGTTTAATAATAATATATTTTTATATAAATTTATGAAAATATAACAGTAGAAATTAAAAAAAAAAAAAAAAATCACCAGCGGTGAATTTCAACATTCAATAATAGAACACACACCACTATATTTTTAACTAATTACAATAAACAAAATCTAAACATACAATATACACCAAAAATAATATAGCATAAAAACATATGTACAAATTTCACATCTCAATCATTTACATTTATAATTCAAGTAGAATCTGTCCCTGAACATATAATATAAACATTTTCAAGTTGTGGCCAGTGGCTGTCGTCGACATAAATCCACCTTTTACACATCAATCACAGCTAAGCATCCAAACGCCGGCCGGCCACAGTCTCCGGCTACCAGCAGCCGCCGGCGGAAAACCCGATTCTCGAGTTCGCAACGTCGTAGACCACCTCGAACGTCTGCTGCTGCTGGTTCCCGATGATGGCCATATCGTTCGAGCTCCCGGAAAATGACAGACATGTCGTCCCCTCCATGACTTCGATGATCACATTCCGAGGTTCCAGGCCGAGCTCGGCCCCTCCCTCGAAGATCATCTGAACCGGCGGCACAATGTGCGATATCTCATCCGACGTCCCATTGAAACAGGCGTCGAGGAGGGAGACCGCTTCCACAGTCGAGAACTTGGTGGAGATGATCTTGACGAGCTCTTCCCGGAGAGCTGAATACACCGGCGTCGCCAGGCGAGTTATGGCTGTGCCGGAGTCGATGATGGTGGAGACGCCGTAAGCAGATGCATCGAGGGGCAACGGTTTTCCGGATACGGATATGGCCGAAAGCTTCAGAAAGTATAATCCCGGATCCCTGGAATCAGACAACATCGGCGTGAACTTAGAGGGAGAATCCGAACTGCTTCCAATGGATAGAAAACCTCCGGTGCCGGTCTTACCTATTACAGTGGATGTCGGGAGACAGTAAGAGAACGAATTCTCATATTTAAAAGACAGCTGCGATAGCATCGAGAGCTCGTTCCTCGCCAGCCCGATCAAGCCGGAAGATCTCCCGAATAGGCCGTAGTTCTCCTGTCCACATCCGAACACGAAACCAGGTAGCGACTCCATGGAGAAGCTCAGAGTGTCTCTGCTCAAGTACCCCATGGACAAAGATTGATCGCCGTAAGTCGCTGTGTACTGACAGATGTTCGAAGAAGAACACGTCGGACTGTTTAGTGTCGCAACTTCCAGAGATGAGCACTGGCTTGTGTTGCAGGATAGCTCTTCGTATGTTCCGGAAGCAGACGGATCGAACAGGGAGCCGGCTTGTGGATGGCAGTACGTCGCACACGGCTGGCACTGTATCCATGAGAAAGAGCTGCCGGTGTCCACAACCACCAGATGGTAAGTCGGGGGAGTTCCCAGACCAATCCTCGTGTAGTAATTCGCAATGCCAATTGATTGCCCAGGATTCAGGGGAATACTGACAGACTTCCCATCGCCGGATGCTGTCGAGCTGGGAATGGTCTTGTTAAGCCTAGACCTCAGAAACTTGACCCGAGCATCGTCCATGGCGAGTGCATCCAAGAATGACAAGGGAGTATCCAGAGTCTGAGGCAAGTCGGGTCCCTGTCCCCGGACATGGTAAAGAGGCAGGCGCAAAGATTGATGCCGAAACCGTTCAAGTTCTGGAAGAATCAAAGATGTTAGCCAGATTATAGAACGAACTGAAGATGCTAAAATATCCAAGTTTTGCAGATCTTACATGCCTTCGTTTACCGTAACCGAAGAGGTTCTTGCAAGCAAGAGAGGAAACAGTAGATAAAAGAGCAGCCCCATTTTCCAGAGATTTTTTCAATGATCTGATGCAAGTAGTAGCAATTGTATGGCTGCAGAATTGGTAGTTATAAAGCAACAGGATATGGCTAACTGATTGTTAAATGATGATTAGGATTAAGCCTGAGGGGACCTTTTTAAACTGACCCATGAGTTTTCCAGTACATCCTCAAATAAAAATTCCTTTTCAGGGACCCATTTTCTAACCTTCTGAAGGTGACCCTAAATGATTGATCAATCAATCATCGTCAGCAGCAGTGTTCAATGAAACCCCAGCTTTTTCTTCGACGCCGCTTCTTGATTTCCTGACTCATAAATTCATGACTTTACTTTGCAAGAAAACTCAAGGTTAGGACTAATTGCATCATGGCTTTTTTCTTCATGATTGATTGAATGAAACATCAAGAATCAAAATGACATCCATATGCTCAATCTGGATTGTACCCGGAAGAATCAGCAGGAAAAATCACCAGGGCAATTAACATGTAGTATATGTAACACCCTCCGAAAAATGAAGGAAATAAAAGGAGAAAACTCACAGATCATGGTGTGCCATTCGCATAGTTGTGGTGACGGAGAGCCAGCAAGTGGATCGATCCAGCACATGCAACACTGATGTGGCCTTGTAATAATGGCTCTTCACTGTAGGGTGGGAGCCTTGACATGAGCTTTCCTGACCTGTGATGCAGAAAAGGCCAACATTATCATATCCTATTACCTCTCACCGGTCACCACACAGTTGCTCCAAGGATTAGCACCTTTCCATTGGTCCAGCATTTTAGGTAAAATGTCGCACCACTGTATTTTCTAGGAGCATTCACTAGCAAAGTTCTTTGCTATCTCCCAATAAAAACTGAACAGAATAAAGGTATATCGAAGGCACCACTAACTGGGAATTTCGGATAGACAGATTAAATTCCTGGATACTAATGTTACATTACAAACACCGGAAGGAAAATGTTGCTGTCTCAGTAACCGATGGATTGTAAAGTTAAATCTAATCAAACTCTCTAGCACAAAAAGGGCATTGAGAAGTCAGGTGTAACATCTCAGTAATTTAATGAAAAAATATATTAGATTGGACATGTAAACGCCATTTATTTGTGGCCTCATACTTCATCATGTACAGGAAGAAACCAAGACTTCTGAGAATGCCTGGCTGTAACTAATTTCCACACCATTGCACTCTAATCTACAATTCAATGGCATCCAACTTGACATTGATTTAGTTGCCCAGATGTGGGAAACACAATCATATACCATAGGAAGTGGATTCCATCTTGCTGTTGAGAGTAAAACAAGGAAAAGTGATTTATTTCATAGTGTCAATGATAGCTTCTCCTCGAATCCCCCAAAAGCTCATCTGCAGAGGATTTGAAGAAGCTCATGGTAAATAAATAGTAGCCAATACCTTGAAATGATCAGAGAACATCTTTACACAAATCATAGAGAATCTACAACAATGTCGACAAAGAGAGATAAGACATTGGACTTACCACGCTCTTCTTCATCACCACCACCGTGAGTCGTAAAAATTGGGGTCAGGTAGTTCTTATCGAATTCAGTAAACGAAGCAGCGCTGGAAAAATTTCACCAACCGAGAAATAAGTAAAGGCACAAATGGACAATTGAGATAGAAGAATCAGTTTTCTTTACCTGTCACGAAACTCTCTTAGTTTCATCTTAAACCGATTTCCAGATGATGATTGTCCTTCATATCCTCCAGATCTGTAGCGAATGTCTGTCTCCAAGCTCTGAAATTGGGAAGACATATATTATCAGCAGTAATTCCTCAAATGCTGTGTATACTTTATAAGCCTTGTCCATCCCAGAACCATAAGCCAATGCAAAAAGATCAGAAAACAGAAAAGATAAGTTTGAGGATCCGATTAGTTACATCTTCCAGCACACGAAGCCATTCAAACTGGCACTGAAGTAGCCTGTAAACATATATAGCTTAAAGCATATGTATGCCATATGGTTATGCTTCATATACTGATCTGGCAGCCTCTCCTTAATGGACATAAGTGGAAGAGAACAGAGCAAGCAGACAATAAACTACACTTGAATTCCCAAAAGTATAGAATTGATGTCAGCAGTCAGGTTGCATATTCATCCATATCCACAGATCAAACACAAGTGCATCAACACATATGAGTCCTAAAGATTCCAGTCTATTTCATTTGCTTTAAATTACTGTGATCATAATGCTGACTTACTTCGCCCAAGGAACTATCATGACAATCACCAATGACTTGTAAGCTTTCCAGCATGGTCCCCGTTGATCCGCCTATCAGTAAGACCTGAAAATCCATATAACCATAGTATGGCATGTCAACCAAATTTCTTCTCAATTAGGTTACCAAGAAAAGAACCAATACCATACTATTCTAGACTACGTGAATATGAACACTATATTTCTATAATATATATGTAAGCTATAAACTTATGTCCAGAAAATATGACAGAATAATGGTCACAACATGCACAACATATTGCACAGTAATGACTGTCACCAATAATTGTAGCTCACTTGGCCTTCTGTATAGTTGGGTGAGGGTGGTAGGGAGGGGGTTGGGGGGCATCTGAGTAGTTTGGGAACAAATCTAATGAAATGACATGTCAATCTAATTCATTAAAAAATGTATTTTGTCTATCGGCCGCGGCCCAATATCAAATTCATGAAGCTTTACACACAAATTGGTTGCTTACCGTCAAAACAACTATTGCAGTTGTGGCAGTGAATATTGTCTGGCCATGCCCTTCGGGAAGATCATGAATTGACTGAAGGGCTAATGCAAAAGCCATGGCACCTCGAAGCCCTGACATGGATATATTCTATGAGTCGATACAGTCAGTGTCTCTGTGTTCAAATTGCTAAGCAAGAAAATGCTGGACAGTAGAAAACAAACGAAGAACATCAAAGAGGGTTGTTTAAAGAACTAAAAGAATATCCCTTACCACTATACCAGAGTGCTTTCTGATGCTTCATTGGTATTTTCCGATGTGCAGGTCTAACCAGATTGACCAAATATGCACACAAGAACACATTTGCAGCTCTACAGAGAATTAACATGGTTGCTGGAGTTTCAAATTTAAATACTCCATCCCCCAAACAAGTAACATAAACTATTAAAATAATATAGTGGGTCCATCATAATCCTCACAAAAGCACACAAGTATTGTGATCTAACGAAGAAATTCTGTTTTTAAAAAATAATAATAACAAAAGCGCATTGTACTTGTACAAGGGAAAGCCGGGCATACCTTGCAATTCCAATGAATATCTGGATTGATTTGGACCAAGTTAGGGATCAAACTCATTTAAATCTCAGGTAATTACACAACAAAAACTCTTCGAAATAAACACACAGCACAACCAGAGGATACTATTGAGAAAAATATAAATCCAATATGAGACCAGCTATGCTGCTCCATGGCAATGTCAAATCCCATGTAAATAAATCTGCAAGATAAGCAAAGGCTTAGAAAATGAGACCAATGGTATGATAGGAACATCTTATAAGTTAATAATAGAATGATTACTCACACAAAAGTCTCTGCCACCGATGATAACAGATGGAAAAATGCAGATACAAATTTCTGCGAACTGTCTGATAAGTTTGAATAAGTGTATCGCTTCATGACCTAAAGACATTAATAGAAACAGTCTTCTGCATTAAGGTATCAGCTGAAAGATAATTATGAGGTAGACACTACAAATATTACACTTACTATTCCGGTGAACAATATTGATACAATACCCGATAGACTAAGCCCTTCAGCTAGCATGTATCTGTATATAATTTATGATAATAAAACACAAGATAAGTTCCATAAAAAGCCAAAAATAACCACCACTACCAACAACTAAAGGAACAATTCAATAACAGCTTACGAGAAATATGGGAAAAGAACAAACAGACAGCTCTCCAAGTTTTGAAGGCTGTACGGAACATTGTGAAATTATCATTAGTAAAACTAATAAATTAATCATAAACAACAAATGTTAAGATGTTGAAACATATATGCTTACTTGTCAATATCAAGTCCAGCATACTTGAAAAGGTTCTCAAAGTTAAGGTATCATGGAGTGTGTTGCAAACGTAGAACCATGGAAAGGAAACATTTGCATTTAAAGTGACAGCTAAAAAAGGATATTAAAGCAGAAATGAATCCAACTCCAACCCCTGAAATTTTTAAACAAATTCTACTTATTAGATTAGGTAAGCATGCTCTTGCAATCGCATATAAGAGTGACAAAGTTCAATCATTTGATACAGATAAGTCATCTGCAATACAAAATACTCACCAACAGCTAATAGTAAAGAATATTTCACTTACAGTATTCATCACAACGCATTTAAGATATGGCACAGCATTACTGATCAAAAAGTAAATAAAATATAAACCTACAAACATATATGTAAACATGTACGTACATTTAAATAATTTATGTACATATTTAAAAGTAGAAACATAATATAATCAAATATGTTTATGACTATTGATTGCTATTTGTACATAAATTTTTGTTTGATTGGTGCCAACTAAGGCTTAGGACAGACATGTTCCCTGTAAACTGATATTTTCACTTTGATTAAAAAGTTCATCTAATATTCTCGTAATGCATTTCAAAGGCACAATTTTAATCCCCAGAAAATCAAAGTCACATGACCAAGTGGAAGAAAGAATGGGGTTGAATATCTCATGTTGAATCAAAACAAATACAAAAAATATTTCTTAATAACTCAACAATATAACACCTCAAGTCACTCCAAACTTCATAATCTCAATTTCCACGAGATAGAAGATATGTGATCATAGAAGTAAATAAAAAGGGGAATCTAAATTTGGAAACTCATAATAGATGACTTGGTTTCATAGAAAATGAAATAATTTACAACATCATTAAACTAGCTGTGGGGAGCATGAATACATTTATAGCTTAGGGAGCTAGAAACTAACCTGCTGACATTGAGCCAAAAAAAGTCTCAAGAAATCTGACCACAATCATGAAAAAGCTTCGAGTTGATGACGTATGGCTCCTCACCAATGACATTGTCCTAAGGAAGCATAGCTATCCATTAGTTACTAAAACTGCAAACACATTATGATGGATAATAATAACTTCACTGACCTGTACAATGATATTGCCATCTTCAGACCGTCAAGACACAAAACAATTAGTAATTTTACAAACCAAGACCAAAGCACAATCGATGTTAGATAACATAAAATATTTACAAGATATCCTCCATCTTAAAAGAAACAAATATATATAACAAAGTAGTACTTACAGCATCATTTAGTACAGATTCACCAAAGACCAGAGCATAGAGATTCACATTAGTACCAAGCTCCTGTAAATATCATGTCATGAAAATGTCAATTAAATTATTATTAAGTGATATATAATCTTGCTTCAGTACTCTCCCGGACATAGGAGCAAGCAAACATGAATAGTAAGTATTTGATCTTAGAGAGAAGACAAGCAAGACAAATTATATGCCCTCATCAACACAATAACAGAGTGTGTTACACACACTCCAACTTCGGCATTGAGTTTTTGAACCTAACATTTATCTAGGTCTCTTTGCAACATAAAAATAGAAATTAATTGATTCTCTCCATCATGGATTATGACAAGACCATATACTTTGCATCACCATGCATAATTACAATTAGAAAAATTAAATGCTATAAAGCTACAAAAACTGCACATCTGCATGCTCCCATTGTACACCTTAAAAGTACTTCTATTTAACATGTTCTTGTAAAGGAGTGGTCTGAGAAGTCACACTAGCTATGCACAGTGTTGGGAATTATGTGTTAAAACACTGGTCACCTGAAATATAGATAGAACGGTGACTGGATCGGTAGCAGAAATGAGTGCGCCAAACATCAGACATTCAACAAAAGGAAGTCTATAGATGAGATATATCACTCCACCAATGTAACTGCATCAAGAATTTCCAGAATATGAATGAAGCACACTAGTGATAACACATGTATTGTACGGTCAAGAAAACCTGAAGTCATTTATGAACTGATGCTCACACCAAAATTCCTGTGACAATAGATGCAACAAAGGTTCCAAAAATTGCAAATGTCACTATGGCTCCAAAGTTCGAAAAAAATGGTTTCTGCAAAATTAAATATACAGTAAAGATCATATAAGTATTTGAATTTTGGGCAATATAATGTAAAAAAAGAGCACCTAAAAGAAATCTCATTTCTTAGTTCACTAACTTTGAATATAAACCCACAGGATCTTCAAATAATTATCTGACATTTTACTCTCTCAAGCAGAAGAATTTAGTGAAGATTTTTCCCCTGGTTCTGTCCCACCCCCTTCTTGTTTCACAACCCACTCCATATAAGATAATTGCTTATCCATCAGCTCAGGTCAAACAATAATTGCAGTCTAGGGTTAAAAAGATTAATTTAGAAAGATATCTAACAACAATATTACAAGATAATGGCTAATCATCATCTACTTAATATTGCAAGCCACCCCCTTTTGTGGATCACTCCAATAGCAGCTATCTAGTGAAGTTCATCAAGCCACTAAAATTTTCTATTCCAACGCTGAAATTTTCATCAAATAAAATAACAAACTAAACCTTCCCGCAATGGAAATATATTACTCAGACCCAAATTAACGAACATGTAAAGATAGCTTACAGGTTGCAGACTGAAGCCCGATTGAGTAAACACAAAAACGTAGTTAAGGTTTACTTCCTTCTTACAATTAACACAATGAAGATAAAAAGGTAACGATCGTCCAACAAAGACTTTAAAAGAAAGTACTCGTGCAAGGATATAATATAATTGGAGGCAGGAGAAATAAGAAGAAGAACTCCTCGTGGAAGTTGAACCATGCCCTGCAGAATCAAGATAATAACTCAAAACAAAAGTGCAAACAAAGATATGATTTATGTCCAAAAAAAAGACTCAAAAGAACAGAAAGCAAATAGCAACTGCAGTAACCTGATGCTAGTCTCCGTGTTGGAAATGTTTGCTAGCGCACCCACAATCAAACCTGAGTCGCACATTCAGCTCCATTAGGTAAAAGATGCTTGTAAAGCTCAATCAGATCACCTCTAGTGATCCGTAGCGGGTAGAATTTAGGGCAAGTGCAGGTTAAAAACCAAATGACAGCTTAATTACCGATCAAGAGCGAAGCACTGGCTTCAGGAAGGTAATAAAAGCGATGGCGGCGAAGAACGTGGCCAAGAACAAAGGACAAAACGAGCATCATAATCTGAAGAAGAATGCCGACGCCGGCTGCCTGCTGCTCCTTCGCGGGACTTCCCCTAGGAACAGCCGGAGATATCCGCATGTCGTCCGTGCCCATTTTCTCAATTTCCGACTCGCCGAACCGATTTATGCCAACGTCAATGGAATCGACGACGACATGTAACTTGTACGGATGTTGAGTGACGATCATGGCAGGTGCCCATGTTTTGCCTGCTTTGCACTATTTTGCAATTTACCCCTCCCTTGCTTTCTAACCGATTTTTTTAATTATCAGTCTAGTCCTTGTACTGCACTTAATTTTTGTTTAGTTATACTTTGAATAATAATAATAATAATAATGATAAAATAATGCTTTGAATCATTTTCGAAATAACAAAAACTTAATTAAAAATAAATATTTAATTATATCAATTATAGTATTATATTTTAAATAAATAATTAATATAATATAAAATATACAAGTTATAAAATTAGTTTGATTTTCCTTTTCTTTTTTTGGACATGAAAATCATATTTCCACCCGCTAACAAGATCAAGTAGCAATGATATCAATTGCTGAGGGACTTTAGTGTAAATATATATATATATATGATATCAATTGTTTCCTTCTCAACTTTGGATCTTATCACCCAAAAAGAACCACCTAATGGTTATAAGTTCAATTTTACACAACTAATAAGTCATTTTATGCTGGACTTGATATTTTTTTTTTTTATATATTTTTTTTCGAATATATTTTGAGTAAATTTTCATTTGAATCTAATAAGGTGCAAATTAAGCATATCAAGATACATCATATTAAACTAATCATATGTGACCGATAAGATTTGAAGGAGACAATTTTTTTTTTTTTTTTAAATAATATATTGGTTGATATTTTTTCATAGTAAATTTTTAATTGTTATATTATCATCACATTTGAAAACTTGACTTATAAATCTTGCATGTCTATACAGACATTTTGTCTTTGATGTTATGTTAAAATAATCATCATATTTATAAATTTAAAGAGATACCTATCATTTATTTATTTATTATAAAGTTATCTAATTTTATTTTTATTTTTTTAAAAAAGTAAAGTCCAATTTCTACCAGAATAACTCAAGTGTATTTTTTTGTATATTTTTTTTTGGTTTATTTGGTTTGAAATTGTGTATAAATAATAGTTTTATATAGTATAGTATAATTAATATATTGTAAGAAAAAAAATTATATAATTTTATTAAAAACAATATTTAGAAATTGTTATTGGGAATAATAAAAATCTAAACCATGATGCACATATTATTTGTTTTTATAAAGTATCAAAATACTATTTAAATAAAAAATTAAATTAAATATTCAATTTCAAACCTAAACTAAACACACCATTAGACTTTGTTTACATGAGCTTAATTTCAATCTATTTAATATGAAATTCTTACTATTTTGTAAAAAGATACTACTATTTCCATCTCCTTCCAACACCAATCTTTTTATTTGTATTTGACGTTATTGTTTTAATTATTAAAAATATTTTTATATTTGTATAAATATCATCGTAATATTATAAGATACTAATAGAAATATTTTTGAAATTTTTTATTGATTTGATACTACATTTTGATATAATAATTAATATTCAAATATTAACATATAAAAAGTAAATGAAAATATTAGCGCAAAAAAATATTATTTACTCTTATAAAAATATCAATCCAATCCAAATTAGTGTTTAAACTATATATATATATATGTTTGTATGTATATTATAAAACTTGAAGTAAACAAACCATTAAGGTTCATTGAATTGTATTCCATTAATAAATCAACCAATTATATGCAATATAGCCATATGATAGATTAATTCACCGTTCCCTTAAATTTTGCTGAAGACTCCCGTATGTTAAGAAAAATAATTCATGATGCATATTTATAATAATTTAAATTTTTAGGTGAGACGATTATTTTGATCATTTAACAAATCTTATTCTCTTATTTATTTCATGTAATTGTTATACCAAGTAAATAAGCCAATATTAGAATTTAGGTTTGAAGTTGGGGTTGGGGTTGAAAAAAAAAAAGTGAATAGGATATAATAAATAAGTATTTAATTTGATGTTTTAGATAAAATAAAAAATAAAAATTGATGTAATGTAATAATAATAATGATAATAATAATAATAATAATATATAAATGAAAAAAACCCAACAAAAACCTACATCCAAACCAATTTCTTATGCTTATTTGGTGCTATATATATATATATATTATAATAAAAATTAATTTTATATTTAAAAGATCACATCAATACTTATTTATATTAAATCATACAACTATTTAAATTCAAAATTTTTACTATTCAAATCTCGAAAAAAGAATTTTTTTTTCGCCTAAAGAGTTGTTGATTATAATATGCTATTCATATTAATGAAGGTACTTAATGATATTATGGAGAATATCATATATTGATTGCTATTATCTGAAATATTGATTATCATATGTAGAGTTATGTTATACTACAAAATACTTGTCATTTAATTTAGCAAAGCTTGGAACTGATAACTAATTAAATTAGTAGTATGATATTAATATTTGTTATATAGCATAGGTTCTAAGTTAAATTTTGAGCTTTCAATAATAAAATTTTGAATTCAATTATATAATTAATTGATATAATATAAATTTTGATAATTTGAATGTAAATAGAAAAAATGTAAAATAGTTGTCATGCTCCTTGACGCGCAACTTGTGTTTGCAGTCACATTTATTTAAACCTTCGGATAAGATACCTTGAGTAAACATACATGCATGCACAATTAATAGTAAAATTTATTTATTATTTAATTTTATTTTTTTTTCATGGTTTTTACTATTCAACATCTATATTTTTCAATTTTTTTTTAAAAAAATTAAGTATCATTGATTTTTTTTTAAAAAAAAAAAGAAGAAAAAAAACAGAAACAGATGCTAGGGTTTGTTTACCTGTATTTTTATTCATATTATCGTACTATACATAGGAAATAAATTGATGCATTAATTATTTCATATATATATATATATATATAGGTAGGGATCTCATGTCCGAAAATTTCAACCCCTACACTGATTGAGAGGGAAGCAATTAAAACAAATAAATAAATAATTAATTAATTAAAAAGAAAAGGTTAATTATATATATGGTGCATTGGAGAAATTCATGCAGGCGTTCGTCAAGGCCACGGCACCACACACATACACTAACATGCATATATCCATGCATGCACGCATTCTTTCATTCTAAGCTACACGTATTATATATCTATTAATTAATTAATTTATTACAACATCAATAATAGTAATAATAATTTGAGATCTGCCATAGTCTCGTATTATTTATTTATTTATTTTTTGAATTATATATAAATTCATCACATTAAATGCATATTTTTATTTAATATTATTAAACATGAAATAAAACACTATTCTAATTTGAATTTGTAGTAATATATATAGGAAATTATTGACAGTTGCTTGGCTATCCATTCTAAAAATATGAATGGCATGTAAATTTAGAATTAGAGTGTGTAAATATATATTGAATTTGGAAATTAAAAAAATTAATTCCAAGTGGGTCTTGTACAGGTCACTTACATTGAGGGATTTGCTGGCTGGCTTTCATCACGTGCTACCTTCTTGCTGGTGGGAACAAAACAACTAAAGAAACCGACTTGAAACAATTCAAAATGCATACTTTAAAGATAATCCAAAGTTATTGAATAAATTTTGATGATGAGAGAGATCTAGTAAAACATTTTTACTTTAAAGATAATACTACTTACTTTAATTAATTACTTATATGTATAATAAAATACAATTAATTACAAGTTTGATTCAATATATAGAGCAACATAAACTAATATTCATATTTAAAGACAGCAAGATTATGACAAAATTTGTAATCAAAACACGCCTTTTTAATTAGCAGCAAAACAACACATTAGAAAACAACAAATAAGTTAATCCATTTAATTTATAATAATAAAAATAATAATAATCCCATGCATTCAAAATAATTTTTCTTTCCGCATGTGTGCATACACATTAATTTAAATCAATTTCCATATTTTGGGGATTGAATAACAACATATAGTAGTACAATATAATTAATCTTGTAATGTGGACTGGGACTAGGACAGGACAGGACTGGGAGTGTACCCTTACAAATATATATATACATACAATACACGAACATACAAACAAATTAAAGACAAGGCAAAGCAGGCCACGCAGATGAGATCATACATACATATATACATATAAAGAGAGAGAGAGAGAGAGAGAGAGAGAGAGAGAGAGAGAGAGAGAGAGAGAATTATAATTAATGGTGGGAGTGACGAAAGATGACAGTTTTGACTGAGGAAGAAAGGGCAAGAATTTGACAGTGATGCAGGTATTCTTCATTCTTCTGCGGCGAATTTTGGGAGCCATGGCTCTCCCATTCAACGACATCTTCTAAAGTCTTTCTTCCTCCCCCTTTTCCCTCTCTCACCACCCCCCCCCCCCCCCAACCCAACCAACCCAACCCTACATTACATTATATTAGTTATTTAGTTCTCTGATTGACTGTCCTATTCCTCCATGGATTTTCTTTTTTCCTCATGTACAAGGATGATCTGCAGACAGCTATAGATATCTATATCTATAGGTACATAAATATATATTTATATTTATACGTGTGTGTGTATAGAAAATTAGAATGAGATGAACCCTAATTTTGGATTTATTAATTTATTGGGGGTGTTTTTAATTGAGGCTCGAGTTGTGTGCTGTCCATCCGCAGAAATTGGGCGAACCCATCTGCAGAGGATTGGAGCTTCTCATTTATTTGTATCCATCCTACTTTCTGCTTTCTACCATCTTCTCAGACAACAACACACCTCCAAACCCCTAATTGCTTCGTGTACGTATCTCTCTCTCTCTCTCTCTCTCTCTCTCTCTCTACCTTCTTCTTCCTTCCTGTCTAATTTCCTCTATCTCTCTCCATGAGTTCTCACGATTCGATTTTGTTGATCTTGTAGCTTAGTTTTCTTGATCTTGATATTTAATTTAATTAATTTCTAGGGTTTCATATTTAACAGATGCATCTGCAGCTTCATCGTGAGCAGTTAGGTTATATATATAGTTTTGTGAATTCGTATGTTTCGATTTCTGCCATTTTGCATATATAGAAATAAAATAACATAAGAATGAGAAGATGATAGCTTGGATCTCGAATTCCATTATCAGTAGCTCTTGTGTTGACTGATTTTCTGCTTCTGCATGCAGGTTAATTATTTTCAGAAGATACAAGAGACAATATATATATATATATATATATAGAGAGAGAGAGAGAGAGAGAGAGAGAGAGAGGAATAATACATATATATATATTCATATATGATGATGGGAGGAAATGGCGAGGTATCAGTGCCACCAGGGTTTCGATTCCATCCGACAGACGAGGAACTGCTGTGTTACTACCTCAGAAAGAAGGTCTCCTACGAACCCATCGACCTCGACGTTATCAGAGAAGTCGATCTAAACAAACTTGAGCCATGGGACATCAAAGGTACCCATCACCTTAATTCATCTCTCTCTCTCTCTCTCTCTCTTAATCTGATCATTGAATTAGTTAGTTATATTTGTCCACCATCATTAAGAACAACGATCAATATATCTTCATAAAATGCAATTTCAAAGTGATAATTTCTTAATAGTATTCTTCTGACACTGAAGACGAGGAACACGAATACTGATGTAATGGAAAAACGTAGACGGCCGGCATTTGCAAGATCCCATAAAACTCACCCTGATATATATTCCTAGTTCCCATGTATATAATATTTTAACCAGTTTCGTCTACTTTAAGAATAAGGTTTCGAATTCGTCGAGAAATCCAAGTGTGAAATCCAAAATCTCTTGAGTTCTGAAAACAATATATATATATATTAATAATTGTACTGTGTTGCAGAGAAATGTCGGATAGGGTCGGGGCCCCAGAACGAGTGGTACTTATTCAGCCACAAAGACAAGAAGTACCCGACCGGAACCCGCACGAACCGGGCCACGGCCGCCGGTTTCTGGAAAGCCACCGGTCGAGATAAGCCCATCCACCTCTCCAGCTCGAACCGGATCGGCATGAGAAAAACCCTGGTTTTCTACACCGGTCGAGCCCCCCAGGGCCACAAAACCGATTGGATCATGCACGAATATCGCCTGCACGACGATGACACTGTTGCTCACCCCCAAATCCAAGTATGCAATTGATTAATTAATTAATTGATTAATTTGATTTTCTAAATATTAATTCGATTAATTCTACAAAAATCAGGAAGAGGGTTGGGTGGTCTGCAGAGTGTTCCAGAAGAAGAATCAAAGCAGGGGATACAACCCGGACGAAGATCAGCCGGTCGTGTCATTCCAACCGGAGCGGCCCAACCACCACAATGTCCCCGACCAAACCCGGTTCAGCAGCTTCGGATTTGATCCGAACCATTCGATCCACCTTCCGCAGCTGATGAGCCCCGAATCGGCGGTCCCGGCCACGTTCCTGTCGTCGCTGTCGTATTTGAGCAGCTGCAACCTGGACTTGCAGTCCCCACAGAATCTACTCAAGCTGTCATCAGGCGGTCCCGGGACCTCCGCCGCCGCCCCGCACCAGGACTGGTCGTTTCTCGACAAGCTATTGGCCACGAACATGGACCACGTCGGGAAATGCCACCAGTTTTCTCAGATTAATGATTTGGTCCCTCAGGGCCAGAGGTTTCCATTTACTTATAATGGATTTGAATCTGACGTCTCCAAGTAGATCGAACTTGCATGTTTGATCGACATATATATATATATACATATATGCTACAATCAATCCAGTGTATTGGAGATGAATATTCGATATTAACTAATTCTGCAATTTCTTAATTAATTCAGAACATCGGAAATTTATATATATATATTGTATATTACAACACTGAGATGATTAAACATAATTCACAGGGTAACGCGAAATTTAGAACTATTATTACATATATGTGTGTGTGTGTGGAGGCGGCGGCGGCTAGGCGGTGCCGGAGACGCCGGAATCATTGGTGCCGCCGCCGTCGTCATTCTTGTCGGCGGAGAAAACTTGGCCGCCGGTGCCGACGGCGTCGTCGACTTTATCCTGCAGTTTGTCGATTTGGATTGGGCCTTCATCTTCTTTGGAGCGGATATCGAGGCGCGTCTTGTTCTGGCCGCCTTGGACGGACTCGTACGCCGTCGCCGTGAATGTTTCCGGCGGCTGTGCTCCTTGAGCTCCCGACATTATATTGTGGACTGTAATATTATTCCAACTCAATTATATATATATTCTCAGAATGAATAACGTAATTTGAACTTCAAGTGCCGATCATATGATGGTACCTGGAGGGACTGGCGGTGGAGAATTTATTAGATCGTCAAACAGGCAAAGAGTTTATCCAGACAAGGATGATGGCGATGATGCCTGTGCCACGTGGCGTCATACCACTCTACTGCTTCTCCACGTGTCATCATAAGCCATGTCGTATACTGTTTTGTATTGCAGTGGACTTTATAAGGCCCATTACAGTACTTCCCTTTAATGGGCTTCTTGAAACTTCACTTCAAATTGGACTTTATTTTTATTTTATTAGTTTTAAATAAAATAATTAATAAATATAATTTTTTATTATAAATATCTTGTATATATTTATCCAAAATAATTAAATAAAAATTTTAAGTAAACTAATCTTAAAAGGTTTTTAACTGTACACATTTTTAATATTTTTTTTTAAAAATAAAACCTTAAGCCTTATAATTAGAAAATATATAAATATGTGTTTTCACATTTTCAAGCTTATTAAATAAAGCCTTAAGCCTTATCAATTGGTTCTATTAATTTATGTGTAAAAAGAATGACATGTGTATACTAATAATAATACTATTATAACAATTAAAAAAAATGAATAATTTGTATAATAATATAATTATTTATGATAATTAAACTATTATTTAAAACGAATAGAAATAATAAAACAGGATTATTGTTTTGGACATATGGAACAATAGTAATTTTGATTTGAAATCAAAGACACCCTAAATACTTATAATTTTTTAAAAATATATATATTATATCAAGTATTCAAATATTTACTATTTTTAAAAAAATAAACAATTCAAAACTTTTTTTTTTTTTTTTTTTTATGAGGATGACCATTGGAGACAATAGTGTCGTTTCAACCCCAATTATGACTGAATAAATGAATTGTATGGTCATGGGAGAAGGGTTAGCTTTCCTTATTTATTTTTATTTAAATATATAAAATCAAATATTTTTTATTACGTATATATGTATTTTTTTTTATTTTTTCTCATTCAAAATATAAAATATCAGAAAATGATTAAATTTACAATTTTACTTCAAACCCATGCTTCACCTTTCAATTCTAAGTATTGTTTTTTAAAATAATACAGTTAAAGGCAGCAAAGAGGTATCATGGCGCGAAATTAGGGTTGGGTCAAAGTCATACTTCAAATAAAACAATTACCTACTCATTACCTCATATCCAACCCTTCAAAAATAAATAAATAAATAATAATGATATGTTCTGCTTAAATCTGCATACGTTTGCCCAACGTAACACAATAAATATCTATATATATATATATATATATTCATGCTTCCACTCTTAAATATTTAATTTTATCTCATGTCACCATTATCTGTAAGATAAAAATATACAATTAAATTTAGTATAGGGTAATAAGTTCGGTCGGAGGTTTACCCGTGAATGCTTTTGGGTAGCACCGACGAATTCTCACGTTATATAATATATATATATATATACAATTAAATCCGATCAATATATATATAATTAAAGAAAATTAATTTTTTATTATCTATATATATATATAATCTAACAACTGAGATAGAATTTCAATTGTATTTTTTTCTACACATAATTAACTAAAGAGATTAATAAATTGACGAATTTGGTACCTAAAATATGTGATCGACGACAGCTGGGTGACTGAGATTTGTGCTGCAGCATGTGCACTCACAATATATATAAATATAAATATAAATACAAATATAAATGTGCATGCATGTATGTATAAGTCCTTGTTTGTACTGTATTAATTTATTACTCCACCACGTTCATGTACCATATCCACGTTGCCGTTTTTGGCCGTCTTACATTTCATATCACTTTTTTTTTTTTTTTTTAAATGATTACACACTTTAATCTCATTTTAAACTTTTTAATTTTAATTAAACTAATTAATTATCTTAATCTTAATTTATAATGATTTATATTATAAAATAATTATTTTTACTAATACATTTTTAATTATCTACTAATTATCTTAATCTTAATCTTAATACAATGTAGCAGACACGGCATATAGCACGGAGGAAGTATTTTTTTTTATGTAATTATTAACCAATATCTTTGACCTTTTACAATTGTATTTATTTATTTTATTTAATTTAATTTGGTGTAATCGTCGAATTGGAAACCATGAAATCTCCAGCTGGTTCATTATCACAAGTCAGACACCTTATTTTACTCTTTGGGGAAATATATATATATATATATATTAATAATAAATTAATCTAACCAAATCAAATTAAAATTAAATTAAAATATAAAATCCTTTACGCCTTGTTAACACTCCCTCCGTCCCATAACAAATTATTTATTTTTTTATTTTAGTTTGTTCCATAACAAAGTATTCATTTCCTAAAACTATCTACCTAACATTACAAATACTCTTACAACTTACAATATATTACACAAATGTCATTACCTTTATATCACACATACTAATAAGGTTATTTTAGTTATTTCTACTTTATTCCTACTATATCTCAATATAATACTAATATTTCTAAAACTACGTATAAAAAACAAATGGATACTTAGTTTCGGGAGGAAGGGAGTATAATTTTATGTCTACAAACTTGGAAGAATTGACTTTGAAATTAATTAGTTAGATATTTACATTGCCAGTTGGCCACATATTTACTAATAATTAAATATTCATTTCGTAAAATTTCAGCTATTATTTTATATATATTTTATATATTGAAAGGTAAATTTGAATTAATATCATATATTTAAACAGTATTATCAGATCAATAATATAATTAAATAATCAAGCGGTGGAGATCTTAATTAAATATGACCTTCCAATGCAAATCATTTTAGGATTTGTTTGTACCAAGGTTTGGAGCACAACAATAATAAAATTTAAAATGATATAAATAAATATCGATATGATATTTTAGTATAAATAAAAAAATGGGCGTTTAGTATTTTATTCTAAAATATATATTTTTTGAATTATGATGAATTGTATTAATAATATAAAATAATATTTTGTGTTGACTGTTAATTTTTTTTTAAAGAGTAGAATATATATATATATATTACAGTATATATTATGATTTGCTTGTCATGTAAAAAATTGATTAAGCAAACAAACATTTTTACATTAAAATTTTTAATTTAAAATATTTTATTATAAAAAAATTGGTGAACAATAGTACAATTTTAGTAAAATGATAATAAAATTTTTTTTAACATTGCATATTATTCAATGGGATAATCACATAATTTCAGCATTTGTTCATGGGTTTTGAATAAGGTGTTATAAGGTGTAATTTTATTTTTTTCAAATATTTCAACGTGGGATTTGGGTTAGAATATAGTATTATAAAATTAATATTTAGTATAATATAAAAAAAATATATAAATATATATATGATTTTTCATATTTTTAACAAAAAAAAATTAATTAAGAATAAAATTATAAGCTAAAACCCCACAAACAAACAAATTATAGTCTCAATTATTGATGCTTAATAATAATTGTAATAAAATAATTAATAAGTTTGACTTATTACGTGTATTACAAGATTGAAATTAACTCAGATATTAATAGAAATGAACAATAAAATAACATATATATAAATTAATTAGGAGTGTTTATATATGTATGCAAACATTGCAATTATTAATCATGATATGGATTAATAAACTCGACATTAAAATATTTTCTAGAATGATATAGAATAAGAGTATTCTTTTTGTAAAAACAATACATTTTTTTTCAAAAAATTAATATATCATATATATTCATTATTTTTATATTACTTAAAATATATTCTTTCAAACATTTCTTCACAAAAAAAATTTCAATACTATGTGATTCTCAATATATCTAAAAGTATAATAAAAATAAATATTTTAGTAATATTTTTTATAGTTCTTAAAAAAATATAACAACAAAAACCTCAAAATCACTAAAAAGAACACAATCTTGAAATAGTACTTCAATCTATAATAATTTTTCTTTTCAAATTATCATAATTTTTTTTTTAAAAAAAGTAAAAATGTATATATTATTTATATTCTTTTTCTATAAAAGATATAAAACTACAATTATTATTTATTTTTATTAAGATTCATTCCAAAATATTTCAGCATGCATAGGCACAACTATAAATATATTATACGAATTATATTAAGCCTATATTGAGAAACAGTTGCATATAATTGCGTACTTGTTTGATCCTAATCAAACATTCTTTGGATTATGTGATATATATATATATAAATAAATCTGTAATACGATAATTTTAAATAAAAATAATATAAAACCTAAGCAATATAAAAAATAAAAAATGATTATTCATTTTAATTTTAAGAGCTGAAAAAATGATGAACAGAGGAAATGAAGACAAAACACACAGTAGATTGCGTGCAATGTTGTCGCTGATGATGTAATTAATTATAAGAACATATATTAATTACAAACAATCATACTTTAAACTTTAGGAGTAAAATAAATGAAACAAAAACTGTTAAATTTTAAATAAATGCATAACAACGACAGAAATTTTACAGCCCAAAAGATGTTACTGCTAATAATAACAAATCATTATTATATGTTAATTTTCAGCAGTAGTGTAGTGTAGTGTAGTATATATCTCTGTCATCTTCCCTGATAAATGGACCCTGTTCCCACCCCACCCTACCCCATGGCCTTCTTCTTCCTTGCTTGCAAAGAATCTCATCCTAAGCTCAGGCGATAACCAACAACAAGTTTTTGCTTCTACTCTTTCCCCACTTTTTTCTGTTTAATTAATTTGTTGCTTCCATTGCTGTCGTTTCTTCTTATTTAATCTTTCAGCTCTACTGTGCTGTGCAATGCTGCTGAGCTCTGTGATTTCAAATATGGCGCTTTCTGGGCGCCCATCACTGCCTTCCCTCTTTCTTTTAATTCTGTTTCTGGTTCCTCTTAATTACGCCAATTCAGGAGGGATTAAGTTCGATTTGATTCACAGGAATCATCTGGAACGAAATTCGCTGCACGGCGGGCCTCAGCTCAGCCGCCTGAGTCGACTGATCGCCGGCGACGTCGTTCGCCTGCGGGCGATTTCTGATAGACAGAGCTCGAGATTCATCAACAATGGCGGATTCAGGAGACGGGTGCAGGAGAGGCGTACGGATCGCCCGAATTGCAGCGATGGCGGAAGAAGTTCTTCTAATCGCCGTCACGATGTCGCCGGCGTGTTGCCGATGAATTCGGCGGCGGACTACGGGGTCGGGCAGTACTTGGTCCGGTTCATGGTGGGATCGCCGCCGCAGAAATTCGCCCTGATTGCTGACACCGGAAGTGACCTGACATGGATGAACTGTAATTACCGGTGCCGGGGATTGGGGCCGCGGCCGGCCTGCCGCCGGAGAATGCGCGCCGGCGTTTTCCAGGCGGACCGGTCCGCCTCTTTCCGGACATTGCCGTGTTCTTCAAGTCAATGCAAAATTGACCTCGCCGGAATGTTTTCCCTGTCCCAGTGCCCGTCGCCGGCGGCGCCGTGCGCCTACGACTACAGGTACTCCGACGGATCGGCGGCGGCGGGCATATTCGCAAACGAGACAATCACATTCACCCTGTCGGACCGGCGGCGGACAAAGCTCCGCAACGTTTTGGTCGGCTGCACTCAGACGGCCGGCGGCCAAAGCTTCGTCGCCGGCGACGGCGTCTTAGGGTTAGGTTACAGCAACTACTCGGTGGCGGTGGCGGCGGCGCGTCGATTCGGGGGGAAATTCTCGTACTGCCTGGTGGATCATCTGAGCCCTAAGAACATCTCAAGCTACCTCGTGTTCGGCTCGCCGGAATCCTCCGCCGCCGCGGTCTCCGTCAGGAAGTTGCGGTACACGCGCCTCGTCCTCGGCGCGATTCCGCCGTTCTACACAGTAAACCTAAGAGGCATTTCCATCGGCGCGTCGATGCTCGGAATTCCGCCGGAAACGTGGAATCTTAACGGCGTCGGAGGAGTGATACTCGACTCGGGTATGAGCCTAACGGCGTTAACCCTGCCGGCGTACCGGCCGGTGATGTCAGCGCTGAAACGGTCGCTGGCGGTTTACCGGCGGTTGGATTTGGACATTGGACCGTTGGAGTACTGCTTCAACTCGACCGGGTTCGACGAGTCGGCGGTGCCGAGGGTGGCGTTCCACTTCGCCGGCGGGGCGAGGTTCGAGCCGCCGGTGAAGAGCTACGTGATCGACGCGGCGGCGGGGGTGAAGTGTCTGGGATTTGTGGCGGCGGCGTGGCCGGGGGCGTCGGTGATCGGAAATATTATGCAGCAGAATAATTTGTGGGAAATTGACCTCGTTAATGGCAGATTAGGGTTTGGGGCATCTTCGTGTACTTAGCAAATTAATTTCTATTTCACCACTGCTTGCTTGATTCAATCAAGAATTAATTAATTACTCAATTCAATTGTATACAATACAAGAATGTCTTTTTATAGTAATAATTTTTTTTTATCTTCTGACCCATTGCATTTTACTTGCAAAAAGGCTATCCCAAAACACACAATGCAGATTTTGGGTCATTCTTGGGGATACCTAAATGAAATGAAATTTTATGCAGTTTAAATTGAGGTGTTAATGAAATTAGAAATGTTGGTCACAATTATTTTTATTTTGTTTGTAATGTAAGGGTAGATTAGAAGAAGTGGGTGTGGGTTGTCCCTTTTGTTGGCATATATGCCTCTGCAGAATCAATCATTGCGATCTAGGAAGTACCAAAATGTGCCAATCACGATGCTCGAAAAATGAATTCATTTAATTTTATGTGATCTATATATATATGTATAAATATATTATGTTTGTTGATGATAATGAAACTAACAAAAATCAAAAGCTGGAGTAGTTTGACTGGAAATTAAAAATAGAAATAAAATAAAGAGGAGTTGTTGATTCGTGAAGCCAATGGCATCCATCATCATCCATGTGAATGTGCCCACAAGATTTCAGTTTCAGTTTCCGATAATTTCGTTACTGATTGAAATATAGCTAAATATGTACACACGTAATTGTACCTAATCCTAATTATTCATTGTTTGTCAATATCCAACAATTGTATCTATCACTATGCACCTACTTAGATACTTATAAACGTGCTTTTCTTTGTATTTTGGACTGCACTTCAATATTGTATTATCTTTTTATTTTGAATTATTTTTATTTTTATTTTTTAAATTTTGTCGTGTTTTGTGAATAATAAAAAAATATATTTGAATAATTATTTGATAATGTGTAATATTAATGTAAATAAATATAAATTTAGCAATAGTTTAATATGTAATGAAATTCATACTTATGTACTCCCTTAGTCCCATATAATATAAGTATATTACTGTAGAGGCATGAATTTAAGTAAAATATAATTAGTAAGTAATTCAGAAATGTATTAGTAAAAATAATTATAAATTAAGATAATTAAATAATTTAATTAAAATTTAAAAAATTATAAAATTTAAAATGTGATTAAAGTGTATAATTATATTTTTTTTTAAAAAAAAGGGGACAAATTAGTGAGACGGACGAAAATAAAAAATAAAAAAAAATTATATGGGATAGAGGGAGTGTAGTATTTTGTATATTAACAATTAATAATGACAAAATAATTATTTTGCTCTTTTGTTTGGCATAAATAATGATTGTCCGCCATAATTACACATTTATAGTTTCAATAAAATTCATATTTAATTGACAATTTTATATGCCACAATACATTGAAGATTCTAAGTTGATTGGTGTGAAAAAGCATAATATTAATTTATGAAATATATTATCATACTGAAAATTGTTAGTTTGTGAATCTAACCGTTTAACAAAAATGCTAATTACTTTTTAAATATATACGTATTAGCATACACAATACTTCACCTATCTTATAAAATTATGTGTAATTTTTTGTACTGATATCAAAAAATTATATTTTTAATATTACTTTTATACTTTTTGAAATGATATAATTGAAATTTTTATAGAATTAGTAATATAAATTTTCAACTAAAATTGAATGGATGTATAAAATATGTATAGTCCATAACTCCATATATAATACTTGTGTATCATTTTTTTTCTAAAAAAATAAAATTGTACTTCTCTTTTACAAATTGTGTATAATTATATATTTTTTTATAAACATACTAAAACTGTAAAATAAACACACTTTTACCATACATAAGAGATGTATTTAACAATCTAACTCTCTTTACTAGCTAGAGTGGAGATATTGAATTTTTTTATGAATATATTTTTATGATAAGTATGAATAATTATATTAACAATAATAAAAATAATAATGTTAAATATATAGTATATTGTGAAAGAACATACCCCAATACAAATGCAAAAACAGTAACAATAACCCTACACAAACCAAAACATAAAAAACAAGAACATAACCAAATGAAAAATTAGAACAAAAACAGTAACTAAAACAAATACAAAACCAGTAACTAAAATAAGAACAACAACAATAATAAATACAAAAAACACAAGAATCAAAACCAAAATCGAGAACAGTAACAATAAGCAATAACAAAAATAAAACAAAAACTCAAATCAAAACCAAAAACAATACCACCACCAAAAACAAGTTCAAAACCAAAAATAGAAAACAATGACACAACCAAAACCAAAAAATAAAAAAAAAATAAATAATAATAAACTCAAAACAATAACAAAAAGAAAATCGAAAATTCCAAAATAAGAACGAAATCAAAACCAACACCAAAACCAAGGGGAGCAACAAAAATAACAAAACCACAACCAAAACAAAAGGCAAAATTAAAAACCAAAACTAAAATCAAATCCCAAAAAAAAAAAAAAAAAAAAAAAAGATAAAAAAAAGGAACAAAACCAAAAACACCAAAAACAAAACCAATAACAAAACCAAAAGATTACGAAATGTAATTAGACCCACACATAAAAATAATGACATCAATTAATCATATCTTCACACACTATGCAAAAATTAATCATCTACATAGATACATACGAGCTATTTCACTCAAACACTATTTATCACAATAAAGTCAACTTTATTCGTGCATGCACATAATGAAAAAGTCACGCCAGTGCATCTAGTAATTTATCATATCATCATTATAAAGACATTGCAATAAAAGTTTAAGAAAAAAAAAAACAAAACCCAATAAATAGACCAAAAGAAAGATAATGAAATGTAATACAGTGGTACACACATTAATAATAAGATTAACTAGTCACATTCATACACAACACAAAAATTAATACCTATATAAATAAATACAAACACATGCATAAATATACAAGTTAGTCAGTCACATGAACAATACAATAACTAATCACACATATATGAATAATACATACATTCACACATGCATACATAAGCCAGTGACACATATATTAAAAACAATTTCTTTCATGCAAACAGACATACGCAAAGTAAATTGACGGTATAAAAACATTGTCATAGAGAAAGTAAAGATTCAATAAGACAACCAAAATCAATACAAAATATACACAAACATGGGCACACAAAACAAAAGTAATTGTTCACACACATGAAACATATGAATCATAATATATACACATCAATAACAAAGTCAACCAATCATGCACCCAAGAACAACACAAAATCAATCCATAAAGAAGAAAACGTCGTAACAAAAATTTATTTTTTAAAGAAAATGAATAAAAAAATATAGAAATTACAAGACTGCCGCGTAAATCCTAAAGGAAAAAGAAAAACAACACAATATAAACATACAAATACATAATCTACTAATCATGTATGCACTCACCGTGCAAGAACAAATCATTTATATGCATATATACTTATATAGATAAGTCTATTGCATATAAATACTATATATATCATAATAAAATCAAATTCATTCGAACAAGTAAATAATAATTAAAAAAAACATCACATCAGTGTACATTAATAAATTCATCAAAATCAACATTATAATGACATGACAATAAAATTTAAGGCAATAAATAAATAAATAAAGATTTCATGAGATAGACAACGAAATGTAATATAGATATGCATTCATATTATGATTAGTATCAACTAATAAAATAGAAGCACACACAATACAAAAAATGGTCATTTGCATGTATGTGTATACGTAAGCTCAAGTGCACGATAAGTAAAATAAAATAAAATAAAATAAAATAAAAAGAAAGAAAAGAAAATCACTTCAATGCATCTTAGTTAGGAACATTGTTATAAAAACATTACAAAGATAAAAATTCAATTAGACATAGAAAAGAAAATTATGAAACATAAAAATATACACATTAATAACAAAGTCGACTAATCATACACACAATTACACAAACAAGACAAAGAAAGCAAGAGAAACCAAGAAATGAAGGTAGGATAATATATATATTAACTTCAGGTCAGGGTGTATGCACAAGCAATACAAAAACTAAATGCATGCATGGAAACCTCAAAAAGTATACACTTACATGCATGATCAAAATAAAATTAACAATATTCGACGCAAATGCAAATAAAATAATCACTCTAAATTCATTTTAGTAAATCAGTAAGAATTAGCATTAAGAAAGTATTGTCAAAAAGAAACTCAAAAATTCAATCAGAACCATCAATATCAAACTAGATATAAAATGTATACACATTGCATATACAAAATTTAATCATTTAAATACATGCTTATTGAATGCATAAACAACATACTGTCCATTCTCACAAGAATGCATTAAACAACATCACTATATGCCCATCCATTCACAAGTGCACATTAAGAAACATCAAACAAATTTACTGGGAATTACCTTAAAAGAGAAGCAAGAAGGCAGTGGTGGATGGTAAGACTCATAGAAGATCATTCTAATCCTTACCCAAATCGGAAGAGAGTCAATTCCAGGACTACAGCCAAATCTAGATATCTTCCTACCCTGAACAACTGCAAAAAAGAGTAAAGGAAACTAAGTTGAGGAAATGTCAAAGAGAAAAATAAGTAACTTAACACTTTGGAGCTCTATTTCATGTAAAAATTTCTTCTTTCCTCCTTTATCATCTTATTAAGTGGCCCTTGGCTTCCTCCCTACATCAAGAAAGGCAAATCCTAAAGAATTGAAGGGCAGACCAGATAATAAAGCAGAAGACAACATTAATAATAGTACCTTAAGGGAGGGGACAACTAGATCTTTTGATGGCATCTCCTCACTGGAGAACCTCACCTGATGTAACATCGGGTAATGAAGAAGAAGAAAGGAGAAGGAAATATTAATAATTAATAACACAATATACCTCATATGGGTCCCACGTAAGATAACATATAAATATATCCAAACACAATTAGATAGTCCATTAAAAATTACCAGCATGATAAAAATGAATGAAAACAGCATAATGACAAATCTTAAGTCTTAATCACATGTCACAGACTTTACTGTTAAACAGAAAAACAAAAAGGAGAAGAGTCCCAACCAGATCAATTAAAGAATGATTGTAGCACAATACGTAGTAAGATTGCAAAAGAACAGATAGGCACAACATGGCTCAAAGATTCGCAAGCACCATTAGCCCTGTCTTTAAAAAAAACAAGCTATTAATTAGTATTTGAAAAGAGTCCATATTAAAATAATGCTTATAATGAACATCATTGAAAGCAGTCAATAAAGTTCTCAAGTAGAGATACAATTGAAGGAAATCATGCCTTGATAAAAAAAAAAATGAAATAATATTTAAAGGTATTCCAACCCAACGAAAATGAGCAGAAGGCTATATGTAATATTATAACTCAAGTTGTAAGTTGGTTGCTAACAAGAAGTTATGTAATCCAATGTACAAATATATATATATATATTATTTTATTGAGCTTGATAGGAATTTAGAATATGTACATTCATCACTCAATAAATTGAAATGAATTGAATGACAATGCACTAATCAGCAACGCTATGGTTGCAAAATTTCCTGTTGCACATCATATGACATGCCTTCCAGATTACCCCGCCAAGAAACAGGCCGATTTTCTAATTGAAATGAATTGAATGACAATGCACTAATCGGCCACGCCATGGCTGCAAGATCTGTTGCACATCGTATGGCATGCCTTCCGGATTTCCCCGCCAAGATACGGGTTGATTTTCTTATTGATGCTCAACTCAAATCTGTTTATGCCTCATCATTCAGCTCAGATTGTGAGGCAAAAAAACAGCAATATAACTTGATAATTTGATTGAAAAATAGGTCAAGAGAGCTTATAAGCATTATTTGAAAAGTGGACCAAGATGAAAAATATAGTCGCATGTGGATAAAACTTCCATAAAAACCAATAAACGGTGAATATTTGAACTAAAAAGAACAAACTAGAAAAATTAAACAATGCAATCGACTGGAGTGAAGCCAAACCAAAACAGGAACATGAGAGCTAGAGCATGAGCAAGATCCAAACCCAAACCAGACAAGAACCACATCAAAAAGCAAGACTAGAAAAACTACAACATGAACAAGACCCGCAACCCAATCAAAGAAGAGCTAGAGCCGGAAACAAACTCAAACCCGAACCAGAACCACCTGAGCTAGAGCTAGAGTCAGGCACGAGCCCAAACAAGAACTGCACAAGAGCAAAGAAAGACAAGAACTAGAACTAAACCATGAAAAAGAGATTTGATCTTGGCTGGATTTAGAGCCAAAATCAAAGCTGAGGACTGAACCAGATCATGTAGTATACCTGACCATGCTAGAATTGGAACTAGAACGGGAGTTGACTCAGAAACGCCTAAGCCCAAGGCAGTGTTAGAGACCCAAAACCAAAACACGGACCAGACTCAATCCATGCCCAAGCTAGACCAAACTAGATTCAAACCCAACCCAGAATCACCTGAGCCAGAGTTGAACCTCAACCAGGGCCATGCTAGAGTAGGAACTAACTTGAACCTGACCCGGAATCACCCGAGTCATAGCCAAATCTAGAACCAAACATGAAATAGAACCCGATCCATACAAGAACTGCACCAAAGCTAGAGCCAAACCAGATCCAAGCCCAAGCTAGAGCTGGAACTAACTTGAACCTGACCCGGAATCACCCGAGCCATAGCCAAAGCCAGAACCAAACATGACCTAGAACCCAATTAATACAAGAACTGCACCAACTTGAACCTGACCGGAATCACCCGAGCCATAGCCAAAGCCAGAACCAAACATGACCTAGAACCCGATCCATACAAGAACTGCACCAACTTGAACCTGACCCGGAATCACCCGAGCCATAGCCAAAGCCAGAACCAAACATGACCTAGAACCCAATTAATACAAGAACTGCACCAACTTGAACCTGACCCGGAATCACCCGAGCCATAGCCAAAGCCAGAACCAAACATGACCTAGAACCCGATCCATACAAGAACTGCACCAACTTGAACCTGACCCGGAATCACCCGAGCCATAGCCAAAGCCAGAACCAAACATGACCTAGAACCCAATTAATACAAGAACTGCACCAACTTGAACCTGACCCGGAATCACCCGAGCCATAGCCAAAGCCAGAACCAAACATGACCTAGAACCCAATTAATACAAGAACTGCACCAATGCTAGAGCCAAACATGAAATAGAACCCGATCCATACAAGAACTGCACCAAAGCTAGAGCCAAACCAGATCCAAGCCCAAGCTAGAGCTGGAACTAACTTGAACCTGACCCGGAATCACCCGAGCCATAGCCAAAGCCAGAACCAAACATGAACTAGAACCCAATTAATACAAGAACTGCACCAATGCTAGAGCCAAACCAGATCCAAGCACAAGTTAGAGCCGGAACTAAACCCAAACACAACCCAGAATCACCTAAGTTAGAGTCAGAGCCAGACCGAACCAGAACTTGAACTTGAACCAAAATCCAACCCAGAATCACCTGACACCATAGCCGATCCCGAACCCAAAATAAAATAAAAGAGCATGTTTAAATTGGAAAGGAGAAATGGAATTCAAAACACTGAATATCAAATGCAACGCTGAAAGAAATGAGAACGAGAGACGGATTTTTTTTTTGAGAAAAACAAAATTTCTATTGCTAAAAAAATCAAACACTGTATTCCTCAAGCCCTAAATTTTCTACCCTTACCGTTGTAGCGAAGGAGGAGGAAGGCAGATTGAAGCTTCAAATCACAACTTAAAGTATATGAACAACTCAAAATTGAAAATTTGTAAGTTGTATACCAAGCGAATGTATTATCCTAATCAAGTAGTTTGAAGCAATCGCAAATCACCACTCCTAACCAGTAGCGAATCTTGAATTCAACTAAAACATACCTTCCCGTACCTATTGAAATGGTCGCCGCAACGTCGCGGTTCAACCCGCTATTCCACCAGAAACGTCAAGCCCAAAGAAATCCTTACCTGATCGAAATAGAAATACAAGCCTCCCAGGAGCACCGACTTCTGGAACCTTTCTTTTTTTATGTAGACCATAATACCACATTTGCCAGAGCAGAGTATATATACATAATAAATAATAATATTATTAATGGTATATCTTATGACCGTTGCAAGAAAATCAAATAAGGCATGTAGATCAAAACTTTCCTTATATATTTTAAACTTATCAAATAGCCGTTAGAAATTAAATTAAACTGAAACCATATACACCCACCTAAATCGCCCATTTTCTACCTTCATATGCTTCTAACAATCTTGGGTTCCTATTGTTTCAGAAAACAATCAAACTGTATAGGCCGATCCATTTCCAAATCCAAATTTATGTTTATTTCAAATCCAAACATCACGGCCACGGGGGTGTTAGTTATGTCTTTTAGTATTTTGATTTAATTTATTATATATTTTAAATTTAAAATATTTTAACATAATAATGATAATAAACATATTATTATGAATTTAAAAATAAAATAAAATATTATTATTTTAAAATTAAATTAATTTTCTATTAGAAATTTCAAATTAAAAAAAGATTATAGAAGTCAGGACGTACCTTTGACACAGAGAAAATGGCAACAGGAACTTGGAAATATCTCCAACATTCCATCCTCTTCCACTGCCCACTCAAAAATTCTTTAGATCACTCTAGAATTCTCAAGAATCTGCATACCCAACCCAATCATCCTATATAAACAATCATTCAGATCATCAATCCATCCATATCCAATCCGCGAAAAGAGATTCTACCTTTAATAGCTTCAGAAAATACGATGCCAACAATGCTGCCATGGCTGCTCTCCGATCCTTTCTTCAGGGATGCATTAGACAAGAGCGGCGTCAGTATGGACTGGAAGGAAACGCCGGAAGCCCACATCTTCACAATGGACCTTCCGGGGGTGTCGCCGGCGGACGTGAAGCTCCAGGTGCACGACGGCAGCGTGCTCCACATAAAGGCCGACAGGAAGGAAGACGAAGGGGATGAGAAGAGTGCTCATTTCAGATGGCACTGTAGGGAGCGCGGTGGTGGGGGGAGTTTGTGTAGGGAATTCCGGCTGCCGGAGGATGCGGCGGTGGAGAAGATAAAGGCGGCCATGAAAGACGGAGTGATGGTGGTGACGGTGCCAAAGGACAAGAAGAAGCAGCAGCTGCTGAATAAAAACCAGCACCATGTGCAGAGACGCCGTGCGGTGGAGATCGGCGACGGTGGTCACGACGGTAAAATTGGGCTCCGACGATTTGTTTGCTGCAAAGCCCCCTGATCAGATCAAGCAATTGAATCATGTGAATGAATTAGTGAATGATTTCAAGCTTTGTGAATTGATAAAATGGATGTAATGGAAGAAACCCTAGATTCATATTGTATGTATATATGTTTTGAAATGTAAGGTAAATTACGCACACAAACACACATTCTAATATTGTCATGTATCAACTCAGAGAGATAAATAAAGGATTTGTTGATGAAAATGGGGAAAAAAAGATGCCCTAATTAGATCAGAAATCAGAGTGAATTCAATGCAGCAAACCTAGCCAGATCTTATTATCAGGAATGAGCAACAAGGAATTGATGGAGATTTCGAGATTACCTGGTTAATCCTCTGTAATTCCTTCATCAATCGCATAGATCAATTACCACCTGTGAATGGCGAAAAAGGCAGTGCTGATCGGTATCAACTACCCCGGGACGGAGGTGGAGTTGAAAGGATGCGTCAATGACGTCCGGCGGATGTACGATTGCCTGGTGGAGCGATTCGGTTTTGCAGAGGAAGACATCAAGGTGCTCATAGACACCGATGATTCGTACACGCAACCTACCGGCCGGAACATTATAGACGCTCTGGACGATCTGGTGGATTCCGCCAAGCCTGGGGACTTCCTGTTCGTGCACTACAGCGGTCACGGCACGCGCCTCCCGCCGGAGTCGGGGGAGGAGGATGATACCGGCTATGACGAGTGCATTGTCCCCTGTGATATGAATCTCATCACCGGTCAGCCTCTTTCGCCATGTAGATATTTATATACATATGTATTGTATGTATCCCCTTCTGGGGATGTTCATTATTATGCAATGATGTTGCATTTTATTTATATGAATCTTCCAAACGAACTAACCTTAAATATTCATATCTCATCGCCGAATTTGGCAAGTTGTGCTTGCAGATGATGATTTCAGGGAAATTGTGGACAGAGTCCCGCAGGGATGCCGATTCACGATAGTCTCCGATTCCTGTCACAGCGGCGGCCTGATAGACGAAGCAAAGGAGCAAATAGGGGAGAGCACGAAACAGAACAGGAACGAAGAAGATGAGGATGAAGATGAAGACGATGACAACACTGTCGACGAGATCGGCAGAGGATCTCTATTCGGATTCCGGAAGTTCATGCGACATACCATCAAAGATGCAATCGAGTCCCGAGGAATTCACATACTATCCGGATTCAAAATCAGGCCACATCAGGAAGATGACAAAGAGGAAGAAGATCAATACCTAGGGCAAGATTACATCAAGAACAAATCAATGCCCGTATCAAGCCTCATCAAAATCCTCAAGCAACGGACAGGCAAGGAGGACATCGACGTTGGGAAGCTCCGACCAACGCTATTCGATGTTTTTGGTAACGATTCAAGCCCCAAGATCAAGAAATTCATGAAGCTCATTTTCGGCAAGCTAAACAGCCGTCAAGGCAATGCACAAAGTGAAGAGAGTGGTGGGTTCTTGAGCAAGGTTGGAAGTATGGCCATGAACTTTCTAGAACAAAAGCTTCAAGAGAACGATGAACAATACGCGAAGCCAGCACTAGAAACTTTTCTCAAAAATGAACAAGAAGCCTATGCTGGGGCAGCCAATAAAGGGTTACCTGACTGCGGCATCCTCATCAGCGGCTGCCAGACCGACCAGACTTCAGCCGACGCCACCCCATCAGGCGACAAGACCAAATCCTATGGGGCACTGAGCAATGCCATACAGATCATACTCGAGAAGGCGGAACAGAAGGTGAGTAACAAAGAGCTGGTTATTCTGGCCAGACACTTGTTGCAGAAGCAGGGCTTTCAGCAGCACCCGGGGCTCTACTGCCATGATGATTTTGTCGACGCACATTTTATTTGCTGATGGATTCACTGCTGGGGCACAATGAAACAACAACTATCACAATATAAACATATTAGGCAGGTTACCTGTCCGAGTTGTTCTTGTGTCTTCTCTAGACTGCATAATAATGAAATATGTAGAAATTGAAGAGTCGACAATCAGTTATGTCATTGAAGTAGTAGAGTAACAAAATGGTTCTGTATTTCGAAATGGCTACCTCTTCTTCTTGGTGAGGATATAAGACAGTTACAATCTTCTAATGGTAATGACTATCACAATATACAAAAAATGCCAATATGCGCCGGGGGTGAAAGAGGGGGCCTGAATAATATTAATGGTTTCTAATATATAGAATATAAACACATCGGCAGCTGAGAGTGGGGGCATCAGTGGGATAAAATATAGCTGAGTAGCGATGCCATGATGATCGATTAGCTGCAAATCCTTGTAGCTGGCTTTGTCAATGCAAATCAAAAGTGAATCATTGTAGTTGGTACCTTTGTAGCATAATGTAAAAAGGATGATCCAGAAACCTTATCAAGGAAAATGACAAAAAAAGGTCCTGCTCCCCTACCCCGGATTCTTGCTTATCTCACTCATCGTCAATGTCCTGAACCCAGGATAGATCTGCCAAAACACCAGTTTTGTAATTGTTATACAGGGTGATTAAGAAAACAATCAGGCAAGCAAATGTTAGATGAACTTATTGATAGCACATCAAATGGAAAATAACTTCCACAACTGTTAACACATGACATTTAAGTATTTTCTAGACTTTTTTGGACAAGTAGTGTCTGTCCCATTGATATTTAGATGAATTATGTACAATCTTTTCATGGGATGTGTTTGTTGTTCCACCTCACGGATAATAAACTGGTCCATGTTATTCATAAGTGCATAGTACAGGTATTGTAGAGCCAAATTCGATGAAAGTTCAAGACAATTCATAGGTATCTAACTTTCCAAAATGGGATCGGAGTATAGTATGAAGCAGATTACACACATGTAGAGCATTAAGAAATAAAGAATGCAAGAGAAGAAAACCTTGAAGTACGGATTCAACTGCTGCATTTGGTATGAGCAACCCAACAATTCGTTGATTATCTGCAGTTGTTTGTATACACACCACCCGTATTCGTTTATGGCTTTGGCGAGCCTGAAATATGAATCAATTAATGAACAGAACCTGGTGAAAGAACTTAATAAAGGCAAGCAAACTTATGTTTGCAATTGTATCAATGAAATTCAGTACAAATTATGCAGCGAGGAACATTTATAGAAAAAATAATATATCCGAACCAATGACATTACGCAACAAGATATGAGAAACCAGCAGCTCCACTACAGTCTAACAAGGCACCTATTGAATGTAATACTACTGTATCTATAGTGAATACTTATGTATATATAGCAGCTTTATTGGAATACAACACTTCTGAATGCACCAAAGTCATCAAAAGCTTATGAACAAAAGGATAACACATATATACAAGGATCTTAAGGATACTAAACTTCTGTTTGATCTTCAATCATTTAATGTCACAAGTTGCTGCCAGTTAATATTTTATTAAACAAGATCAAACAAGCGCCACACCATTCCATTAAAGAAAATTGCTTCTACCAAAAGAAGAATTAAATTGTTGACCCACCTGCTTGGAAAGAGCTTTAGCAATCGTTCCCCAAACAGGAAGAATGAGACCACCTAAAACATTAACTTCTTGTAGCCTCTTGCCTGTGGTGCAGTAGTTACCCTGCTTACAGTTTTGACCATGCATACACTGCAGGCGAAACCTCAAGTAAGATATACGGCAACACAATTAGGACAACAAAACTTGAAACAACAAGGGGTTCCAAGGCCAAACATACACACATATATACGACCCTGAAATTTATTTCATGGTTGTGCTTGTAAGCTTGACTTCTGTAACAGTTGAAATGCTAATAATGCTGTATGAAGTGTAGCACACTTTGAAATTCATTGGAGATTCAAGTTCAATAGCTGAATGTGTAGTTTAATTTTTAACAATCTGAATAATAAATGAAAGAGGATCTATTTATGTATATTTACTCCTATTACTTTCTTCTCATCCTATCATTTTTGCAATGTAACTTTCATTCCTTAATAAAAAAACATATATATAAAAAAACAATAAGTAGTGCCATAGTAATTCAACAATAGGTTAGTAACAAGTAGTATTAAACATACAATAAACTAACAAGAAAGTTTAAAGAACAATAAAAAATAAAAATGCGTAATCAAAGATAATTTAGTAATTATAATCAAATCAACTTAATAATTATTAGCAAAATTTTTTTTAATATCTATAAATAACATGACAACAGTACCTGCTTGGATGAAATTTCATATTCACCTTCCCAGCCAGCACGAACCTTCTCTATACTCGAAGATTTTTTGTATTTGTCTTTTAATTCTGCTAAAGGCATCTCCCTGGGGATCATAAGGGGTATTGAAAGCACTGGAAGAAAGGCTAATATAAAAGAAAGCATGTGAAGTTCTCAATGGAAACTCATAGGCACCTTATGGACTCCCCAATGTTTGGACGAATTATTTTGTACGCCCCAGATGCAGAACTGAAATAAGATTTAAAAAGTCAAAATGTGTGTCCTAAAGCATGATGGGAGATGTTTGGAATTGTCTATGTCCACATACACACGTTACATATTTCACAAATTATGCAGGACATACAAAAAGAAAACACAAGTCACCAACACCAACAATATGAAGTACAAAATCTGTTACAGGACAAGTAGTGAAAGAGGATTAATTGCATGACTATGCCAAAGAAACAAGTTTAATTAAAACAAGCAGTTCAGCCAAATTATGATTACAGGCCCTTTGGGTTGCTAAAACAAGTTATATAAACTGGCAAAGGATAACACTAACATATGGCATAACTCTAATGGCACATCAAATGAATTACATGCAACATTTCTTTTTAATATCTAATGGCCTGGAAAAATAGGCATTACATGCATGTCGTGGTATGAAAGGCAATTCAACTAACAACAACAAAACTATGGAAGGAGCAGAACCAACCACACGGATCTAATAAAGTGTACTTAACAATAATAATCAGTGCTTTAAACCAGGGGCAAATAATTGCATCTAGAAAATGGTCAAACTGTCATCCTATGATCTTAACAGCAAAGCAATAATGATATAAACTTAATACCATACTTTTCAAGTGCTAGTATAAAATGCCGTTTTCCCATCCATTCTCTCCTGGATTCATAGAATCCACTGTTACTTGACACAGATTCATCGTGTCGCTTATCTTCAAGTAATGCTGTAGCAGACTAGAAAAACGAAATATGTCACATATTCGAGAATGAGCACCAAGAAACCAATCACTGTAAGAATTAGAATAAAATGAAATACCTCCCACGTCATTCCTCGATCCAGTGTAAAAGTAAACAGCACAGTTAATGCTCCTGACATGCTGTCAACATGAACAGTCTGCAGAATGTTGCTATTAATAGATGTATGGTGTTAAATAAACTTCAGGTTATCTAAACCGTAAACCAATATTGCAAAACCATGCATAGAATTAAAATTAAGTAATCATGCCCACTCTAACAAGCATTCTAGACATGAGCTGGTGCATAATCATGAAGCATATAGCTTACACCTCTGCTTTGTCAGACTTGAAACAAATTAAAGACATCATTATAATCCAATGTTCTATTGGATGTGCTCTCTTATCAATTTAGAAGTTACTTTTTAATATAATTGCCTATGGTGTTAGAGCCACAAAAATATTGAAAGTAGGATCAAAACCTTTGGCGTTCCCTGCAGCTCAATTTTGTTGGCTCTTATATCAACAATACCAGAATCCACGTGCCCTTCCTTCCGTGCATTTTGAACAAGAAGGTCAAGAATACTGACAAATAACTCAAACAACCTGCAGTGAAATCAACATCTACTGTCATCTGTCGTTATAAAAAAAAAAAAAAAAAAAAAAACATGTACAGCCATCTGTGTTTGAAACAAGAAAAACACTAAAACTGACTAATACACCCAACAAACCTATTCTGGATATCTGGAGGGAGCCCTAAGAGTCTGTTCAGAAAACGCCCAATATCATGCATGTCTGAATCAACTATTCGCCCAGAGAACTTTCCAGATTCCTTCCCATTACCTAAAAAGATCGATAGTGAACAAGAAAATCCAAACTGAGAATATATAATAAAAAACAGTTGAGAACGAATATCATATAACCATACTATTACCAACACCAGAATCTCTAATTATCCCAACAGATACAAGGGCAGATCTTCCTTTGAGAATGAAATCTTGTATTGAGTCAGGTTCTTGGGATGAGCATCCTGGTGGGTCAACAGGTAAAGGTTCCTGGGTATTCAAAAAGGTATCATTATAAGCAACACATATAAGACAGCTTAAAATTGTAAAGTGAGAACAACTTATACAAAGCACCTGTTCCATAAGTCCTCGATACAACATTCCCAAGGCTCTCTTTCCAAAGACACTGTCATAATTATATGCACTGAGAGATGGTCCAGCCCTGAAATACAAGAACTATGAGCATAATGGCCAAATGGTAATAATATTAATGACAACTCCCTATCAATAAGCTTTTAAATGATTGGATGTTACCTCCTGTCTCCTTGTGTCAATGCTCCAAGGGATTCAAGTCTTTTGGCCACAATGGACGCAAAACGACGTTCACCACCAAGATTTGTGAAAAGAAGCCTACGAGAAATTATTCCATTACTCTATTTATGTGGGTTTAAAATGCTTTGTTTTCAACAATATAACAATGATGTCCTCATGTTAAACATGGTGAATTTGACTGAAATTTTCAGAAGAAAGATGAAAATTTTCAGCAAAACTCCCCTTGAAGACAAAACCACTTAATAGAAGTGCAATAAACTAGGATTACGCATCATACCCCAAACAAACTCCATTTACTTTTGATATTTTTTCAAGTTTTTCATTTTGCAATCCTCACGATTTCCTATAAAGAATAATAAAATACACAATTTTTTCTTACAAAATATCATATTCAACCCCCTATTTATACCAAAAACCAAAATCCAAATAAAATCACCAAGTAAACACACTGAAAAGCAACATGTATTAGTGGTAGTTACAATAAAGAAAATATAGCTACAACTAAATAAATAAATAAAATAAAATCACTCAACAGTTATTTATAACAGTAGCATACAAGAACACTGTACTTATCCATCCAAAATATTCACATGATAAGGCCAAAATCAAAAAACAAAACAATAGAGTTAAAACCAACTATATACCAGGTTGGCATAAATGTGGGTTGAAACATTAGTGGATATGGTAGCAAATTGCTATAATATTTTCGATAAATGCATTGATCAAGTCAGATGAGAAACTCATAATTACCTGTACTCAGGTGCTGAAGCTTGATTTGATCGATGAGTTCTTCCAAACTGTTGTATTGCTCGGTCTGCGCTCCAAGGCAGTTCTAGAGTTATATGGACTCTTCTTTTCTGTTAATAACAGTTGAATTGGAAACAATGCAGCCAAAGAAATGAATACGTGAACAAATCACAATACAAGATCATCTCAAGCAACATGAATACAAATTTATAGTGACCTGATTCATTGCCCTTCTATCTGCTTGCAAAGAGACACCAGCAGATCCAGCCTCAGATATAATAGCTACTAGTTTTTTAGCTTCCATGAATAGTTGCTTTTCATGCATATTAACCATTTCCATGGTCACATCCTTCCTAAAGGACACAAGGAAATTGTTACCAACAAGGCAGCGGAAAACGAGGGCAGCAAGTGTATGTAAAAAACTCACGTGTTTCGTGCCTGATAAGTGACCCCTTTTCCTCCAGAGGCCCTAACAAGCATGCCCCGTCTCCCAGTTATTTCAGCTACTTTTTCAGGGCCTCCAAGCTGCACCATCACAAAGTAGTATAAGAGGCAGATAGATAGTCATAACTGTAGGATGTGCAGCAGTCATCACACGTTACCTGATCAATAATATCATCTAAGGGATTGTTAGGAAGATCCAATGATCGTATGACTTCAAGAATTTCCAATTTACGCTTCAGAGCTCCATCATATCTAATCAGGTACAAAAAAACTCATTAATAAGGTCAGGGTAGATATACCCCAATGCTGAGATGACAGAAAAAGATTACACTTGATTTCTGGAACAGACCTCTTCAACAGTTCCTCATAATACGCTTGTCTTGCTCGGAGAAACTCCTCAGTTTTCTCTTTGCACGAGTGACAAGACCAATCCCCAGATACCACCTCTACAACTGGTGGAATCAAGCATGCAGGATGAACAAGCTGGCTACAGACAGAACACTGAAGCAACTTCTTCCTTTCCTACACACAAGGGCGGGTATAATAAATGAAATAGGTTGAGCAGAAATAAGGATTACAAGAACCATATCAGCCATCAACAACGAAGAGAAAAGGGTCAGAAGTTATATACCTCTTCTGAATTGCAAACGCTGCAGATCTGAAACTCATCGTCCGACTCATTTTCAGATTCAGTATCAGCTGGCATATGACAGGAAAATAAATAAAATGACAACTTAAACACAACAAATGACTTCAGGCAGAGCAATTGCATTGTCAATGCTAAAAATGTGAATTGTTTGATGGGACACATCTTAAATTCTGTTCTGTGTTTATTGAAGTTGTCTGTCTTAAAATTTTCACTTCTTTTCCTTACTAAAACAAGTATAAGAAAGGTGTTTAGATTACTTTCAGATTGCCACTCGCTTTCTTCTTCACTTTCTTCATCCCATTTGGCAGCTTTCCTTACCCTCCCCGCAAATGAAACATCGGGTGCAGCAGAGTGTCTCTTTATTGGAAGCTCTATCACACTATCTTCTAAGCACAAAAAATTAATGAATAAAAATAAAAATAAGAAAATAAAAGAAAGTTAATACTAAGTCCTCTACAGACAAGGTAGAAAACAATTTAGCATTTTAAAATATATAGATACCAGGATTTGGTTCTGGTGGTTTATCTGGAAGGGGATAATTTTCCTCAACAAATTTCAACAATAATTCTCGAGGCCCAGAGATAAAATCATCAAGTTCTGAACCCTATATCAGTAAAATGAAATATTGCTCAAGTCATTCAAGAGTTTCATATGAAAGTGTGAGAACAGTAAAGTAACAAAGGATAGTAGAGTAGTACAGGTGAAAATTAAATAATCAAGAGTCGATGCGCAGAGAACATATGAAAGCAATCTAATCCATATATAACAAGCGAGATTAATACTAAAAGGGAAAAGAAATAGAACCCACATATTTTGTCACAGCTTCCTCTGTTCGTGCCTCTCCAGTACTCTGTAGGCCTATGACGACACACTTGCCATCAGCCAATGCTTCCTCAGAAAGTCTAACCACTGCAGGAACTTTAGCTGACATGCATACATGTCTAAAGAAGCGCTGAATAGCACAAAGAAGGTAAAAATTTAAAAATATATACGAAACAGTGAGAAAAAAAAAAAGGCTAAAAACATTCCAGGATGCTATTTTAAGAACTGAACCTGATGACTAGCCCAGTACAATCGCCACACTTGACTTGAATTAGGTTTTTCATCGGCAATAAAAGCACTAGCTGTTAGCAATTCCACTCTTAACCGAGCCCAAAATTCAGCAGCTTTTCCATACATATCCTAAGAACCAAGAACATTTATATTAGGTGGATAACCAATAATTAACTCACTGGGAATGAACAAATTTAATAATAAAAAAATCAATTAAACATGCTACTTAAATATTTAACACCAGATAATAATATTTGAAAACTTATCAGGTGCTTATGGTGGCAGGCACCCTTTCGATCTCACCACTGAATCCTAGCAGCTTTATAGTGCAAAGTATTTCTCAAAAAAGAACGAAACATCACAACTGATTATCTTCTAACATGTGTCCTTTATATATTATATCAATGAACAACACTAGGTCAGCAACACAAATATTGTTGGATGCTAATTGATTTAACTTTCATTTATTCCACTAACTTTCCCGGAAATCCTCATTTTTCATAGCCGTTCGTGAGTAACCATTACATTTATGTTACTTCCCTAAGAATTAGAAAGAAACAATAAATCACAAGCTTGCTAGAAAGCTCACTTTGCCAGTTGACAAGCATTAATCATCACTTATTTGATGGGGGATATTGAGAAGTTTATTCAAAGTAGGATGTTATTTACCTGGATTAAAATTGTACTAACTCGTTCCCATAATTTTCTATTATTTTTAATTGGCAATGTTCCAAAACTTTTGAAGCTTTTTTTTTATTTACACTCTAAGTCTTTTTTTATCTTTATACCCTTCTATATAAAATTTATAATATCATTCCAGACAAAAAGTAAAAGCAAAATGGTCAAAAAAACTACCAAAATTATACCACCTAAAAAACCACACCAAAACTATAACTAGCAAAAACAATGGGACAGAGGAAGGGTTATATTACTTCCTATTCCTATCTTTTGAACCACAAGCAAGCTGACTTGGCTACCCTTCAGTGGTATAAATAGTGATTAGTGATTATTATCACATACTTGATCTGGCATATGTAAATTATAACTTTTTCATTCAATTGGTCTGATTGTGATTAGAAGTAACTATAATGTCATAGACACAGATAAATAAATATGGACAGCATGCATGTGTATATATTAGATAAAATCATATATTAGTTAATGGTGCATCAACGTCGAAAAAGAGAAATTAAAAAATTAAAAAAGCGTAACTAAAATTAGTACCTACCGTCATTTTGGAGTCAAGTGGAACTTCAACAACTTCAAATTCTGCACCTTTGTAGCTTAATGTTCGACAAACATACATCCCCCTATAAGTGATTAGTGACTTAGTGTCATCTCAAATATAATGACATTTAATATTTTATTCTTAGAAATACTGAATGCCGAAACCTTGCTTTCATATCCATGGCAACAAGCTCCAAAGCTCCAACACCTCCTTTCTCCATTTCACCTGGAAAAAATCCATACAATATTGGCTAACAACTTGTAACCTTGTTGTAGCATGGAAAAATTGAAGCAGCCAATAGAGAATACAATGCAAATAAAATAAAAAAATTTAAAAAAAATCAAAAAAAAAAAAAAAACATCACCCCATGTCAATAAATATAATGGATTGGGCAAGTAACATATAATATCGAACCCTAAAGAAATAACTCACAAGAAGGCCGTGCAAACAAAAATGTTGTATAAACTTTAAAAATGGAAGAGTCCAATCAGATAAGGAAAATTAATAAATAAATAAATACTATTTGGAGAAATTCTCCAAGTATAATAAAGTGTGCCACATTGTAGAATTGTAATGATGATCCCAAGGTGAATCCTTCTAAAAATACTACAAATTACTAAACACTTCCACACCTTTAAAAATAATAGACACTAAAAATAGTTGATAATTTTTTCCAAGTGCAGTTTGCAGGAAAAAACCATAGCCCAATCAAGAAAGTAATTTAAACAAAAGGTCATAATAAGCAAACATATTTCAACTAAAGCTAACGATAGCAATGAAAAGTATTAATACAGTCTATCGTAAAACAAAATCAGAAAGACACCACACAGCTCAACAGAAGAATCAAAAATAAATTGCACCTAAAAAATCTCGGAAGTTGGAGAAAGATGTTCCAGGTCCCCAAAGCCCAAGGCGAACCATATAACCCATATTGCGTGGTTCAGAGGCACCAGTTGCTGAGCAGTACATTACACGAGCTTCTGGAAGTCTGGCCTACACCATAGGAATCCAAAAGCAAAAGAAAATATTCTTCAACCCAAGTAAAAGCTATATGGAGTAAGAATATTCTGCCATTCCGGTAGTTAATACTTGATGACCAATATTGTTGCTATAAAGGGCTTATACTTACTAAGAAATACAAATACATCAATTAAAAAGGATTTGGAGTATAGTTGTAAGCGGTGCCTGTCACAGCACAGCACAAGGTGCAACAAATGCCATAAGTATTTATGAATTATTATATGCAAATATGTACACAGTCCAACATAACAGACTTGCAGAAATGTGTAGTTTATTTAAAATGAGAAGGACAACACAGGGTCCGCTTCCTAGGGGGAGAAAGAAATTGCCTTACTCAATGAATAGGCTAATTAACAATAATAAGTAAAGCAAAAGAATACAAGAATAGAAATCAAATGACACCAAAATGATAGAGAGCACCACCTGAATATCAAGAACAGCTTCACCTGTCTTTGTTGGTTGCCCTCCAGCTTCAGGGACCAGATTTTTTGCTTTGTGACACTGAAATAAATAATCAAATTGAGGTTATATCTGTCTATTTTATCAATAACAGGTTAATTGTTTGAACCATGTCATAAGAACTCATTTAAGTCAAAACTCAAACTTATATATTTAATTTGGCAATGTAAACTACCTCATCAAACACAATAAGCCCATCAAATTGGCCACACCATTGCACAAGCTGCTGCAATCGAGAACGACCTCTCTCAGAAGATGCAATTAGGCTGCTATATGTCAAAAAAATGACTCCTTCCTTTATACCAACTGACTTTGAATCAAGCTTAGAGTAAGGAAGCTTGTTTAGAGCATGCACTACAAAGAAAAATCACAAGAGATCCTTAGATCCATCAGATATGTAAAAACAACATATTATAGTCATGAAACAAAGTGGTTTAGCATATATGCCACACAACTAAATAAATCAAATTTGACACTACAACAACAAGTTAATTAAGGTTGGCTGGTTGCACCACAGAGTACTAACCTTCTATACATGTAGCACCAACATCATCCAAATCCCTTCTAGCATCATATTTCAAGTCCGAACCAACAGAAATCCACCTGCATAATATCATTAGAAAAAATGAGAAAGAAACAAAGTACATATAACATATTCAGTCCATTAATGTCCAAGGAATTCAAACATCAAACAGACAAATTTGTTGTCAACATAAATGCATGAAGTGGAGCCCTTACACTGCTTTTCTTCTCCCATGTTGCCAGTTCTCCCATATTAACCCAGCTATTGTCCTTCCTTTACCAACACCAGCTCCATCTCCAAGAAAAAATCCAGCTCTGGCTCCATCAGCAAGGTGCTGAAGATGTCTCTATAACATGAAAACAATTTCACAATAAGGCATCTGGGGGTCATAAAAGCATTGCATTTCATTTTGTTAGCCAACCTGGCATGCATAGACCAATGTTTCAATCTGCAGGCATGATAATGCATTTGAACTTTCCAGCTCATCCTTAATCTTGAGGTCATAAGTAGGTTCAGGAGGTTGTACTGCAGATAAAGAAGATGTCTCCACAACCGGATCTGGATGGGGTGGACCTATTGACAGTTTCGGCGGTCTCTGCACAAGACAAGAAAAATCATCAAACCACATATTTCTAAAAGTACAATTCAAAAGATGTAGGAAATCATACATAATCAGTAAATGTTTCTCCAGCCAAGCCACCTTCATCTTCTTCTCGCTCCACTTCAATGGCCACCTAACACATATAACAAAAGATTGATAATTTGTATCCACCTTCAAAGAAGTATTGCGCAAAATTATAGGAAAAGACAAGAAATGTTCAAAAAGAATAATAATAAGATTCAAAAATAGCACACAGGTCCTTATCAATGTTTGTCTTTAGAATCTTATATTAGAGTTAATGGAGTAGCAGGCGCTTGATAATGAATTGAAGGGCTCTCTTGGCAAGTGTATGGAAGAGGGGATGCGGTACAAAGAACCTATATTTTTTATTTCTTTATGGTTAGCGATTGCCATGTAAATGCCAAAAAAGGAAATGCAGATCGAGTGAGAAATAGATCATTCAATTATTACAACATGATGAGGAGGATTAATTAATCGAACTCAGGAATCCATATCTCATTTTAAAGTTATGGATCATCTAGGCTACAACGACACGTGGAACCTCCGAAAGTGAAAAACAAATACTTTCTACCCACTAAAAGAACATTAAATGCACTTGTTCACATCAAAAAGTGTTCCGTGAATTTGATGAATACCCCAGAAGTTGTTGTCTGCGTGTGAAAATATACAACACTGACTGTTTGTGGTATCCTGCGAAAAGTTTAACATTTTCCACGGATGAATTCCAATAGTTTCTTCTACATACTATATTCTCTACTTTTAATCTTCGAAATCCTGATTTTCCATGAATAATAACATGAAGAAAGGAATTAGTTGACATCAGAAGCATCCTAGCCACAAGTAAGGACTCCACTCACTCTGGATAACGCTATTGCAGACATATAAAAGACCTACAATCAATCTAAGCTCGCACATAACATATGATCGCACATAACATATGAACGGAGAGGAAGATCAGAATTTGAGATTACTGGAAACGTGAATTCTCAACTTAGATGGTTTCTAACTGCCAAAACCTTCATGTGAAATTAACAAAGCAGAAAAACAAAAAAAAAAAAAAACACAAGTGAAACAGAGGCAGAAATGTAACAAAATACAACCTCGTTGACTTCTTCGGGAGGCGGTGGAGGGGCCATGGGCGGCATAAACTGGCCAGGTAGGGAGAGATCAACAATGAAGTTGCACTGCGGGCACTTAAACCGCAGCAATCCATGGGGAACATTGAGTACGGCCTTGCAGTTAAGGCAAGGCAGCTGGATCTTAGTAGGATCAATGCCGTGGGCTGGTCCAGTCCTCTGCGGCGGTGGCTGCGCCGGATGAGTCGAAACAGAGCGCATCAGCTCGGGGGGTAGCATCTGCGGCAGTTGGCACGCAGGGCAGACGAACTCGGTCATTCCAGGCAGCACGGTGAGCACCATCTTGCAGCCCGCGCACCGAACCCGGCATCCTCCGGAGTCCGAGACGCCGAGTTGAGCCCGTTGGGGCATCGGCGGTGGCGGTGGAGGCGGCGCAATCGGTGGAGGCGGCAACGATGGCTGCCCCATAGGCAGAAGAAGTGGAAGTGCGGGAATGGAATCGAGAATTGAGGAGTGAAATCGGATTGGAAACAGTGAAAATCGGAATGGATTGAAAAGGGGTAGAAGAAAGGGGGACGGGAGGAGGAGGGTTTGGTTTTGTTTGGTCGGGTCTGGTTCGATGCGGATGATTTTTAGGAAGAAGAGCTGCTGAGCGGCAAAGGCAATATATATATACACATAATAATAAATGGTAATTGGGGGGGTTGGACTCTACGGACAAATCGGGCGTGTGCACGGACACGGGAAGCTACCTCAGTACCTCGTCGTCGTGACAAGAAATATACATACATATATTTATTTAGATATTTGTATTTTTATAAAAACTTGATTTTAATTTGAATAGTGGCTTAAATATGACATTTTTATAGTATAAAAAATTATTATATTTTTACAAAAATACTTATTTAAAAAAGATAATATTTGAATTTGTAATATATATTTTTAATTTGAAATTGAAATTATACATATTTTAACTGGAATTGATTTTAAATAGTTCTCAAATATTAATTATTATATATAGTATAAATTATGAAAAAAAAATTGCAAAAATTATATTTATAAAAAATTAAGTATATATATAAATAATTTTAATGTTGAGTACAATGACAAGCAATGAAAATATTACTTTAAAGGTGAACGAAAAAAGTATTATATATTACTCTGATAAAGTGTAATTTTATTTCTAATTTTATTTTTATGTATTTGGATTTTGTATTTGTATAATAATTTAATATATGTTTTTATGAAAGAAAAGAAAAAACACAAAAATATAAAGAATATACTTGCTTTCAATTATCATAATTTTTAATAGATATTTTTCCACGAATGGTGTGTTTGTTTGGGGGTTTGGATTTTGAGCTGGTAAAAATTTTAAATACACACCCTAAAAGTAGTCTTGGTTTTTCTTTCAAGATATATTCTCATGCCAAATTCAAGTTTCTTCTTGCTATATTTCAAGATCCAAATTGCAGCATGTTCTTCAGTAAATCTGTAAATTGAGCTCTAAAAGGCGAGTGACAATCGAGCACAAAGAACACTTCCTAAGTCCCCCAAAATATCGAACACTAACCAATCAGAATAACCATGAAAATACAGATATGAACTATTTTTGCAGCTTATTGAGATGTATATGTCTACGGACTAACATTCGATTGTAAAAATCATCGCGATGCTTTGATTAAATACAGTGTTTCTCTAGCCATTCGAGTTATGCTTATTACAACTTCAAGAAAAATATGGAAATGTAAAGTCCCACAAAATGTTGTATGCAAAGAAAAGACTTCATGTATTGCGCCAAAAACCATATTCACAGTGCCATAACATTTCTCGCTAAAAGATCATAAGGCGAAGTTTCATTTTCTTGGCCGAGAACTACTTTAATACTTCACTGAAACTAAGGATATGAAGATATCACATGGCAAAATTAAATAGAAACTATAACCAGGCAAAGTGTGAGAAGCCATAACCAATGGAAGAACTCCAGCTTAATAACTTGGTAAAAGTCGTCGTAGAATGCATACCAACAGCAAACTCATAGTTTTTGTTTGTTTTGGACTTCAGTGGCATTTGGGTTTGGGACTTGTTGAATTCTCTCATACGGTTTTCGAATAAGAGTCTCTCCCTTTAGTGCCGCAACATATCTGTCATTTGTATCTTCTTTATTCTTCAGTTCCTCCAGAAACTCTCCCAGCCTTTCTTTATTAACCTTTCCCATCATCTGATCATACAACCTCATTATTAACGATTCGATTCTCATCCCAAAAAAGTAATAACAAATAGTAAGCATAAGATGCAAAAAGTTGTTTCGAGAAACATTAAGGTGTCTCAACTTATGTAGTCTAGTGAAAAACCTTAGTTTTATCGATGCGAAACAAAATGCTTAAGTAATCAATGGCAAGGAGGATGAGATTAGATAAGAATTTTTCCAAGTTAATTATGGGCTCTTTGAGGAACAAATTCATTATGTAATTAAAACTCATCAAAAAACTAGCAAATTCATATACATCAATCACATTCACCAAATGAAGTGATTCAATTCTACTCCACCTATAAAGGACATGATTTAGATGCACCCTTTAGTACATTTCCCTTTTAAAAAACACAGAATTTCTTATACGATACTGCAACTGCGCATAATAGTTCATGGAATCATTGGCAACGGGAAAAACTTGGGAAAGAAAGACAACTTCAGCATTCATTTCAAATTTCTTAACAATAAAAACAAGAATAAACGAATGACCGAATTGTAGTGGTGCTGTTGCTGAAACTCTCTTGAGCTATTTTTCAGTGGCCAATTCGATACCTTCCAATCCTCTGATATAATTGCTTCAACATAATAATAGGCCTACTAAAATCAGAAGAAACGATGTAGAACGTTACCATGGTTTCGGATCGCGCCGACTGGCGCAGCTTCGCTTCGAGTTCAGGATTGGTGGAATTGGTAACCTGCATGACGAAATAGCCAAATACTGCAGGGACGACGCCACATACAGTAGCGAATGTTAAGAAAAATGGCTTGGAATCCCTGGTCTTGGCGACCAGCCATCTCCAGCCCTGGCTCAACGACATTCCTGATCCTCTTCCTTCCTTCAACCCTAGTGCCCTTTCCGCCATTTTTTCTATGGCACCTGTTCTAAAGAATTACTCAATATTGGGCCTAATAACTTTAGGCCCATCAACTAAATACCTAAACCGGCCCAATAAATTTCTGAAGCCCAAATTACAAATTTTTATGATAAAGACATGTATATTCCGCAGTTGTGGTTTGTAAGGCGATTGTGCTGGGCCATGGTTTATCCAATATACACTTAAAAATAATAATTGTAGTCCATAACTGATGGCCTAGTGGTATAGGCTTTTGACCGTGAGATTATGGGTTCAAACTCCCGACACCTACGGTCACCTGTCACGCACGCATGGGATATTATTTTTTTAAAAAAAACAAAAGAAAATTAAAAAAAGACACACTGTAAAATAGAGATTAAGTAAACTATTCAACATCTTATAAAAAGCATTTTCCAATTTTCCCCATCAAGAAATGGTCACAGAGACCACTTTTAATTAGAAGGGCATGGAAACAGTAATTTATTTAAATTAATAAAAATGATATATAAATAGTCACAAATATTTTGGCCTTTATTTTAAGTTTGCTATAAAAATTAGTTATGTATCGAAAAATATATATCTATCTTTAAAAGATGAAATAAAGTGTCTTTTAGGAGAATTATATTTAAGGCCTTATATAAATTGAATGATAAATATATACTATTATATATAATATTTTTTACAGATATAAGATTAATTGAATAATTTTATATTTTTTTTAAAAAAAAATGAAAATAAACAAACCCTTTAAATAAGCAGAACAACAAATATAAATGAAAATACTCCCTAATTATTAGATTAGTTAAGTTAGTTATATATTAACTTTTTTTTTGAATTATTCATAAATAATTTTAAAAAATATTAGTATATTACATCCAATATTTATTATTCAAAATATTACATAATATATATATTATGTTAAATCATTACATTGAACAAATATGAATTCATTCATATAAATCCAGAAAAATATATATATATATATATATACATTCTTTTAGAATTTGGTCTCAATTTTGTTAATATGTAATTATATTTATTTCATAAAATATACAAGCAAATACAAACTAATTAAATGCAAAGAATACACCCATAGATTCTATTTACTGAAAATTTGGATTTCAATTTATTTATTTCATAAAAAATTAAATCTAAAATACTGTTCAAACAAAAAATTAAAATTAAAAAAATACAAGATCAAATCCCAAATAAAATAAACCAAAACACAAACATAAAGTTGGGTGTTATGCATTTAGAGATATTTGAAAAGTTTGTTATTAATCAGTGAGAATCATAATAATATTATTAAAATATATATTTTTATTATATTTTTAAGAATTCTATAAAATAATATTATATTTTTATGAAAAACATATTTTGTGAAAGTGGATAAAGTAAAAGTAAATGCAAATCCATCATAACAAATACTTTAACACACCAAAAGTAAATTAAATGGAAGGGAAATATGAATGTTAAAATCTCAATGTAACAAAGGGAAAAAAGATACACAAATTTATTGAAAATATAAAGGAAAATTAGAGAAAAGTACACCAAAAATATGTAGTGGGGAATAAAAGAATTATATAAGAATAAAACTATTTTAAGTAGAACAAAATTGATATGATTATTTGTTTTTTCCATGAACATGATCATGTGTTTACTTTTGTTATTGAATTTATTTTGTATTATATCAATATATATACACTACAAAAAAATACTATATTTGTAACGGAATTCCGTTCCTAAAGTTCACGTAGCTAACGTAATTTCATCTCTAATTCCGTCTCTAATATCATTAGTAACGGAAAAAGTGGATTTAACAACGACAAAATTTTGTTATAAAATTGATATTTATTTGGATATATATATATATATTCAAACCCCATATTTACCTCATATTTTGCATTTTTAACTTAAGGTTGATTTAAATGTAATTTTGACTATTTTAAGGTTTATTTTACGGTGGTTTTAAATTGATTTTAAATGAAAAATATTGATTTAAATTTTTGTTTAAATGACATTTTTGTGTATGTCTTATGAGGTAACATATTGTATTTTTATTAAAATTGTAATATTAATTTCAATTCAAAATTACAAAAGAATAAATCCTTAAATTATAAGGTTATATATATGTGTGTGTGTGTTCTATTTGATTATTTTTATTCTTATTTATTTGTTTCAAAATTTTGATGAGGGTTCAACAAATTATTGTGCACACAATTCTTAGCAAATATTAATTAAAAAAAAAGACAATATATAAATTTATATAATATAAATAATATATTTTATTTTCTTAAAAAATAGCAATTAAATATAAAATATTATTTTTTATATTATCACTACAATTACTTATATTTCACATTAAAAAAAAAAAAAATCAAACTAAAAACCAATACAACCTTAATTCTCCTTTTATTTTCTTAAACATACATTACAAGACGGGTTGAGGAGTTACTCGGAATGCTTCCAAGATATCAGTATCTTTGGTTTCATATTCAGGAGTATAAAATCATTTTTGCAACAAAATTTTTTTATCTCTAAATTATTTTTTTTCGTTACTAATGATATTAGAGACGGAATTAGGAATGAAATTACGTTAGCTACGTGAACTTTAGGGACGGAATTCTGTTACAAATATATTATTATTATTATTTTTTTTTGTAGTGATATATACCAACAAAGCTTTTGCATGTAATTAATATATAAATATATACACAACATTATAGTTTTATTCATTGAAAGCAGATCAGTGTTTATTTTACATTTTAAAACATTTCTGTAAAATTTAAACATAACTGATTTTTTATTCAATATTTGTTTATATTTTACTGTTTCACTTATTTCAAAAAATTGAACTAAACAAACCAAAATATGTTTTGAATATAATTATCTCAAATGTAATATTATATTTATTTATTTACTTTAAATGCATATTAATTATAAAAAGAAAATGGAAAAAAAAAAAGAAAAAAAAGAAACAATAATAGAATGACACCCCAAAAGAGGAAAGGAAATGGTCAAAGGTAATGATGATAGAGATTTTTGTTTCTTTTATAGCCTTCCTTCCTTATCAAAATCATATTTTAAGGAAAGGAAACTGAAAGAGAAAAAGAGAAAAAGCACATATGCACATTAAAATAATAATAAAAAATAAATAAATATATAAAAAAAACTTTTTTTCTCTCAAATATAGTATTAATTGGATTGGGAACAAGATTTAAGGAATATTGATATTATATTGATAGTTGGTAAAAAGTATGAGTAAAAGACCTTTTTACCCTTGTGAATGTATTAGTGTAAAAAAAACGTAGGGATAGTTCTATGATGATAATGATTATTTATGAAAATAAGACTATTGTTTTGGGACGGACAAAAATGGTAAACAAGACTATAGTTATAGAACGGAAGGTCATATACCGTGTCTGCTACACTGCTACACTGTATTTTAGGAGTGGTGTAATTAGCAGATAATTAAAAATACATTAGTGAAAATAATTATCCTATAATATAAATAATTATAAATTAAGATTAAGATAACTAATTAGTTTAATTAAAATTTAAAAAATAAATTTAAAAATTTAAGATGAAATTAAAGTGTATAATCATTTTTTTTTAAAAAAAATAACATGAAATATGAGACGGCCAGAAGCAACAACGTGGTCATGACATATTGGACAGAGGGAGTAACAAAAAAGCAAGCAAGGTGATGACAATGTGCCATATAGACGACAAACACTATTATTATAAGCATTTTTCATATATATTATTAATATTATAATCAAGATATGTTTGTGACTATATTGCTTAAAATTGAATTTAAATTCAATTCAATCTAAAATTAAATATAAAATCTAGTTAATTAAATTCAACCATACTTAGAATATAATATTAGAAAAAGCCCATGAAAGTTTGGTTGTTATTTTTTGCTATATTTTTTTTAATTGATTGCTATGGTAAGTAATAACAAAAGTATTCGAAAGCTAAAACAAATGTAAAAAATAATTTATATATTTTTAAATTTTAATTATTATTATTTTTTGTGTGCGTGCGTAAATAGCAATAAAATTTATTTAATTTTTCTATTATAAAATCTTCAATGTTTTTATTTTTTTAAGCAAAAATTTAAAATTTTTCAAATCCAAGTATATTTTCCTTACCTTTTATTTTTTATTGTTTTTACAAATATTTTTCTTTTTTATCCCTTTGCATCAATGAAAATTGAAAAAAGAAAAATAACATCAAATTGATTGAAACAAACTGGCATTTTATGTTTGGAGTTCGAAAGTTGGTTGTCACTACTTGTAAGTATTCTTTTGTTGTTTAACCTTAAAATAATTTGATCGTTTAATGTATTTGGAATTGTCCATTTAATTTCTGTATTAATTGAGTTAAATAAATATATGACATATGTACATATATATACACAATAGACATATATATATGTACATATCACATTACTTATACACATTAATATAATATTATACTCCCTCCGTTCATTTATAAGGGTTACATTTGCTTTTGGCGCGGTATTTAAGAAATAATGATATTTTAATTATAGTGAGTAGTTAAAAGTTGTATAATGACATTTTTGCCCTTACTTTTTTGTGTAAAAGTAATGATGTGATCTAAAGTAAGGGTATTTGTGAAAAAAGTAAAGTATTTAATGAAATGTAAACTTTGTAATTGGACGTCCCAAAATAAAAACATGTAAACTCTGTAAGCGGACGGAAGAGTATATGTTATGCTATATATATACATACATTACTGCATCGCTGATTTGTGCCGACGTAATCAAATCAACGTTATATTAATTTGATAAACATATACTCGTTAATGTAGAAGTTTTTAATTTTTTTTTTCTTTTTTTTTATTACAGTACCTTATTTCATAATTGTACAGTAAATTTATAATAAACATAGACAACGTATGGTTCAAAAAAGACGATCCGAATACGTATACGTATACGTTACGTGGTATGTCCACATCGTACAAAATCGTATGTACATTTGTGGGACAAGCAGCTGTACAGTACAGTGGATTTTGTGGACACTAAATATGGAAGAACGTGCAATCATTGCACGTGATCTCGGGAGCGGTGGATCCATGGAGGCTCCTGGACCCCCAGAACCAGACCGATCCACACCGTCCATCACTAACTGGACGGTGATGATCGCTCCTGGCCTTTTACAGGGACCCGCTCTTTTTCTTTTTTTTTTTTGTTTCTGTTTGGTGAATTTCCGAGCCGACAAAAGCATTCCAAAGCCTTCTTGTTGTTGTCAGAGATGATGATCTCTGTCTATTTGCTTTTTATTTTTTTAATTTTTTATTTTTTAAATACAATCAGCCAATCATATTTGCCAAGAATCTCTCCTAAAGTAAAGCACTTTCCTTAAACATTAAAAAACAAAGAAATTGAAGATCACATCGTCTGATCATCACTTTAACTCGATATGTACATTAATTATTATATATATTAAAACAAAAACATTTCCCTGTCAAAACTTCTTGTTCAATGGTACTCGGAAGCTCCCGGACTCGCGAAACCAGATGTTGGGTAGACCCTTCTGGTTGTGGAGGTCCAGGAGCTCCCAATAGAAGAAATTAACAAGGGTTCGTCTTCTTCCTCACAGCTGAATTCATCAATTCGCTGTATGACTATTTTAATCTGCCCAGAATTTATTAAAGTGTGAACCAAATAAAGAAATACAAATACATATATATATGTATATATAATATATATATAAATATATATTAATGTGGGCAATGCAGAAGAGGAAAAAAGAGCAGCAAGATTAGGTCCACTTTAATGGCTTTTCATATATAAATACATATATACACATATGTATATATATGTATCTACTGTTCTGCAACATTAGTATATATATATATATAGAACACAGTTACCAAACCTGTTTCGAGTGTCTGATTTCTTATTCTCTGATCTTTCCCTCCTTCTTCTTCCCCAAAATCTGCATTCAGAAAATTTTTAGGGTTTTCGAATTACCAGAGGATCGATCGATCGATCAGCCATTGCAGCAAACAGTAGATTATGGCGCCGGCGACTCTTCCGCCGGGATTCAGATTCCATCCGACGGACGAGGAGCTCGTAGCGTACTACCTTCACCGGAAAATCAACGGCGGAACCATCGAGCTTGAAGTCATCCCCGACGTCGACCTCTACAAATGCGAGCCCTGGGATTTGCCTGGTAAGAAATCAAATTAGGGTTACGATCAGTTTCTGTCTGCAGAATTCAATCAATTAATTCAACTAATTCTGTAAAATCCAAAAATGGCAGATAAATCGTTGTTGCCGAGCAAGGACATGGAGTGGTATTTCTACAGTCCCCGCGACCGGAAATACCCGAACGGTTCGAGGACGAACCGGGCGACCCGGTCGGGTTACTGGAAGGCGACGGGGAAGGACCGGGCGGTGCAGTCGCAGAAGCAGGCCATGGGGATGAAGAAGACGTTGGTGTATTACAGAGGCAGAGCGCCGCACGGAATCCGTACCGATTGGGTCATGCACGAGTATCGTCTCGTCGATTCCGCCATTGCTGGATCAAGTCTCAAGGTAATTTTGCAGGGTAGCTTCTTCAATCTGTAGAAATTCGTTTCAAAATTAGGGTTAGGGTTTTGACTTAATTGGGGGAGAACTGTAGAATCCCAAATCAAATTAGGTTAGGGTTTCGACAGAATTGGGGGAAAACTGTAGAATCCCTGATTTGAATCATGAGAATTACTTACCGAAAATTTCTGACTGATCGATGGAACCAAATCATCTGGAACAAACAAATGCAGGATTCTTACGCGCTCTGCAGAGTATTCAAGAAGAACATAATCATCACTAACAAGAAGACTAAACAATCATCAATGAAGGTTTTAGCTGATCGTGATCACCTGTGGGACGGAGGCGGCAACAGCAACAGCGCCACGCCGGAAACTTCCCGAGAACAGAGGTACGATGCCGAGGATGAAAACGCCGCCAAGAATCCATCCGAGGCATCTTCATCAGATCTCACACAGGGGACACCAACAGCCATGGCTTCAAAGGATGCCGACTCTCCGGCACAGATTGCCTCAGAGGAAGTCAACAGTTCAATCGATAATTTCTATCCCTGCTCCGGCATCGACCTCTACCATTTCCCTCAGGTAACAAAACAACTTTCTAGCTCATCAGAAATGATCCCTTTGAAGTTTCTTTCTCTAAAGCTGCCATGGAAAGAATATCTCATTTCTTATTTCAACAAAAGCCCTTCAAAACTCAAACCAGAAAAGCTCTGATCAGATGGATAATCACAGCATCATTGGATCTTGATCACATTGTTTCACTTGATGCAGGATTATGCAGGCCTATCATACGAAGCTTGGTACCCACCGTTGGACATGGATGACTTCCCACAAATTGATCTAACAGAGGCAAAATCCGGCACCGAATTCATGGCCTGTGACAGATTCAGGGAGTGCGCGAACGGCATGGCGACACTGGAAGAGATTTATTCACTATGTTCTTCCCACAACAGCTTCTCCAACCACCAAGCTTGTGCAGGATCCAACTGACTAATCATAGACTGAATCATTATACATACATACATATATATCATATATATAATAGGGACACAAACACAATTGGTACACATATAACATGATGCTTAATCTTTACCTGAATATGTTCATATACATGTAACAAACAGCTTGATTTTTACTACAGAAATCAACATTACCCTACAATTTTCTAACACACACATATATGCATATAATTTTTCAAAGATATTCTTCATAGATAAATCTGTGCAGTAACTCCATCTTTGGGTGCTCTGTTTTTCATCAAATAAGGATCGGTTTGATCCGTGAAGCAGTCTAATATCAAATATCATACCCAGAATATTCATAAAACTGTCAAAAAACGATAACTGGATTTGAATCTCATCAGTATCATGAAAAAAGAAAAAAGCAATTCCACCATGAGCAGATAAAAAGGAGAGAGTAATCGGCAGAGACACGAACCCTAGAGAAAAATCACATGAATCTAAAGACGTCTTTCAGCCAATTCAAGAGCACATCCGGACAACGGCTCGCTAACTCCGACTAAAGATCTCAATCTGCACAGTTAATTGAGAAGAAAGCGAACGCCGGAAGGACAGTAACAAACCTAACGGCCCAGATAACCCTACCACTCCAATACGACGAATTTTCCCGCCGGAACGCCCCCAGCCAGCGTTGCCTCTAGTTACGTGTGTTGGATTAAAAATCCAATTGTGGGTTAAATGTAACTATTTGGGCTATCAGTCAGATTAAGCCTATATTAAGTGATCTATTAATTTATTGGGCTTAAATGTATTTAGTAAGTGCGGGCCTCCAATGTACAGAAACCCGGTAACTTATTAATTGGGTGATGAGGCCAATTAATAATAAGGGATATAAATAGGGTTGTGATCCCAGGTCTAGACGCAACAACCATTACGTTCCATATCTCATCGTGGGAGTAACGGCAGAAACCCTAGCGGTTTTTTCTCAGGAGGGGTTGCGCCATAGACTTGAAGAACACAAAACCCTCAATTATTAGCATATTCGTATTCGACTATACTAATGGAATAAGGTTAGATTTATTTTGCTTTATCTTTATCTCAATTATGACAACACGGTAGATCCTGGGCTTAGGGTTAAATTCCTGATAAGTTCCAACAATTGGTATCAAAGCCTTTTACGTGTTAAATTATTGAGATATTTGGTCAGATCAATTATGTTTGACTCGATGCGCACACGACACAAATCTTTATTTCGTTCTTCTAGAATTAATTGAAATCAAGATTGGGTGAATTTAAGGTGAAATTTAAATCCAATTGGTGTCGGATTCCATCTCGATGCTTGTTGTATCTTTGATCTAACAATTAAATCAAGTAGTTGTTTGATTGAAACCAATAAATTGATGTCAATTCATCTTTGCATACGTGTGATTATTTATTTATCATTCTTCTTTCTATATGACTCAATCTCTGTCTTTTATATTTGAACCAATTTTGGAATAAGACATGAATCTGTACATATTTATTTAATTATTTGTACGTCTGTATTGTCATTGATATATTAGATACATAAATCTATTATTTAATGTTTAATCGGATTAAACTTGCATGTGCCTCGATCTGTGTGCCTACATACATATTCATGTATATGTGAATATATGTGCAATCATGAAGTAAACATATGCAAATCTTTGGATCATGTCAATATGTGCGTTTATTTGTTTATTTATGATTATTAATTTGGGTATTATAATCAATGAAAACACAATTTGCACTTTGGTCATATTTATAAGAGATAAATTTATGCATGTATGAATGACATGAGTTTGTTTGCCTATATAATCATTATTTTAATAATTTATTGAATCGGTATGCCATTTTGCAATGCTGGAATATTTAAAGAAAATTGGCATATGCAGTTAGAATGTGATATTTTGTTCAATCAATTAAAGTTTAATACATAGTTATTTGATTAACACTCAAGATTACTTTTCTATTTTATTGGTTCAATTAATTAATGGATGCAATCAGTATAAGTATATGTGCAATTTAAATAAAATAGCATTTGGATGTTTGCTTATTTTTATTCATTTATTCTGAAATCAATGAATATGTCTTAATATTTGTACCGATTTTGACATTATAATTAGATTAATTAATTTATTTAATTGATCGTTTGAGTCAAAATTGACGTTCAATGTATATATATGCATCCGGTTTGATAATTGCATAATTTATTAATTAATGTGTGTATGTTACTATATCTGCGGTTAAATTGGATATGTGCATAATTAATTTATTATTCATTAGTGCTAATTTTATAAAATCAAATATTCATTACGATTCGTTTGATAGTCCAATTAAATTTGGGATATAGCATGCATTTTAGACACTATGCATTTATTCAAATTCGACTATAATGATTTGGTGTATTAATTTATAGTCTCTTTGGGTGGCATATTTTTGCCTGTGTAATTCCGCTGCATTTGGCACTTTCTTGGACTGCTTGATTATTTAATGAGTCCAGAAATTAATTATTGTTGTTATAGTTATAATATGTATTGAACATACATATTTGATTTATTTAAAGTGAATTTAATTAGCAATAAGTAATATAATATATTTTTTGAATTGGTTGAAATAGTCATATTGCCAAAGCAGCCTCTGCTATGTAAATCAGTTTATTTTATGTATTAGAAAGTTGTGTTTGTGACTTACAAGGCTCCTGATTGACCTAAAGACAATTCAGCCATTAAGTAGTTACATGCATATTTAGTGACATTGAATGTGGTGATGATAATTTGTTATTTGTGTGTAAATAATAGATCTGTCCAAAGATAGAGTGTTGTTTGACACACTACTTTATTGTCAACATTCGATTGTCAAAACAAGTTTGTCACTAGTGAGTCAGCAATTTGTCCAACGACATTTGCTGATGTTGCTTGATAACTTGAAATATAATTGCTACTTTATTTTATAAATTCACATATGAAACATTCAGTAGCTTATAGACATGTGCATTCAGTTGTTAATAAGCATTCTTTATTTTCTATGGAATCAGACCCGTGTATGTTGAACATGATTCTGATTATAATTTAGTTTAAGAAAATTATAAATTCATTAATAATGCATGCTGCGTTTTGACGGTGAAGATCAAGTATTTGACGTTGCCAAAGTAACCTCTCTAATATAAGATTTTTTCTTGATAACGTAAGTGTTTATGTGTATTTTAATTCATGTGATTATTCTTCGGCCCAAAGGCAGTCGGCAATTGACAGAATGAAATATACATCTGCGATAGTATGTATGGGACGATTATATGGATTTAACTTATGTGAATGGTAAATCAATCCAAAGATTGGTTGCTGTTTGACATTACTTATTGTCCGTATATGATTATTGCAACAAGATGACTGCTAGCAATCAATGTTGTTGATCCAAAGATTGATCATTGATGTTGCACTTAGTGTCTTGGGATGAGAATGCATTATTATTGAGCTTCATTATGATTCATTTGGTTGCATGAATCATGACTTGGTATTAATAATAGACCATCTCACTCATACGGCGAAAAACACTGCTCATGAGCGTAGTTATTTGAGAAGTGGGACAAGTCCAACGCCTAAGTCTAATTATCATTAAGAAAAGCACTCCATAATTTTTAGGAGTACAATATATGATGATATGGATTCCTTGTCGAAATTAAGAAACGCTTTACCAAAAGCGATAAGGCAGAAATGCGTACTCCTCTCATTACCATAAAGTATAACGACAAACATAACATAAGGGAGTACATCATGAGCATGTCTACTATTGCTACTAAATTGAGGGCACTTAAGTTAGACATTTCGGAGGACATGTTTGTCCTATTAGTCTTGCTCTTGAAATTAATTTAATTTCAGTTCATAGACACACCTGGGGGTGGATTTTGATGTAACAACACACATCAGTGTGTCTATGTAAGATTATTTTATTGTCGAAATCAATTGATGTTGAAAGATACATCTATATGGGTGACGACAAGAAAGTTCAAGTTGAAGTCATTGATAATTTTAGATCATTATTGAGTACTCGTTACTATTTCAATTTGGATGAGATATTTTTTATGGTACCATCTTCAGTCAAAATTTAATTTCGATCTCTATTTTGAACAAATTCAGTTATTATTGTTCATTCGAATATAAAGTTTTGTCTCTTCCAGAATTCAAAATCAATTGCAACTAGTGCATCATTTGATAATAATAATCACCATTTAATTAATAGTCTGACTTCATATCATGAATTAGTTATTGAACATATTCATACAACTTCCACGATTACGGATCCGCTTAATGAATAAAGGGTTTCCACATAAGTTCTATAGTGAGCATATTGCTCATATGAAAGTGGAGCCATATAAGATACTTCGGTTTAGTGGGAGCTAATTAGTAGTGTCCAAATACTATCAAAGTTACTTTGGTTTACACTGCACAGTTCAGTATTCAATGTTTAATATTCAGTGTGCAGTATTCAGTTGTTTTGAATTAAAGTTAAGATGGATCAGTTGGAAATAGGCATCTTAAGATCACATTATATGAAATTTCCATGCTGTGCATCCGTACTTGATCGAATCTTAGGTTATATTAGTGTTGTGACCATTGATCGGTCCCATTGCGATAAATGCAGTGACGGCCGCTTTGATCCACATTGATGTGACTTATAGATAAGATTGGTAATATACATTAAGGATCTGATAGCAAAACATTTGTGAGCTCATAAGGTTATTCAGTGTACATTTACATTTACCCAAGTGGGAGATTGTTGGATTAAAAATCCAATTGTGGGTTAAATGTAACTATTTGGGCTATCAGTCAGATTAAGCCTATATTAAGTGATCTATTAATTTATTGGGCTTAAATGTATTTAGTAAGTGCGGGCCTCCAATGTACAGAAACCCGGTAACTTATTAATTGGGTGATGAGGCCAATTAATAATAAGGGATATAAATAGGGTTGTGATCCCAGGTCTAGACGCAACAACCATTACGTTCCATATCTCATCGTGGGAGTAACGGCAGAAACCCTAGCGGTTTTTTCTCAGGAGGGGTTGCGCCATAGACTTGAAGAACACAAAACCCTCAATTATTAGCATATTCGTATTCGACTATACTAATGGAATAAGGTTAGATTTATTTTGCTTTATCTTTATCTCAATTATGACAACACGGTAGATCCTGGGCTTAGGGTTAAATTCCTGATAAGTTCCAACAATGTGATGATGAAGAATTATCATCCGTGGAATATCAATTTGGCAAGGAATTCAATCGATTTCATAGGAAGCAGCATCGGAGATGGATCACTCTGTGGTCATCGGAGGGAGAGGCATTGATCGTTTGAACTTTTACTTCCCGGTCAGGAAGTGAGCTGTTTTTTTGTTGGACTAAATTACCCTTTTCCTATATGTGGGCCTATTATGTAAATATATTGGGCCTTCAAAGAAAAAATGTGCTCTATATTGGGCCGGACCATGATTCGGCCCATCCGCACTTAAGTTGATTCTTATTTAAATTATAAAGAATATATATTTCTGTCATAACGTATCTTCAATTCATTTTACTATTTTCAAGTTTTCAATTTTATTTAGGACTCAATATGATCTACTAATTATATTGCCATTAACTTAATAATTTATTTTTTGAATTATATTATATATTATTTGAAAATTAAAATGTCATTATACTTCCTCTATCATCCTATGCTATATTGCTATAATAGTATCCATTTCACTATTTTGGATTATCCACAATTAATATATTTATTTCTTTGAAAATTTTCCTTATATATTAAAACCATGGCTTGGTTAGATATGAAGTATTTGAAATGATATAAATCCATAGCATTGTCAAAAACTAAGAGCCGTGTTCACTTTGTATTTTTGGATAAATTTGTTTTTTATAAAATAAAATATATATAATATTTCCGAAGAAATGTGAGACTCAAAAACAAATTGGATGAAGAAATTCTAAACAAAGTATTTATTATTACTATTATTTTAGTAATTGTACTATCTACCTAACATTACAAATACCCTTCCAATTTACAATATATTACACAAATGTCATTACCTTTATATTATACAATACTAACAAGGGCAATTTAGACTTTTTATTTTTACTTTTACTATATTCCAATATAATACTAATATTTCTAAAACTCCGTCCAAAAAGTAAATAGATATATAGATACGGAAACAGAGGGATTATATATATATATATATTTAAAATCCCAGAAACATAACTACAGAGAAAGAAGCATGGAGAGAGAGAGAGAGAAAGTGATGTCATGTGGCGCAGAAAGAAAAGAAAAGGAAAAAGAAGAAAAGGGTGATATGATGACGACGACGAGAAGACGATCAAAGAAGAAGAAGAAGCAGTAGCAGAATCCAATGTAGTACAAAAACTATGAAACCTTTTTAGATACACCTATACATAAATATATATATATATATACACATGACACTACTGCATGCATGCATGCATGGAAGTGCGTGCCTGACTAACATATTTTTTTTTCTTTATTATTCATTCCGTCGTATAAATATAATCTTAATTGAGTTGGACACGAGAATTACGGAATATTGATATTATATTAGTGGTCGGTAAAAAATGTGGATAAAAAGATTTTTTTGTCCTTAAGTGTATTAGTGTAAAAAGTAGTGACAATTGTGTAATAAAAATTAAAAAATATGGATAGTTTTATGGTGATATGATTATTTATGGAAATAAGACTATTGTTTTGAGACGGCCAAAATGGTAGACATGACTATTGTATTGAGACAAAAAGAGTATTATTATATGAGAATTACATCAGTTGCTTTGGAACCGTCTCAAATTTAAATTTATAATCTCATAATCACGAATTCACTCCACACAATAGAACATTTCTATACTAAATATGATATGAACACATTTTTAATAGATAAAATAGAATAGTAAAAAGATATACTCCCTCCGTCCGTCTCTAAGGGTCATATTTACATTTTGCGTCATTCTACTTAAGGTGTGTTTGTTTGGGGGTTTGGATTTTGGATTGGGATTTGAATAGTAAAAATTTTGAATTTGAATAGTTGTATGATGTGATATAAACAGGGTTTGATGTGATGTTTTGAATGTAAAATTGATTTTTAGTATAATATAAAAAATAAAAAATAGGTGTTTGATGTGATGTTTTTTGGGGGAAAAAATTGGATGAATAGTAGAAATCTTTCAAAATCCTTCAAACAAACATTATAAGATATTAATTAAAGTATTTCTGCAATTTTTACTTAATTTTTACTACGTTTTGATATAATAATTAATATTTAAAAATGAATACGCAAAAAGTAAATAAAATCCTTAAAGTATTAGTATATTTTTACAAAATAAAAGAAGTAACATTTTATAAAAAATAAAAAAATATTTAATATGATATGCTAAAAGTGAAAATAATGTATATATTATTTTTTAAAAAATAATAAAATAAGTGAGATCCACGAAAAATAGAAGAATTGACAAAGTAATAAATGACAGGAAAGGAGTATATTAATTAAAGATGTTTAGGTGTAATGATGAAGACATCAAACTTTTCACAACTCAATCTCAGTTTGTTCCGACAATTAACCACCATTTTTCAATCTCACTATATATATTACATTTCCCATAAATATATATCAATGCATCTTTAATTTTGATATAAAACCCACGTGCAATACTTATAAATAATTATTAATTTATTAATTTCAAGATCTTGTGTGTAGCCTCATAATTATTACAATATGCAGTACTCACTCCTCCCTCACAAATACTTTGTAATAGCATGTCTCGAACACTTGCAATATTTTTAAAATAGAAAATAGTTAATTTTTACCTTCACACTTTATCTCCTCATATTATTCAAATAAAAAAATAAAATATATATTTCTCTCTCTATTGCATCATCTAATTTCTAAATTATCCTATTTAATACTACCCACCTAAAAATCTGTGCCAAAAGCAAACGTTGCACCTTGTTTGAAACGGATAGAATATTAATTAATCAAGCTTAACTAATTTAAATGGAAATGGTTTGCATTTTTTCATTTCAATCATATATAAATTATCTATATATAACTTTTTGGGTTTTGGAGTTTGAAAATAATAAAAATTAAAATTTAAAAAATATTCAATATAATACAAACATATATTGGTTAATTTGAGAATACTTTGAATTTAATTTTTTGAACCTAAGTTATAATTAAATTAAAAAAAAAAAAGAGGTAGTAATTTTGAAAAAATAAATAATAAATTAATGAACAAGTGTAGACGAAAGGCAAAACACAAAAGAAACAAACTAAACCCAAAGTTATTCCAATCACCTCCAAAAAGAAACCCTAACTAATAATAATAAGGATTAATGTTACTTACTTTCACATCAATCAAAACCATACATAAATACATACATACATACACATAATTAATTCTTCTTTCACCCGAACGGCGATCCCCGGCCGTGCCGCATCACGGCGGCGGCGGTGGGGTTCAGCCTATCGGCTACAGGGGATGGGGAAGGCCTCTCCACCTTGGCAGAAACATCGAATTTCTTATCCCCGACGGGTTGATGATCTCCAGAAAAAAGAGGTTTAGTCTCATAATTATTATTATTATTACTTAGATCTGAAACTGCGTCGGCGACGTGTTCGGAGCTTGCTCGATCCAACGACAATGGCGCAATCTGAATTTGGGGATTATTAATGTCGTCGATCAGAGCTGCTGCAGGAGGTGTGGTTCCAATTTCTTGCAGCCTAAGATCTTCAGCCCAAATCATAGGGCTTTTCCCACCTGAATAATTAGTGTCGTTGCCGTATGGATTAGGCCTCTTTTTTCTGAAGAAATTATCGCTGAGCGAAGAACCTGCTGCTGTTGCATCCACCGGAGCTCTTTCCATGGCGGCGCCGCCGTTTAGATTAGAATTAGCAGCAGCGTAGACGTTCAGATCTTGAAGTGCCTGGAAATTCATGGCTACTGCTGCAGGCCCGAATTCCTTCAGCCCTGAAATCTCTGGCGGCGCTATGTTGTTGTAGCCTACGGCGGCGCCGGCCATGTTTTCTCCGGCGAGTGTTTGGCAGGCCTTTTCGAGAATCGTCTGCATGTATTTTCCTTGAGCTTCGATTCTTAGCTGCAGATGCCTTTGAACCTGTCAAGATTTGTAATTTTTTTGTCAATGAATTTATTAGTTTAATTACCTGTCTATGCAAGAACCCTAATTTATAAATTAGGTATTACTCCATTATTATACCTCGAGCTGTTCATGGAGTCTTCTGTTCACCTCCATTTGCATCCTGATTGAATCAGTCGTGGATCAAATTAAATCGAAAGCTTTGTATAGAATTAGATTAAATTGAAATATTTATATATATATATATATGTGAGAAAAAAAAAAAAGGGTTTAAGCAGTTAGAGTATGTGAAGATACTCGTTCATGGTGTGCCCCAGAATTCCTGATGACGATGCATTGTTTCGTTGAAGTTCCAAAGATGCTGCTGTTACAAATTCAACCAAGAATTAGTTAATCATATATACATACATATATATATGTGTGTGTATTTTAATTAATTCACTGACCATCTTTAATGGAATGATCATTGAAATCCTTATGAGGCTGCTTCCCCAACCTGAACTTCTGAAACCATGATATATATATATATATATATATATTAGAGTCGATTTAATAGAGCAAGAAATATCAAAAGTCAAGCAGTGGTAGAATTGGATAATTGAAAAAAAAAAAAAAAAAAAAACCCTAAACAAATTATGGTGGAATGAATTGGGAAATCAATTAATTAATTAAGAAATGTTAAACCGAAATGAGTTAAATGATGAATTGGGACCTGGAGATGGCTCTTGAGATGGTAAAGTGTGAGGCCCTTCACCCCCATCACTCTCATGATCGTCTTCGGGGTCGCCTCTGCAAATTCAATTCAATTCCTTCTAATTTACATATATATATATATATATATATATAGAGAGAGAGAGAGAGAGAGAGAGAGGACTGACTATCAGGGCCGCCGAGCTGAGTAACAGCATCGACAAAGCGCTCGTGGAGCTCGACAGTCCAGCGGAGGCGAGGCTTGGGGTCGGTGGTCAGGACGAGGCCTGAGTCTCCGCCGCCACCGCCGCCGCCGCCGCCGCAGATGGTACGGTCGTGATGGTGGTGGTGGTGAGGATTCATAGCTGCCGGCTTCTTCGAGGCGTGGAACATTCTCTCTCTGCTGCTGCTATGGAATGGAATGGAATGGAATACTGCAGTCTGACCAGATTCTGAAACACAGAGAGAAAGAGAGAGAGGAGAGAGAGAGAGATTTTAAATTTGAACAGAGGGTAAACAAAAGGGTTTCTGAAATAGACGACGGACTTGAAGGATTAATGCATTTTAAGTTTTTACCTCTTTCTTTTTCTTTTTCCTTATTATTTATTTATTTATATTTATATTTTTTGTTTTCTAAATTTAAACTCACAATGAGTAATACACAATTTGCCCACCTAAAGAAATACATTTATTTTATTTTCTTTTATATTTAGTTGAATTTAAAAATTATTTTATTTAAATAATAGTTTGCGAGTATTTTTTATTATATGTAAAAATATATTTCCCTTATCTTTTAATTTAATGTAAAACATTGACATTATGAGTTAATTTTAAGGGTATTTATATTACTTCTCCCGTCTTTTAATAATTTTTTTTTTTTTTTTTTTAATTTTGATATGTTTCATTACAAAATATCATTTTGTTTTAATAATTTACTATTTATTTAACATTAAAAATTGTTATACAATTTATAATATATTATACAAATATCATTATATTTGTATCATATAATACTAATAAAATTATTTTTGTTATTTTCTGTTAATTTGTATAATACATTAATATTATACCAATATTATATTACGTACACAATTTCATATACCCCACTTAATAAAATACCCCTTCAAATGATTTGTTTTGCCCAAAACAAAGACACTCATACTAGATCTCTTTTATTGGTGAAAGATTAATTGTAGATTCAATATATAATACAAAATAAATAAATGTAATCAAACAAATGAAAATGCTTAGTTTTGTTTTCTTTGGCTGCTATGTTAGTTGGAGTTTGGATTTAAATTTTTTTACTATATAATTCCCTATAAAAAAAAAATATTTTATATGCATCAACATTAATAGCGTTTAAATTAAAATTTAAAATCAACCAAAAAATAGTAAAATATTTTTTTTAAAAAAGGAAATATTATGTTGAATAATAAAAATAAGTGAAAAATAAATGATAGATTCGTTGAACTTAATTTGTAGATATATAGGGTTTTATTATTTGTTTAATGAAATTGTTTGAAAATAATTTTTTATGTAATATATATATATATAATTGTATAAATAATATAAAAATAATAGTATATAATATATTAAAAAAATTTTAAAAAATATATTTTTGAAAATTTTAATTTCCACAAAATAACAGTTGATTCTATAATTAAATATTCAAGCACAAGATACATATTGTACAATAAATATCCCAAAAACGGAAAGTGCATCATTGCGCAGCCAGCTCTGGATTTGGAAACCACTATAATAATTATTTATAATATAGGCAAGTGGGCCAATTAATGCGGATAATTAATTGGACATCAAGCTTTAATTACGAGCATACTTACATCAGTTTTAGTTTACACACATTTTATTTATATATATGATCACATAACATATTAATTTATTAATTTTAGTACAATAAATATATTTATATTACAAATATAAAATTGTGCATCATATATTTCTATTTGAAAATATAATATATTATGTCCATTTTTTTATTTAAATGACGTGAGAACACGCAACCGCTATCCGAAAGTTTGCAGGATAAACTCCGGTCGAACCTAATACTCTGCAAACCAGATCTGACAGGAAAGTCCATCTTAATTATATGTGTTATTGAACAAATGATACACTGCTAGTTTGATCCAATTCGCAATTCAGCCACAGCCTATATACAAATTAGTTTATGATAACTAAAGTTAAATATTTGAATTATTATTATATACTTCTATCTTATACCATCCATATATGTATTATGTTAATATATATTTTATATTAAAATTAACTCTTGTATATCTAAATGCGTGCTATTGAATCTGATAATAAGTACATAGAGAAGGCAGGGGGTGGATATGACGACCACTTCAATTTAGTTTTGTACCAACCGTAGCTGTGGCCTTCGAAAATTGGAAGTACAATTATTTTAAATCAAAAATTTTTTGTACAAAAGCACAAAAAAAATTGGATTACTTAAACTAGAAATGAGGAAGCAACAGCAGCCTTGGAAAATATATCCCAATAATAATAACAAAAATAATAATCATATGATAAATAAATTGAATTAAATTAAAGGTACAATTTGAGGGACATGAAAATCAATCATAAAGTAGACAAGGGAAGGGGCGAATTCAGAGGTTTTGGTTTCTGGTGTCGATTTAAATACTCAATACGTTACATATAATATATTGCTAGAATATATATATATGTATAATTATGGTAATTACACAATGAAAAAAAAGTAAGAACTCAAAAATAAAAATAAAAAATAATAATAATAATAATAAAAAAGAATATGAAGTTGCTTTCTTTTTGGTTCCAAAGGAAAGGAGCTTAGCATATAAATCATTTATTTTAACTACACTTCTTTTGTCGAATACAAGCTTGTCTTGTCATCCATTACCATCATTTACATACATACATATATGTACAAAGTTGTATCTGTATGTATGCCTCCAACTTATATATCCATTATTAATTTATTAATTAATAAGCCCCTCCTCCCTTTACACTAATATGATAATGTATTTATTATATCACACAAGTAAGAATTTTTATTTTTTTTCGTAAAGTTACAGCATTTTGCGTAGAAGTTATTATATTATTATATATGGACAATATATTATTTAATTATTTATGTGTATATGGGAATGTATCTTGATGGTCACAAATGTAGGCGCACAAATTACCTAAAGGAGGGGCTGTAGTCCTTTCTCCAAAAGGAATAAATTCTTCCTTAGTTGAGAATTAAAGTAAAGATTCTTCTCTCTATATATTTTTACTTATTTATTTATATACATACATATATATATATATATATATATTTGCAACTGCGCACAAACATAAATAATAATCCCAAAACAGTTATTTCCACCTAAAAAAATTCCACAAAATGGCATAAATAAAAAACAACACAAACAAACAAGTACCTTAATTGTGTGTGTGATTTTTCTTTTATTTAGATATATATATTTTAAGGAGTAATAAGTTGACAAGAAAAAACACACTTTGAGCGAAGCTAGCAGGCATGCATGCATGCATGCATGCAAGCAAAAATATCAATCAGTTGATTGACTAACCTAGGGCAAGGGAGTGACGTTAGTTAATTAACTTAAACAGACAAACCATGCACGTTACACGACTAGCTGTCCCATTAAAAAGCACACATAATAATAATTACTCTTTAAAGTTGAGATTTAGCTTTTTACTACTGCACTTAGTTTAACAACCAACCACATATATATAAATATATTAATGCAATAAAAGATACATAGGGAGGGGGGGTCATGCACGTTGGCTTAAATTTCAAGCATCTTAATATTCGTTCCCTAGAATATATATGCATATATTTATTTATTCCTAAAAATTGAATATATTCCCTTTTGAGGTAAATTGTAGGTGGGACCTTATCCCTCCCCCAATCCTTTTTACCACTACCCCCCTTTAAAATACTTTCTTTTTCACAAATAATATATATATATATATAGAATCAAGGTAGTGAAGGTAGATTTCCTTTTTACATACCATGGATGTTAGGGCAAGATGGGAGGTGGTGAGGCGAATTGAAGAACAAGTGAAGAGGAATCAGATTCGTGCAGGACCATCACAAATTGAACTGAGGGGAGGGGAGGGGAGGGGAGGGCAGGGCAGGGCTTCTTTCTGGTTTGTCTGCCTCCTTTTATTTTTGGCTCTCTAAAAAGCAGAAAAACATGAACCAGATATTGAAAGCGCCAAACTGCAAAATAGACATTATCCATTGCCATATCAAATTCAATATGGGGAGTGTTACTTTTAGTATTTCAATAATATTCAAACGATATATGTATAACAACAAAGGCTAGGGGGATTTATAAAAGCCATTTGTCTCGAGGGAATTGTACAAATAGGCACTGATTTAGATAGTGAGGGATTGTGGAACTTTTGAGGGCAACCCGTTATAATATGTAGAGGCTATGTATTCACAGGATCCAATGTTAGTTTTGAATATTACTATTTTCTAATTTAGTGAATGATTTGATTGAAGGAGTTGGGAATACAAACCTTAAATTTGGCTTAGCTCAGCTCATATTTCCCAAGCATACGTATTTGATCTGCAAGGGAAGTATTTTTGTTACTTGCTGTATAAAGGTTCTGAATGTATGGTTCATTTGGCATGTTTGAGATCTGACATTAATGGTAAACATGAATTTGCTTACTTCTAGATATTCATCCATCCCATATTTTGATCCTTCACGGCCAAGACCGGATTGTTTCATGCCTCCGAATGGAGCGACCTACACAAGAGGAGAACATAACAGGCCAAGAGATCAAAATCCATTTCTTCGGTTGAAATTTGCAGAGGCTAGATGTTAAACACAAACCTCAGTCGAAATTTGCCCTTCATTTATGCCGACTAATCCATACTCAAGAGCTTCAGAGACGCGCCATGAACGCTTGATACTTGTTGTAAACATGTAGGCAGCCAAACCTTCAAAACAAGAGAATTACTCAGATCCTAGCTAATCGGATTTGTGTAATGGGTTAAGCATTAGTTTCAGTTTCAGCACATGCAAAACACCATCTTCCAAGTTTAGGAGCATTCAGCATTTGCCATTATCTTGGAATTGAATAAATTCATATCTAAGATTTAACGACAAGGTAATGATTTACGAGTAATCATCACTCCCAGAAAATCAAGTTGGCATCAAAATTTGGTATAAAAGTTTATACCTGCATTAGTGTCATTAGCAATGTGTATAGCTTCTTCCTCTGTTTTAAATTTCATAAGAGGTGCAACTGGTCCAAACACTTCTTCCCTAGTATAGTTAATATAAGCATATTAACAAACAAGGCATGTGTAACACAGGTGGTGAGTGTTTTCTTTAAAGCTTAAATCAAAATCCCTAATCATAGTTACAGGAGATATGTAAACCTCTTTTTCTTCTTGAAGGGTAATAATAATGGAATATATGCCAAAACATTGAAAAAACATGGAAAATCATCTACTATAGACAAGCAGGTGGATAAAATCATTAAGTTGCAATTACCATTTTCCTAATGATTCATCCTAGACTTCCCCAACCTCAAGAATGGGCAACACGGATATTCAATCAAGTTTCCATCTCAATTATTAGGGTATATTCTAAAATTCAAGCAGTCTAATTCATAACAATAGCTAGACATATTTATCATTCAGCTCAAACTAAGCAACCGCAAAATTGATTAAAGTACTATAAACTTGTATATATTTTCAGTATGGCATGTGATGAGAAGAATAAAATTAAGTGACCAACTCTAGACTCATTCAACATGACTCTGCTGTATGCTAAATTCCAAAGATTATTTCAAGAATCATCTCATAATATCAAGAAAGATGAGAGGATAATGCAAACTTCTGTTACCATCCATATGATAAAAGAAAATTGAGATGCAATAGCCACAACATTCCCTAAGAATTTTTTTAATAGTTCCAGAAATTTCATAAGACGTCTACAAGAGCTGCATACTTGAATCCTAAAACATATGGGACAGTTGAACATTAGAATAATCTCATCAGGCTTTTTGGCCTACCTTGCCAATAACATTTCACTTTTGACATCACCAATAACCGTGGGCTCATAAAATGTCATCCCAAGACTATGTCTCTTGCCTCCAATGAGAACTTTAGCACCCTTGAACGAAAAATGTAATAGTTAGATGCATTGAAATAATACAGTAACATGGCAGCTTGTATGGTGGGTACAGATTTCTAAATATCTTCATAGCTGGACATGATGTGTTTATACAACCAGCTAAAACATTATGTGCACTTTAAAAGAGGGCATATATCATCCCCATGCATGGGAACAAATGAACTCTTTTCTATATGCAACATAATTTGGTACTTGATACTACAAAAACAAGCAACCAAAGTATAATATTCAATATAATATTTGGTTCCAATTACGACTTGGTACTATAAAAACAAGCACCAAAGTATAATATTCACTCAAATATTTGGTTCCAGTGACAGAACAGCGGTAGTGATCTCAAAGGAGGTATTGATTATAGCAGCAGCAGTTAAAAGATGTTTAAAAACCTTTGAGATGGCATCTTGCACAAATGATTCAACCTGCAAGGCAATTCTAGATTAGTTCATCAAAATTACTCGGCACATTATGCCATAAGTTGTTTGCCTGACCTTGTGCAGTGCAGAATCATTAATGATCGGACCCTGTTCACAATGCAAACAAATTAACTTAAATGTATATCATTTTCCACACTACTTCCTGCTTACAACAATAGGTGAAATAACACTCTGATTATATTTAGTCTTACTATATAAAACACCACCACTACCGCACAGCAGTTGCCAAAAAGTTGGCAAACTGCATAACAATTTACACAAAGGAACGGTGACTACCTGAGCGACACCTTCAACAAAGCCATCGCCAACTTTCATACTCTCAACAGCTTTTGAGAAAGCAATAGAAAACTTGTCATATATTCCTGTAACAGGAGATGAGAAATTAAAGTAAGAACTATCTCCAAGAAATGAACATTAAAATTCTTGGGAATCATAATACCTTCCTGCACCAGTATCCTATTTGCACAAACACACGTTTGTCCACTGTTGCGAAATTTAGTTGCCATCTGCAATTACATGTATATTTTTTTAAATAAGGCACAAAACCATAGGGTGCAATAGAAGGAAATGTGTATATATATATAGAGAGAGAGAGTAAATGGAAGATATGAGAGAAGCTGAGATCATGAAATCAAGACCGGACAGCTCAAAACAAAATGTCTGAAATCCAAATTTTCATTGATTTGTTATTCTTGATGCCAACCGAACAGAACTGTTAATCCATCCAATAAGTTCATAGTACTTTATATAACCAAAGCCACAAGTGAACATAGAAATCAGACCAATCAAGTTTTAGTCAATAAACTTTCTTACATCATATTACAGATTGAAACCTAAACATGGAACTCAACAAAATGGAAGGCTAGCTTGTTAGCATCTTCTAAGACTGTTGGCACATTTTCACCAGGTTAAATCATCTACCAGTTATAAGAATGTTAAACCATAAATACAACTGAACTGCAAAAAGTTTACTGGAGGTATGCAGTTCAGGTCATTCCTGGAATATTTATTGGGTGCAAACTTTAAACACATATTTTAAGAAGAAAAACCTCTAGCATTAAAGATTTCAAGTAATAGAAGTTGTCATGGAAGATTTCCCCTGGCTAGAAGCAAAATTAAAGAACAGAAGTCATATAAACTATATTTTAATTTTTCATTTCTACAATGTTACTCAGATATGCTTTTGCAGAAACAAATGAAAAGCAACAGAAGTAATCTAATGTTAGATGTTCTATTTGAAATTAATTTTTAAGGTCAATTCACAGTAACCAACTATTAGTCCACTTTTTGTCCAAGGCATGTAAATTTAATCAGAAGATGATTGTTCTTACAGTTCCTTTCAGAGCAACATCAAGATCTGCATCATCAAAAATTATGCAGGGTGCATTGCCACCAAGTTCAAGTGACACCTGTTCAAAAGTGTTCTAATTAGCATGCAATAAAGGATTATTTGGAGGACCAATCTTCCCACGACCAACCTTTTTCACCGTCTCTGCTGCACCTGCCATCAATTTTTTTCCAACAGTAGTTGAGCCTGTAAACGTGATCTTCCTTACCTGAATAATTTCAGATGATTAGCATCTAGCTGTTTTTGGTCCAAATTGAAATTTTCAGATGACTAGAACAGTATATAAGGCACCAAATGACCTGAGGACTTGCAAGTAAGGCTTCTCCAATATCAGATGCACTTCCCATCACAACATTCACTGCACCCTATCATGCAAAGTCATCGCAATCAAAACAACTGGGACAAAGACTGGAAAGAGAACCAGGTTTACCTGATAATTTGTTTCCATATAATTCACAAACTAAAATTCCAAGGATATGAAGAAGATCTAATAAAGTGTAGGCAATAACAAGTGCATAAAAGAAATATGTATGCATGTGTTTTCAATAACTTGGAATTACAATTACCGGAGGTATCCCAGCCTGAATGGACAATTCAGCTGCTGCCAGTGCAGTCAAGGGTGTCAGCTCAGAGGGCTTTATGACAACAGTGCACCCACAAGCAAGGGCAGGAGCAACCTAAACTCAAAGAAACAGATCACTATTAATAGGAATGTAGCTAACTTAAACGAATTCAAGTGGTATTACTCTAAATTAAAGGATGGTGCTTCCAACCACCACCTTGCGTGTAATCATAGCCAAAGGAAAATTCCATGGCGTAATTGCTCCAACAACACCAACAGGCTGCAGATAACCAACAATTCCAAATACTCAGTAAATTCATGGTCATGATTTGAGAGGACAAAGAGAGACATGAATATTTTAGAAATACATTTTGGACCTTCATCTTGTTCATCTCAAATGAAATGGAAAAGGAAGCATACCCTATGTTTTGTGAACTCAACTTTAAGTTATAAAAGTGTATGCAGTCTTGCATGTTGATTATGCCAAGTAATCATGTCAGATATATAACAGAGAAGACTTAAGTTTTACCATCTGAGCATATACTCATCAGGTTTTTCATCATAGTAACATTGCTCCATTACAGTTTTCTTGTCAAGTGAACACCAAATTGTCGAAAAAGTTGCTAAAGGCACCTAAATTTAGAAATAAATAAATTTATGTGAAGAAGTCAACCTGCTTCATTACAAATAAACGCCGATCTGGTAATGCTGCTGGAATGATATCACCATAAACTCGTTTTGCTTCTTCTGCATAGAATTCTATATAACTTGCACCATAGGTAACCTGTGAGTTGGCACGTTCACAAATATAGAATTAAATGCACGTCTAAATCCAATATTTCCAATGTAAATATAAAGATATGTTTACCTCACCCATAGCCTCATCCAAAGGCTTTCCTTGCTCTAAGGTCATCAGTTGTCCAAGCTCTTCCTTGTTGGCCATTATCAGATCAAACCATTTTCTCAAGCATCTGCTCCTTTCTGCGGCGGTTAGCTTACTCCAAGCTTCACTTAGAACTCTTGTCAGTGGAATTAAATATATGAAAATTGCCAACTCAAATTTTTATTACACCCAATGGAAAATGAAAATGCATATGGAAGATTGCACTAAAAAGTGTAGAAACAGAGACAAGAGACCCTGGGGTTTAGATGACTAAGGAAAATTGTAGCATTTGCTCTTTTTTTTCTTTTTCTTTTTAATTCCCTTGACAAGTTCAGCTTCACAAATGTCACAAGAGTTGGCTAAGACTCCCATCATTCAAAAAGCGGAGGCAAGTGACAATCTTTGTAACCTACTAACATTAACTTTGGGAAATGATAAATTGCTAAAAGAATTTTATAAGAGCAAAAAGTATCATATTGCTAATTTAGCATCACACTAAAGTGTGATATACACAAGGTTGGCCAGCACAGAAGAAGTGTTATGGTGGATTTAGATTATAGGGTTATTCTTATCATTAGTTGCTTGGCCAGCCCACAAGCACCTCAGTGCAAAGTTCAACTTAAGTTCAATACTCTGCAATTTTGAGGTACACAATAATTTGGAAGTTCCGATGTCAAGCTTGCTTTAACACTACACAAGACTGTCACTTAACTGAAGCCTAATTTTGTCTAGAGTTATATGTGCCAAAAATGGAATTTAGCTGTTGAAACAAACCACTAATGTGAGCAGAAGTAGACCACTTTCGACCCTGGACTAGATCAAGCCAAGTAGAATTAGATGACAACTGAATGAATTCTAAACAGAGAATGGAACTGGGAATTTTCTGCTGGAGCCATTTGAAGATATTAACACTAAGTTCATAAATACCCAAGAGGCCAAGACGAGTTATCTTCTAGGTTTTTAATCGTAGTAACAAATTGAAAGACACAACAAATCAGATCATGAGCCCGAGAAAACTCACATAAAAAGGTATTGTGTGCTGAAGTAATCGCATCTTTTGTCTCCCTTCCACCCATGCACGCAACATTAGTTATAACCTCACCTGTAGCAGGATTGTAAACCTGCCATAAAATTAGCTCCCTCAGCCATGGACACTGTATGCAAAATTTCTTCAATTTCCTTTTATGTCATCAGTAACTAGACTACGAAACCTCAATCGTTTTCCCATCATACGCATCTACCCATTTTCCTCCAATAAAACCTTGAGTCCTGATGAAGCCCGAACTGCTTAGACGAGAAGCAACACTCCGTGCGTTCGTACTCATCTGCCACAATCAAAACTTCCTAGTTAGCTCATCAAAATATTCAACTGATTCACGCAACTAATAACGAAGCAGCCTCGCAACAAATACAGCAATTTAACTAAATGTTCCAGCGGGAAAATCGCTGGAGATTACAAAAAATTATTCACTCACATTCAGATTTCTATCTCGAAAGCTAATAAAATCATACTTAAAAAAAACAAACAAACAAACAATCGCACTTGCTTACTGCATTAAAATCTGTTTCTATGCCTCTAGTAAGTAGTAATACGACGAACAATCACGATCTCCAGACAAGCAGATGCGAGCGAGCGAGAGTCAAACTAGAGTACCTGATGATGCGAAAATATAGCAACAGAAATGCACGTGGCAGAGGAAAGGCAGGTCGGCGATGAGCGCTGAAGCTGAGTGAGTAGCGGGGACATGCTATAGCAACGCGTGTCCGCGCCTTGTCCATTCCCGACTCACAAGTGTCCACCGCCCACCATTAACCGTCTACCTAGGCTGAAGTATAGACACAGATCACGCAGAGAAAAATACGTGTGGCGTTCTTCCAAGTTCCAATATCCACCACCATTGCTGACGCCTTCGTCCTCTCTGTTTATAGGCCTGTTTTTATATCTCTTATTATTATTATTATTTAATGAAGGTATATAAAATAGTTTTTATATTTTTATCATTGTAATTTTTTTTAAAAAAAAATGTATTTTTCATAAAATTTATAATATTTGAATATTTATATAGTGAATATTTTTATTACAATACAAAATATTTTTTAAATAGTACGGAATGAAAATGTTAAATAAATAAATTGAATTAAGACAGAAAAAATTTAAAATTTAGAAAATTTGATTACAAAGTCATTAAATATTTGGCAAAAATCATTTTGTCAAAATTATATATGGTGTCATGAATTATTTTTTTATCAATTTCCATCATATTTAAATTAAATTTATTAGTTTTAATTTCATAATAACTAACAAGGACAATGTATTCAAGCCAACAAGATAGCTTTGGATGATGTAGAAAAATGAATGGACAATATTGTCATATTATATTATATTTACTTTTAAATATGATCAGTTATATTTTTACTTTTTATTGAAATTATCTGATGTATATATATTTATATTTTAACGAAAATATTTTTTATAATTATTTAAAAATATAAAAAAATTAAATTATAATATTTTTAAAAATAATTGAAAAAACACTATACAAAAATAAATTAATATATATTTTTTATGATTATAATTATATATATTTTTAGAATTTATAATAAATTTTTATATAATTTAAATTTATAATATAAAATATAAAAAAATTAATATTATTTAAAACATTATAATATTTTAACTAGAAAAATATGAAAATAACATCACAAATTTATATAATTAATGAATTATTATAAATTTGTAGTTAAAATAAAAATTATTTACAATAATATTTTTATTTTATTTTTAAATTTACAGATTTAATTTATTTTAAAAATTTACTAAATATTTTATATATAATTATAATTATAAAAATATATAATATCTCCGTCTACATCCAATCTATTAATTTAAATTTAGCGTTATTATTTTTAACATTAAAAATATATAATTTTTTTTTACAAATACCATTGCAGACACGCCAGAACAGAAGTATTTTTGTCATTTTTTTTAAAATTATATTGTATTATATTTTGATATAATAATTAATATTCAAAATTAATATGCAAATTGACGGTGGACGGATGTAGTATATTAATTTATTGTTTTTATATTCTTTTTACAATTATTTTTTAGATATTAAAATTAATACTTGTTATGTTTTTAAATAATTAAAAAAAATATTGTGATTAAATAATAAATATATATCATATAATTTGAAAAAAATAAAATAAAAATGATAACGAATATGAATAAAACACGGCCGTTGAACATGATAATGTTAGACAATGGAACTACAAACATGGACATAAAACACGGCTAAAATAATTTTTACTCTAAACATTTACTTACGTTAACTATTATAAAACTATTTATTAAAATTATCTAACACTTTTCATTAAAAAAAATATATATTTTTAATAAAATATCGTATCAAAATACTAATTAAGCAAAAATTTAACTTAATATTCTAGTATTTTAAATCAATTTTAAATTACAACAAAACAACAAATTATTAATGTTTGTTAAAGTTATATAGTAGTATAATTTATTTTAATAAGTAATTTTATTTACTTATATACTATTTTAATAAATAATAATTAATTTATATGAAAAAAGAAAAATTACTTACTGAACCTAAAGAAACAGACAAATTCTGCTAAGTGGATCAATCAATTTTATTTTTAATGAAACAGTTCAAAATTTAAACTCAACCAAACTAATCAATGTCATTTACGGTAAGACCAAAAATACTTTTTCCTATAAAATGATACTAGTACTTTAATAGTATAATCAGCATCGGCCGGCGTCGTTTCCGAACGGGTCGGATCCAGAAACCCGACCCGAGCGTCATGGATTGAACCAATTCGACCAGCCTCCGCACTCGACGACGACGACTGCGTTCGCCAATGGAGGATTGTCGGGCCTTTCATCTTCCGGAATTCGATATTTTTATTGAAATTGGATTGGGGAGCGCGAACGGCCACAAAGGACAGAAGTAAGTAGAGTGGGAAGAAAACGACGTGCGGGATCTCCCCGCTATTCCATTTTTGGGGTTTGCGGTGTTGTTGGGAATGTGGTAAAAAGGCAACAGGGCGGACAGTTCGAAGTCAAAGAAGGGAAAGAGCGTTGGGTTAAAGAGAGGGTATCCCAACCTTCTCACCCTTTCCATTTGGCGAAACCTCTTGATGGTTATGACCTGAAAATTCCCGATATCGAAGGTTGTATGCGTCCGGGCTTCCATTTAATCGTTAATTTCAATTTGTGGGCGTTAATTAGGGAGGAAACAGAAATTGGGAGATTTCTGTTGGGGTGATGAACTCGAGCGCTCCGTCGTCAAGTGGTGGAGCTATAGCTGGAGCTGGAGATGTTGGATCAGCCGTATCAACTGCACCTAGAAGGAATTCTAGGCGACCTAAGTGTATTGATCTCTGCCTTTGAACTTCTGGTATTGTTTGGTTTTGCAAATTGCAATAACGATGTGTTCTTATCTGCTTGGATTGGTTTTTCAGTGGTTAGGGTTTTCTTTCAATGTCATTGATTTTAAACCCAAAATGGACATAATTCTTTGAGGGATTTTAGTGAAGAACGATTGAGGTTGCACTTTTGCTCTTCTGTTTTTCATGTCAGCTTTCTAAGAAGTTTTCTGTGGATTGAAGATCCTGCTAGATTATTAAGTTAGGTTCATTGTTTCAATGGAAGTCAATTTTATCATCTGTAAGTACTGAAGGTATGAATTTCACACAAAGTGGAGTTCTTCTTTCAAGCTATAAAATTAGGGAGAAGGATAAGTTCATATAGTGATATCTGCACTTTGTTTGTTACCTGCAGAGAAAATCATTATTGCAATCTGTTCTGTTGAGAGAAAATGGTTAGAAACAGTCAATCAAATGCGGTTTTATTGCAACAGAGGGTGATCGAATGGGCTGCTTATTGATAGATGATCATGTTGTCATTTGTCGTCGCCTGAAACATCTAGAGATATTTGAAGAATATTGTTCACGATTCTGAAAAGATGAATTATTAGCTTATATGAATATTTAGATGAAGCCATTTCTTAAAACTGTTTGATTATAAGATGTGTTGCAATCTGGCAAATCAAATGAATGGATAAACTGTATGCTCGTCAGCTTAAATTAGGTTCATATCATAGACCATTGATCTCAAATTGAAGATGAAATTTAAAGTGCGCTGGAACTTCTCTATTTTTGCGAAGACTATTTTTACAGTTCTAACAGATTCTAAATGATTGGTTTTTACAATATGTTTCTTCAGATTCCCGATTTACGCAACAGGAGCTTCCTGCATGCAAGCCTATACTTACTCCTAAATGGGTAAAATCACAGTTTTTGCACTTTCTTATCATATGTCCTTCGTGTTAGCTACATTTATTTATTTTTAGTTAACTCCTTTGTGCAGGTGATCTCAACTTTCTTGCTTATTAGTGCAGTCTTCATACCCATTGGGATTCTTTCCCTCGCTGCTTCTCGAAATGTATGCTCAAAGTTATCCATAGCTCTTCTTCTTTTTAAAGATTTTATCTGTGCCTTTCCCACGTGCTTTGCTTACTGAAATTGTATGTATTAGGTAGTTGAGATTGTTTACCGGTATGAGAGTGATTGCATTCCTATTGGTTCAAGAAACAACAGTCTTGCCTTTATTCAGAGCTCCGAAGATAAAACTTGCTACAGAAATATTACTGTGAGTGCCCGTTCAGCACCACCGACATTTGCTAATTTTCATAGTGTGCTAGGCAGCATTGTATGATTTTTTTGGTGTAAGTAACGAATCCTTAAGTGTTTCCCAATCTCAGGTTCCCAAACATATGAAGCAGCCAATTTATGTCTATTACCAACTCGATAACTTCTATCAAAACCATCGCAGGTGAACATATTGATAGGGTAACGAATGCCATATCAAAGTCTTACATACTTTTAATCCGTGTACCTGCTATACGTATGTTATTGCTACAGCTATTGTTGTGGCCGGATATTTAACCATGCCTTTATGAGTATCTCCTTGATGATTGTTAGATATGTAAAGAGCCGAAGTGATCAGCAGCTGAGAAGTCCGGGAAATGAGAATGTGACGGATTCTTGCAGTCCTGAATCCACATGGAATGGGGCGCCTATTGTTCCTTGTGGTCTTATTGCGTGGAGTCTGTTCAATGATACTTATACCTTTAATCGCAGTAACGAGCAATTGGCTGTAAACACCAAAGGAATTGCATGGAAGAGTGACAGGGATCATAAATTTGGGGATAAGGTCTACCCGAAAAACTTTCAGAATGGCACCCTGAAAGGTGGCGGTACCCTCGATCCATCAAAACCCGTAAGCCTCTAATCCATTATATTATACTTGTTCCGTGATCTTGCTGCTCGGAATCAGAAGTTATGGTATATCTTAGGGTGTCACTGCATATTCGAGAATTCAAGTGATATTGGAAATAAACTTATCTGATTTTCGCTTCCATTGTTGTTGTGTCCAATTGAAGTTTTGTTTCTCGTGAATTTGTTGTCGTGCAACAGCTGAGCGAGCAGGAGAACCTCATTGTTTGGATGCGAACAGCCGCTCTCCCAACATTTCGAAAACTTTATGGAAAAATACAAGTCGATCTTGAGGAGAATGACACAATCCACGTGGCGATAGGAAACAACTATAACACGTACAGCTTTAATGGCAAGAAGAAACTGGTTCTTTCGACTACCAGCTGGCTTGGAGGGAAGAACAGTTTTGTGGGCATTGCATACCTCACCGTTGGTGGAATGTGCTTTTTCTTGGCCGTTGTTTTCATGCTTATTTATCTGATCAAACCGAGGTATGTATCATTCTTGTGCCTTATCCAGCATAGTCTCAACACTTATTTATATCACATAGTTTGGCTATTATTATTATTATTTTAATCATCGTCTGTTTTGTTAGGCGACTTGGAGATCCGTCGTATTTGTCATGGAACCGGAATCCAGGTGAGCACTAATGCAAGCTCACAAACTGCTCGTTTGTTGTTCAAAGTTGAAGTTTGTTCGCAATCTTGTATTCTTACCTTGGAAAGGCGTTGTGTGAAGATTCGATCACCGATGATCGGTCCTAAGACCATTTCTGAATCGCCATATTCTCCTAGTTTGTATGAGCTGAATCTGTAACACTGATACTCAAAGGACTCAATTGTTAACTGTGGAACTGCCGTGTACGGCCGAATGATGCCCGGCCGCCCCCGCCGGAATCTTTTCTGTGACTCCCACGTTTGATGATGAGAGTAACGTTTTGTGTTTGGACCTTCTTATTGTTTCCTTACGATGATGCCTGATTGTATTTAGATATTGATGAAACCTGCGAATTTGGCCTTGTCCCAGAAAGCTACCCATCCCATCCTTCTTGTGGAATATTATGTGCATTTATGCTTGCAAATATATAACATCTCTTTATTTATGCTACAAGTGAAATTGCTGTATTCAATTTTGTTCACATTTCCTTTATAATTGAAGAAGAGTAGAAGTAATAATAATAATAATTAATTTTATTTATACTAATATTATTATATTAAACTAAAATATAAAATAAAAATACGTACAAATTACAATTTAAATAAGATATTTCTTAAATTTCAAACAGAAAAACAAATGTATAATTTTTTGGACACCAGAAATATAATACTAGTACTTTAAATTATAATCTAACTGTACTGCAGGCTCAAACCAGACGAAAGTGGCCCGGCCCATATTTGGGGATCCGAATAGATGACGGGTTGCGACGCTGGGTTTAGGGTTTTTGCAAGAACCTGAGCATAGCTTCTTTCGAATTTTTGAAGGTTATGAACGGTACTCTCCCTCCCTTGATCGAATTACCTTCGTCGAGATGATGCTGCGCACTCTACTGCTCTCGAAAACCCTCAGAAACTCGAAGAAGTTACTCCATCAAAATTTCATAAATTCGAAATACTCATCCGTGCTGGAAAATCCCAATTCCTATTGCCGCAGAATTACCGCCTCCCCCAATTCGAATGCCCTCGGATTCACGAGAGAGTTTTGTTCTGGGAAGCAGATTAGAGGCGATTCCCACGAGTGGACCGAGGAAATCGATTATTTAGATGAGTCGGGAAGCGTTATTTACTCCGGTAAGGGGATAAGATCCGTCGAGCCGGGGATCGATGACCACGTAATGGCGGGTGAATTGAGGAAACCGATATCCAACATCGCTGCGGTGTCGAAGATAGTCGAGATAGTGAAGAGGTGGAGATGGGGCCCTGACATGGAGGCGCAGCTGGACAGGCTGCAATTCGTCCCGGACACCATCCACATTGCTCAGGCGCTGAAGGTAATCGATGATAGTGATGCTTTGTTGAGTTTATTTCGGTGGGCGAAGAGGCAGCCATGGTATGTGCCCGATGATGATTGCTATGTTGCACTGTTTGATAAATTGAATTCGAGTAGGGATTTCGATGGAATTCAGTCGATATTTGAGGAAATGGTAGGTGATTCCGGCGGTGGCGAGGCGTCTCCGGCGGCGGCAGGTGCTTATAACAGGGTGCTGCAGTACCTGGGTAAGGCTGAGAAGTTGGAGGTTACCTTCTGTTGTTTCAAGAAGGTTCAAGAGATGAATTGCAAGCTCGATACGGCGACGTATAATTCGCTGATGATGTTGTTTCTGAACAAGGGGCTGCCGTATAAGGCATTTGAGATTTATGAAAACATGGAGAAAGACGGGTGTTCGTTTGATTCGTCGACTTACGAGATGATGATACCGAGCCTTGCGAAATCTGGTCGACTCGATGCTGCAATGAAGCTTTTTAAGGAGATGAAAGAAAAGAATTGTCGCCCGAGTTTCGGGATCTTTGTTTCGCTTGTCGACACTATGGGAAAGGCCGGGAGATTGGACACGGCGATGAAAGTGTACATGGAAATGCAAGGTTTCGGGTTGAGGCCATCGGGGGCGATGTTCGTTTCGCTAATCGAATCGTTCGTTAAGTCGGGGAAATTGGAGATGGCGCTCAGGCTATGGGACGAGATGAAGAAAGCCGGGTTTAGACCTAATTATGGATTGTACACTATGATCGTCGAGGCCCATGCTAAATCGGGAAAGCTCGAGGTTGCAATGTCGATCTTTTCCGATATGGAAAAGGCCGGCTTTTTACCGACCCCGTCGACCTACTCCTCACTCTTGGAGATGCATGCTGCGTCGGGACAGGTCGATTACGCAATGAAACTATACAACTCCATGACGAATGCGGGTTTGAGACCGGGTTTAAGCACGTATACGGCGCTGATGACGTTACTAGCGAAAAAGAAACTCGTCGACGTGGCGGCTAAGATTTTACTCGAGATGAAAGCAATGGGGTATTCGGTGGAAGTTTGCGCTAGCGACGTCCTCATGGTTTATATCAAGGACGGTTCCGTCGATCTCGCGCTGAGGTGGCTTCAGTTCATGGGCTCGTCGGGGATCCGAACGAATAATTTCATTATTAGGCAGCTCTTCGAGTCGTGTATGAAGAACGGATTGTATGAGTCAGCTAAGCCTCTTCTCGAAACGTACGTGAACGCTGCTGCAAAAGTCGATCTCATACTTTACTCGTCGATTCTCGCGCATCTCGTAAGATGCCAGGACGAGCAAAACGAGAGGCATTTGATGTCGATCCTGAGCGCGACGAATCACAAGGCTCATGCTTTCTTGTGCGGGCTGTTTACCGGCCCCGAGCAAAGACAGCAGCCGGTTTTATCGTTTGTGCGCGAGTTCTTCAAGGGGATCGATTACGAATTGGAAGAAGGTGCCGCAAGGTACTTCGTGAACGTCCTCCTTAATTACCTTGTCCTAATGGGACAAATAAATCGCGCCCGGTGTGTCTGGAAAGTTGCGTATGAAAACAAGCTGTTTCCTAAAGCTATTGTGTTCGATCAACATATCGCCTGGTCCCTCGATGTTCGGAATTTATCAGTTGGAGCAGCTCTCGTAGCTGTTGTCCACACATTACACAGGTTTAGAAAACGTATGCTTTACTACGGAGTTGTCCCGAGACGGATCAAACTAGTGACCGGTCCAACTTTGAAGATTGTGGTTGCGCAAATGCTAAGCTCATTGGAATCGCCATTTGAGATTAGTAAGGTTGTTCTTAGGGCTCCCGGGGACAATGTGCTCGACTGGTTTAAGAAACCGATCGTGCAGCAGTTCCTTTTGAACGAAATTCCGTTGAGATCCGATATCCTAATGCATAAACTCAATACATTGTTCCCTAGCTCAGCTCCTGAAATTCGATCTTTGTCCCCTCCAAAGCCTCTCATCGCCGGACGGGGAATGTAACTACGGAACTGCGCCGCGTCGATTACTCGAGGTATAAATATATATATATATTTGCTTCGATTCGTATGGTTATGGTGTTTGCGTTTTTTCTTGCAAAGATTATGACTTTAGATAGATATAAACTACGTTGTTTCGTATCATTCTGTTTCTTTTCAAAGTATGAGAGACAGAAGAATATGATGTGTGTGGGTCAGATTCATTTCCTCCCCTCCATTTTTATAGCATTTGTTGACTCATCTTTTGCAGAATAGGAGCAAGCAAACCGTCTTTAGTGGGAATAGTACATTTATGGCTTGATGCATTTGATTTTGATTTTGATTTGATTCTCCTATGTGATAATAATATCTAAGAAGAAGTAGAAATATCTTTATCTTTTTAGACTGAGTCGTCGTCGTCGTCCTGTTCCTTTTAATTTCTATCTTTTTCAGATGATCGATGATTATTATGCAGAATTATTGAAATTGAAATGATATATAATAATTGCTGTTTATGCCCATTTGGCCAGAAAAGACATACAACCAGCGCCCAGAAGAAGTGAGAGATGAGCACCCAATTGAAGCCTAATGCTGCTCTGCAATCTAGGGTTCATGAAATCTGCAGCTAATAAATCCACAAGTGCCATGTAAATCAAAATCCCAGCTGAAGCAGAGTTGAAAATCCCCTCGACAATCAGGGCTTTGGGGCTGTTGTTGTCTGTGTACGCGCTCGATATCCCGATGCCTATTCCGATTCCTATCGGCGTCGTCATTGAGAAGAACAGCATCATGATCGTCGTTGTCATCGATTCGAATTTCGCCTGCGAATTTCAGATAAACAAGTGGGGGTGGGGTGGGGTGGGGTCTGGGAATTACATTCTCTCCATTGATGATGACAACATTGTGGCAACATCATATAACTTTGCTGCTCTGTTATTACATATATAGAGTACCTGCGAGATGCAGCCGCCGAGCCCCAATCCTTCGAAGAATTGGTGGAACGAGAGGGCGGCGAGCAAGGGCTTGATCGTGGCGATGCTCGCAGACGCCCCAAGCGAGATCCCGATGATCACTGAGTGAACGACGATCCCGAGTTCAAGAACCTGGAAAAAGAAAAGCTGTCTTTGAGCAACAGAGGTAATGAACAAAATCGTCGTTGTCGTCGTTATGCATGTTAAATCGGGCGTACTTGCGATATTATGCGCTGTCGGATGAGATCAGACAGGCTCGGATCGTGCGACGCGCCATGCGCGTGGCCATGCGTCGCATGCGTGTGTACGTGGACATGGCCGGCGTGGCTGTCGCCGCCACCGCCGCTGCCGCCGTCCTCTTCGTCAGCGTTCACCTGCTTCGACGATGACGTACGGAAGTGCATTTTCTTGTAGAAGCTTGTCGCCACCGTGTCGACCATCAGCGTCCCGATTGCAGCCATCATGGCGACAAATCCCGTGAACGGGAACTTCCTCCACGGCGTCGCCGCGATGCACGGCGACGTCAGCGTGAAGAATGCGTCAGGGAGTATGTGGATAAACCCGGTGGCGAGTATAACGCCGGCAGCAAACGCTTTGATCATGAAGAACATGTCGTTCTCCGGCCGGAGAATTTGGAATCTCCGGCCGAGGATCGGGAGGCTGACACCGACTCCGCCGGCGGTAAGAACTGCGGCGATCGCGGCGAGTTTGATTTTGAGGGCGGCAGTCCTGTTTCCATGGCTGTCGCCGCCCTCCCGATCGGGGCGGCAAGTGCAGTCGGATGTCTCCGCCGCCGCCGATGATCCGACGGCGGCGATCGAAAAAAAGAGGAGGAGGGAGAAGAGAAGATGATGGTGGATGATCATTGAAAAGGGTGTGAAAAATGTGATAAGAGAGTGAGAGTCTTTTGTAGGAATGGAGGAGGGAGCAGAAGAATCTTTTTTTAGTGGAGGAATTGAGAGTAGTAAAAATAATAATGAATGGATGGAGGGTGAAGAAGAAAGGGGAGGGGTGTTTTGGTCATTTCAGGGGATGTATGCGTAGATGAGACTTGTGCTGCATAGGTGCGTGACTGACCGAAATATTAGGGCAAACTTTTTTTTTTTTTCTAAAATAAATGTAAAAATAATTATTAGGGTTTGTTGTGTTGGAACTGTTCTGGTTGAATTATGACCACATTATGTCTCGTCTCTAGTTTCTTTTTTGTGTTTCCTTTTTGGTGCACTGCACTGCACACACTATATTAAAAAAAAAAGAAAAAAAAACTTGTTTTGAATAATTTAAATAAAATATAATTATTAAATAATTAATAAAATATATTAATAAAATAATTATAAATTTTAAAATATAATTATATTTAAAAAATTTATGTAGGATTCAGAAAAGTAAAAAAATAATTAATTATTTTAGAAAACAATACTACTAGTAATGATGATTGATTGATTGGTTCAGGCTGTGTGTTCATTGCTTATTATCTACAAATTTGTGTCATAAAAGTTGATTGCGATAGTTTTAAATAAATAGTAGGTTTTTTACTAAATATTTTAAATAAAAATGAAATATTTAATAAATTTTTTAAATGATGTAAAAACAAAATTAAAAATATTTGCCTAAACTATAAGTTAATATTAGGTTAAACTGCACCAAATCCACCTGTGGTTTCATAAGCACCAAATTCTTAATACTTTTAAAATTACGTCAAACTTTCTCGTAGTTTCATAAACTCTGCGTTTAACCCCTCAGGGGTCCTTATTTAACAGTATTTACGCTCAAATTGCAAATAAATTTTAGAATTTCAATTTCTAAACCCCTAAAATTACAGATATATTTATTTTTTATATATTTAGCCTAAAAAAATAGTAAAAATAAATTCTTAAAACCCAAGAAAAATAACTATTTTTGAGTATATTTACTATTTTTTTAGAGTAAATATTAAAAAATAAATATATTTGTAAATTTAAGGGTTTAGAAATTGAGATTCTAAAATTTATTCGCAGTTTGAGCGCATTTAGGTCAAATATCGTTAAATAAGGACCGCTAAGGGGGTTAGACACAAAGTTTATGAAACCACGAGGGAGTTTGACGCAATTTTAGAAATATGGGGATTTAGTGCAATTTCATGAAACCACGGGTGAATTTCGTGCAATTTAGCCTTAATATTATTACTTTTGTTTTTTTGAGGAAATCACGTACTCGATTTTTATAGTATATTATAAAATAATAACATTTTATTGATTAATAAATATGTGTAATAGAATTTTGATATTTTTATTATTTGTTTTTTATATATATATTTTAAGAGTATATTTGTAAATTATATAAAAATTAATAGTGTTTTGATATTAATGTATATTTATTTTTACTTTAATAAAAAATAAATATTTTTTAATGAAATAGATAAAAATAGTAATTTCAGTTTAAATGGAAAAAAAAAAAAACTTGTTTAATTTTTCTTACTAGTAGATTAAATGTTTGGTGGAACCTGGAGTGAAGTAGTATAAGTTTGCTTCATTGTCATTCTTTTTTTTCAATTGTTGATTATTACAAATTTTATATAAAATATGTTTTAAATGCAACATTTTTTATGAGAGAAATAAAACATGCAACAATTAAATATATATATATATATACTAATGAAGATTATTAGTTTGTGTTCAGTCGAAGGATTTTGGCAAAATTTTACTATTCATTCAATTTTCTCTCAAAAAATATTAAATCAATCACCTATTTTTTTATTTTTTATATTATACTAAAAATTAATTTTACATTCAAAACATCACATCAACACCTATTTATTTAAAATCATACAACTATTACAATTTAAAAATTTTTACTATTCAAATCTCAACTCAAAATCCAAACTTCCAAACAATTTTTACTATTCAATTCAAAAATTTTACTATGATGTAAAGTTGGTTTGGTTTTAATTTGAATTTGAATTTGAATTATTTTTATTTAAATAATAATAATATGATAAAAAAAATATATTATATTTTTATTATAAATTAATTTTAATTTGAAATAAAAACAAAACACACTTTAGCATTGTTGAAAATTTAATTAGAATAGGGAAAGGGGTTAAAGTGAAAGAAAATGGTTTTTAATTCTAAAAAGTTACTTTAGAAGGAAGCAAAAAGATGTCGTCATAGCTAAGTGTTTTTCACTAAACCTACAAAACCTCTTTTGCCATTATGTCCTCATAATGTCGTTATTTCCTACTTTTTGCTGTTTCTTTATTATTATTATTATTATTATTATTATTATTATTATTATTATAAATTATAAATTATACGCCTCCTCTTTTTATTCCTTTTATTTTAGTATTTTTGTCTTTTTAATAAACTATCAACTTCAACGTGGATATGCATATGCACCTATAGATTAATGGTTAAAAGATACAAACCTAAATTCTCTAGTTGCTTTTAAATTATTATTTGTTTTTTGCTCTATATTTCTTATGAAATTTGCATAAAATAGGGGTTGGTTTGGGAATGTTTTTTTTTGAAAATTTTAATTTGAATTTGATAATAAAATAATCATATAAGATATTTTGTGAGAAAAAAAAATATATATATATATACTCTATCCGTGACAATCTATCCATTATTTCATTTTAGTCCGTCTCATAATAAAGTATCTACCTAACATTACAAATTTCCTTTCAATTTACAATATATTACACAAATGTTATTACGTTTATATCATACAATATTAATATGGTTAATTCAGTCTTTTTACTTTTATTTCTATTTTATCTCAATATAATACTAATATTTCTAAAATTCCGTGTAAAAAACAAATGAATATATAGATATGGGATAGATGAAGTTTTTCTTTATTTTTTTTTCGAAAAATACCGAATCCAAATAGTAGAAACAAACGGTTTATTTTGTCTCAAAGCTCCAATCTATGTATTTCATAATTAAATATTTATAAAAATAATGATTGATCCATAAATATTTATAAAAAAATTGGTCAGCCCATGGACTAAATTGGGATGACTGGTTCTGGGCCAGTCCATAAATAAGTAAATAGTAATAAACAAACGAGCTACAGTACTATTTTGATATATACTTTTTTATTTAAAATATTCAATTATTTAAAAAAAAAAATTATATCCAATATTTTGTATTCAGAAAATACGTTTGTTTGATTATTTTTCTCCCTCACATATTCACTATAGCTATAGTAATATATATTTTCCCTTATTAAATTATTCTACTATATGTATATTTTAAGTTAATATATTAAATACAAAATTATATTCATTACAAATATTACATCAGCTATTCATTTATATCATATTAATCAATTTTCAATTAAAAAAATTATTATTACCAAAATACATCAAGACACCAACTTACAAACTAACAAATCGTTATTTTTACACAAAGGTTTATTATTTTTCAAAACTATCTAAAATAATTGAATATTCAAAAACAAAAATAGACTCTAATAGTTGAAGTTTGATTTTGTTTCTTTTTCTATGAAAAAATTTATTTAAAATACATTATATATATATATATAAATGCAATATTCAAATCACTATTTAAAATCAAATGTCAAAATACAAATCAAATTTAAGTATTGAGTTGTTAACTTCATGTTTCTACTATTTTTCAGTAATAATATTTTTTTTCAATAAAATATATTAAATATACTTCTTTCGTCCAATTGAAATTGTACAATTTTCTATTTTCGTTCGTCTCAGAATAAAGTTATCATTTTTTAATTTAGTAATTGTCATTATTTTTACAATTTACAGTGTATTACAATGTATTTAGTAAATACACAAATGTTATTATTTTTACATAATAAATACATTTTCAATTTACAATATATTACACAAATGTCATTATTTTTACCTTACACGTGCTAACATGAGTATTTTTGTCTTTTTATTACAATTCAATATAATACTAATATTAAAAAATCTACGTGTAAAAAAACAAATGTCACCCTTCAAATAGGACGAAGGGAGTATTATTTTTTGAAGAAAAAAAAGGAGAAAAGTTTGAATAGGGTAAAGGTGTGTTTGTTTAGAAGATTGTATTTTAAATACACTGTTCATTTCAATTTTTCCCTAAAAAATATCAAATCAAACACTTATTTTTTATTTTTATATTATACTAAAAATTAATTTTACATTTACAACACCACATCAACATCTATTTATATCACATCATACAACTATTCAAATTTAAAATTTTTACTTCTCAATCTCAATTCAAAATCCAAAACACCTGTAAATAAACATCAAATTTTGGTTAAGAAACGATGACTCGTCAACGACAGGGTAATTTGGTAGTTGTATTAAATGAAGGAGGGTACTTTAGTAATTGCACATCATTCAAAAGGCGTAGCTATGGCGGTGCCTTTTTTGAGCATCAACGGTAACATCTTCGTACAAACTTCACTATTTGTTTCGCGTTTGAAATCTGCCTCAAATCGATCTCTTCCAAACCAATGTAAAGTTTCTTTTCATCAATCTTCTTGTGTTTTTGCTTTAGATTGATTTTATCTCGTTTTGGGTTTTGCATTTCTTGAATAATATATATAGTTTGCTTCCGGATGAGAAGGGAAATTCAAAGTGTTTGGACTTGAAGCCTGGGAAATATATTCAAATTGGAGGAAGGAATCTGACAGAACGAAGCTCTCATTTGATTTCTGAAACGGAGATCTTGCCCGACGGAAAGTATGGTGGCCGTCAAGGTATAATTATTGAAACCCTAATCTTGTTTCCAGTCTCCTGCACTCGTTATTTTGTACGCCTTCTTTTCTTTTTCTTTTTTTTTTTTTTTTTTTTTAAGAGTTTTGTTGACTAATGAATGTCGATAGAAATCCTTACTCTAGTGAATATGCTGTTTGTATTCTTATTACAAGTGGAGGATCTGCTGTATTTTGGGGCCTATAGCTCACTCTTTTATCATCTGTTTTGATGATTTGTTTGTTTACTACATGTAAAAGTGAAACCATAATTCGTGTATCTTCTTGACAAATTAGGGGAGATTGAACTCAATTACGGAGAAAGTGACCCAAGACAAGAAAATTAGCAACAAGGGTAAGTAATGTGTAAACTCAGTTGCTCTTTTAGTTCGTGTGCATTAATGCGTTACTCTTAATTGTATGATTTATTTATTTTCTTGAGATAGGTGAAGCAAAGAAATTCAAGATTTATGCGGAAGGTGAGAAAGCCAAAAACCGTGACACTGTCAACAATGCTGCAAAGTAAGTTTTTAATCATTGTTGTTGTTTGGATCTTCGTATCATTATCAAGTTTCTTGTTCTGGTGTGGTTAGGATGTTTTCTTTTACCGTTCTAAAATAGCTTGTGTGTATCTCAAATCTGTGTTTTATAATACTGTTTTGTTATTTTGCCTTTTAGAATGGTAGAATTTTTCTCTTCATCCTGTCTCATTGAGCCCTTATGTTGCTATCCTTGTTTTATTATATATTACAGAGGAAAATCAATTCTGCGTGACAGTGGAAGCTATTTTACGAATGTTGGCAATTCGAAGGTTGGCATTTTTCTAGCTTACATATGTAATTTGGTCTGTATGGCACAGATTTCTAACCATTTTCACTTAACTGATTCATTTTCTTTTCCTATTGTAGAGTGGCATCAAGAATTTTGAGAAGGGGAAAAGCAAAGTATATAATTCTGGTAAATGTGAATTGACGGCACCTGAAGAAATGCTGTCTTTACTGCTTGTTAAAATATTGTCTTTAAAACTTGAGCTCATTGCAGGAGAGTCAGACGTTGGAAGAAAAGTTTTGGCTGATATCAGCAATGTAAGGGGCAGTTTCTTGAAATCTCAACAAGGAAAATACACTAGGCCTGGGTATGTGTTCGCAATTGCCTGCAACTGGAAGAAACATCTTAGCTATATCATTCTTATTACCATCTGAAATAATATTTTAGATAAGTTTGTGCATATGTGTACTTGTTCAAAACAGCTGGGCAGTGCTATTGTTTGAACAATCATTGAGAAATGTAATTGCATTTCCGATCGTGGGCATTTACATTTCACCATTTCTCTCACAATGAAAAAATGTTTTAGGAAAAGACGAATAACAAAGACAAATAACAAGCTAAAAGACTTTGTCGTTGATGAATGCTTATTTTTCTAATGCATTACCTTACTGCAGGAAGGGCAAAAGTGAGATTCTGTTGCGTCCACAGAGGTATGTACTGATGACTTTGAGTTGCAATGGTTTGAAAGATTTCTTTTGTTTGATGCATCTCTTTTATCTTTTGCAGAAACCGCAAAAGTGAGATGATGTGTCGAGAAAGGTAATTTTGGTAAATATTGGATATGTTTTTCTTTGCAACGCTATAGCATAGAGCCTCTCTTTCAAAGTGTCAGATTCAGATGCATTTTGCTTTAGATTTTTGTTAGGTTCTATCCTATCTATTGTCTTATTGGTATTACATCTAATTTATTTTTAGTCACTTGGATGCTGCTGGCTTGGGCAACATGGAAGGAACTTCATCGAAGAACTCATTAAGGGTATGGAATGGATACTAGCTGATCTTAACCTTTAGCTTGTACTGCTGTCCCATATCTTATGGTGTTTTAAACCCTCAATTCAATATGCCTTGCTACTGAATTTTCAAACACTAAAACCTTCAGTATCATTAGAATTGAAGTTGGATATTCACATGATTTGAATTTCAGACAAATTCAATACCAAGTCATTGGTTTTAGTACTTCAATTTTGACTCTAAAGTCAATCAATTTGTGAAAAGAACTTGGAATTCAGGGGTTCGATTTGGATTCATTTGAATCTACATATGCAATATGTTTTAAGTGTTAAAAGTTGCAATTGTCATTTTCAAATACTTGATAGATAGTTTATTTTTATGGTTTATTTATTTATGTTTAATCTAATTAATTATGGAAGTGATAGATATGGGTGTAATCTATAATTGTGGCAACATGCTCTTGAGAGTTGGATCCAGTAAAGCATGCATACGTGGTAGGCTTCAGGGAGTTGCACGTTCTAAATCATAAATAGCAATATGAGATTTAATGAAGAAATACTTCTGCTGATTATAAAATGGTTTATGGTTCTTGAAAAACAATCCTCCTTGACATATGGTAATTTAAGGAAAATGAATCAGGAGATCTTGAATGCACTTTTAAAAAAAAATAGTTACCAGAGAATGCCTTGATATCTGAAACTATTTGATTTGCTGCTTTCACTGTCATGACATCTATAATGATTCATAGAACATAGTTATGCTGGACTTGACATTCTTGTTCCAGCATGTTTTAACAAATTTTAGATAAAATTAAACCCTGCAATTAACATTGTAACAGGGAAGCAGTAGACCAGGCCTGATTCAAGCTACTGAAGGCAATCAAACTTTAAAGAAGTGTAAGTAATATTTTGTTTTTCTTTGTCACCCAAATCAATTAAATTTCTTTTATGTTTGTGGTATAATATAGCATCGTATGAATAACAGCTATCAGAAAAACTGTCACCTCACACGAGCCAAGTACCAAATTTCAAGGCCGTAGCATTTCAACCACAAATGTTGGGTATGACAACCTAAATAAACTGTAAATTAACATTGCTTGATTGGTTTTCCAGTGTCTAAAACATTTTGCTTTTATATATACCATGTTTGAGATCTTCCTTTCTTTTCGATTGCAGGAAATGTGTTAAAAAGCCACCCTATTTGACAAGGTTTCAGATATGATTTCTATTTGTGTTTATTTGCTTAGTCATGTGTAATTGAGTTTCACTGCCATTGACATGTTATTATTGTTTATGTTGGGTTGAAGAAAATCCATGCCAGTATTAAAGCAGACCAGACAGATAGAAACAAGCGGCTCGGCAAAGGTATATATAACTTTATGGGATTTGTGGCCTTGTGTTTTATTCACCATTTTCCCTGAGATAGCTCCACTTAATGCTACTGCAGAAAAATTCTGAAAAATTATCTAGAAGAAAACCTGGCTTCCCTGGTGAATTTTCTACCAAGCTCAGTTGATGACATTAATATTTCCTAAGAGATAGTCATGAACATGATGAAAATAATTGTTCTTGCCTGCAGTTAAACCCAGGCAAAGTTCTGCACCAAAGACAAGCAATCTCAATCACCGACCTTGGGGAAATAGAATCAGTGATGGATTTGTTTTATTGTAAGTGATGTTAATATTTCATAATATTTATATGAGGTGCGGTGATTGAGTTACTATAAGTACTTGAATCACTTTTATTTAGTGTTTACTTGTTATACTGTAATAACAGGTATTGCCACCTTCTAGGAGAACACAGCATTGATTGTTTGAGTTACACTGTCTCCCATATCATCTTCCAGCACTTAATCGTTTATAGAACATGTGGTGAATGTAGTGAGTAATTGGTTTTTGTGTGATAGGGATACCAATTTTGAGTTTCACTGCAAAATTGGTGCTCCTGAATTAAGAACATGTAGCATCATGGGTTGACATCACAAACATTGCTTATCAATTTGCAATATATAAAAATATTGGGCAATCATGTTGCATTTATTTCATGCTATGCTATTAAAATAGTTTCATGGTGTGTGCTTCTCTATTTAATAATCTTTGAGTTAGCAGGGATTAAGTTTCAAGGTTTCTACCTAAATGCTTAGGAACGGTTTAAAATGCCAAAATTTGTATCGGGACTGGCTGATATCACGGCATGCTTTTTAACATTTATAAAATCACTGAACTAATTAGCTTACAGGGATTCAATTTTATGTTTAAGAAAACAATGCTTAAAAGTTTATGAAGAAAAAAATTCATAAGGCAGAGTTCTGCCTGTTACATATACGATGTTATCATAAACCTAACCCTGTCCTTGAATAAAATAGGGTCAATTTGGTTGTATAGTCTATTCATTCATCACAATCGCATGTTTTTGTCAGGCAATCAAGATCTCAAACTAAGTTGAAATCTGGAGCCTTATCAAGAAAGTCTATCAAAGTAAGTGAGGCAGTGTCTTTCCATTGCAGGAGCAGTTAACCGTATATTGGATTCTGTTGTTGCTTAGTTAATATATGTTGATTCAAAACCATACGCTGATGAACTTTTTCCCTCTTTCTCATGAGTTCCTATGAAAATTAAGGTAGTCAATAATCTATTTTAGGAATAGTAATATCAAGTTAGTAATGTTCACATGTTGTATATTATTATGTCAAAATGAAAAGGGCTAATGGATGATTGAAAGTTATGTTGAAAAAGGATTTATAAGTTATTTTCAACTACTACCTGTTGTTAACTGAAGGTTGCCATGGTTTGTATCTTACTAACAAACTATCCTGTTCCAATGTCCAGCCTGCTGAGAAATCTACCAACACAGCGCTTACGACTCAGGTGAATTCAAGATCAACTCATATGACTATCAAGAAATTCAGGCCTGAGCCTGTTGATATACACAAGAGAAAGCAGGATAGTTCTTCCGTGTCCAAGGACATTCCTGTGGACCAAGTTGAAGCTGCTCCAAAAGAGGATACTTCTGGAAGTGCTCTGCCAAAAAGAAAATCTGGTCGAAGAAGTTCATTTATTTCTTCGTTAATGTCTACATCAAAGGTAGTAGTTACACACACTTCAAATTAGAAGCATTCATTTCTCATCACTTGATGCTTATCTCTGGCATGAATTTGCAGTCCCTTAAGGAATGTGGCAAAGTTACTCCTCAGGAAGCATTGCCTAGTATTTATAACGAGCTCAACCCTCTCGAAGTCAGTGATTATGTGGATGATATATATCAGTACTATTGGGTTATGGAGGTTAGTTATATATCCCATTTGATTATTCTCATAGTGTAAGCTTGTTATTAATTTTTGCTTCTAACTTCTCTTCTTGTGCTGCTGCAGGGACAAAATTCTTTACTGAAGGACTACATGTCCATACAGAAAGATGTTACACCAAATATGCGCGGCATACTGATAAATTGGCTTATTGAGGTCATTTTCCTCAGCACATTATTCATTTCTTTTCATTTATTGGTCTTAGAAATCCTTCATTTGCTTACAATTGTTACTCTTACAGGTTCACCAGAAATTCGATTTGATGGAAGAAACTCTATTCCTCACTGTCACGCTCATAGATCGGTACCTATCCCTTGAGGTTATTAAGAAAAATGAATTTCAAATGGTTGGCCTTACGTCTCTTCTATTAGCTTCAAAGTATGAAGACTTTTGGCATCCCCGGGTAATTTTGTTTGAGAATTTATCAGCTAGAACAATTTAATAGACTTCCCAAATTATACACTGCATACAAAGATCTCCAGAAGATGGATATCATATCTTCTTGCTTAGTTCTCATTCATTTCCATAGGTTTCCGACTTGATAAGCATATCGGCTGAGTTATATACAAAGGATCAAATGCTTGAAATGGTGGGTGCAAGCAAATTTATGCAATCCTAGTGAATTTAGCGATACTTTGAGAGCCATTAAAAGGATTAATGGTTTCTTGAATTTCAGGAGAAGATGATTTTAAAGAAACTTAAGTTCAGGCTTAACGAACCAACTCCCTATGTCTTCATGCTCAGGTTTATAAAGGCTGCACAATCAGATATGAAGGTACCGGCTAACGATTTTCTGTGTATCTTGAGTTATAGCTTCAGTTTCCATTGCTTTGCCATGAATTCATGAGATTGCTGTTTATCCCAGCCGATTAATCTATTCTCTGCATCGATTTCCAGTTTGAACAACTTGCCTTTTACCTCATCGAGTTATGCTTGATTGAGTATGAAGTGTTGAACTTCAAGCCATCGATGCTATGTGCTTCTGCCATCTATGTTGCACGATGCACATTGCTGATTTCCCCACCATGGACACCCCTCCTCACCGAACACACACGCTACAAAGAATCTCAAATCAGGTTTGCAGTGTCAGATATTGCTTAATCCACGAAGCTCATGTTTGGCGACAATTTAATAAAACTATATGAAATTCCTGCACAGGGCTTGTGCCGAACTGATTCTTAAGTTCCACAAGGCAGCCAAAACAGGTCTGCTGAAAGTCACATACGAGAAATTTATTACTTCTGATCGCTCCAAGGTTGCGGCTATAAGTCCCCTAGACAGGCTTCCTTTAGTTTGATTCAGATTTGCAGTGTTCTTCATGGCTATATCACTTCCACACAAATATATAAGAAGAAATTAAACTGTAAGTACTCCTCTCGTGTTTTTATCCCTTTTGTCGAACTTAAGACTCACTAATTTTGCAAAATGGACCTCGCAGGATGCTGCTAGTCATGTAAACGGGGATGTATACGTTGCTTTTTCAAGATTCAAAATGGTGGTATGAATTTTATTACATCGCCTGAGGATCTATAGCTTTAGAATCTGTATAAGCTCATACTGTTATGATCACTCGGCCTATGATTTCTTGACTACTGAATCACTTATATTCATTCCAACTATTTAGATATGAGATTCCATGCTATCCTATCCTACAGTTTGCCTGTAAACATCAAATCTACATAGTGAGTGTATTGTGATATTAGTATTGTTTGTATCAGCTCTTCATTTATATTTCAACCCACATTCTGCTTTCAACCATAACTTTTAGATGCCATAGAAATGACCATAGGAAAGAACTAATAATAACGAACACTTCAGAACCAACACTACACTATTCATTCATTCTACATCACTGCAATGCATTTTCTTGTAAACCTTATTTCATATCTCTCAAATCTACTTATCGAACATATATGTTCTTCATAAACATCACACTATATACAAAGAAGATATATATATATGTATGTATGTATGTATGTATCTAAATAGCATCATATCTTCTAGTGTAGATAGATATAGTCAGTCATATAGCACCATGTAAGAAAGTAGAAGCCAACCTTACCTCTCCCACTACAAACATGCCGCGAAACAATCCTGCGGCAAAGCCAAACCCTGTCTATCGACAGTCTCTTTAACAGCCCTGTAGAACTCAACCCACGAGCACGAATACCAGCCGTGCTCGTGGTCGTGCTCCCACATGAATGTTGGATTAGGACTAGCAGGGCACGAGGCAGCAACAAGGTCCAAAACCGAAGTTGCAGGCCTCAATGTGTGTGGGAAATTGAAAGCGAAATTGTCGACCTTGTGCTCGTATATCTTGCCATTTCTATCGAGCTTATAGCGGGAGGTGCCCTGGAACTCCCCCTTGGCTTCCCAAGGGACCCTAGGGACACCCCTGAGGTTCCATCTGATAAGAATCATGTTCTCAGATGGCTGCCAGACCCGTAGAACATCGAAAGAGATGTCCCTGAACAGAATCCTGCCATGGAACCTTAATGCCCAGAAGATGAGCTTGTACTTGTCTATCCCTGTGAAGCTGTTCAATGGGTCACTGAATGTTATGTCATCCCTGTCCAAATAACTCGAAAGTTAGATCAAATCCATCTAACTAAAACAAAAAAATACTCTTATATATATATATATGTTTGTATGTATGTATACCTGTAGATGTTGTAATTGAGGTCTTTGGTGAAGAGAAGGGGGAGGTCTTGCCGGAGGGTGCGTACGGCCAGCCCTAAATTGAGGTAGAATTGATTTCTTTGGTCGTCGTCTTGGTGGTGTTGGTGCGTGGGGGGTGGGGTGGTAACCTGCGCCGCGCTGCGGATGGTGGTGGTGGTGGTGGTGGCGGCGGCGGTGGAGGAGGAGGACAGTGGAAGAAGAAGAAGAGGGATTGAGGATGAGGGCCTGTTGTTAGAGTAGTCTTTGGGATGGAGGGGGAGAGTTGGAGGAGAAAGGTTTGGCATAACATTAACATACGCCGCCATATATGTATATATCTATCTATCTATCTTTCTTTCTGAACTTACTTTCTTCTTCTTCTTCTTCTTCTGTATTCCTTTCTTCTTGTTGTTTGTTATGTTGAGGTTGAGGAAATGGGGATTTTGATTGTTATTGATGATGGAAAAAGGGGGGTTTTTGATTTTGTGGAAGGGGGAATTTCGGGCGTGGCCAGGATTTGATTTTGCTATTTCTCTGTCTGTGTGTGTGTGTAGGAGAGACACGAGGAAGAGAAGAGTGGCTGGCTGGCTGGGGCTGTTGTTGGTCATAGTTGGTTTACTTTTCTTGAAAGAAATTAGTAATAAAATAAAATAAAATAAAATGAGCAGCAGATGATGTGGTCATTTGCTATTCAACGGATAAGATTTGATTGTGCCCAGCCCCACGATTGCCATAAGAACATCACACTCATTTCTACAAACACAAAATCCTCCAAAATTTGACATTTGATTAAAAAATAATAATATAAAATAATTGTACATATAATAATATTTTTATAATTTAAATAAAAATTAAAATTATTTTTAAGTTTGAAATTAGAAAATAGTAAAAGTTAAAATTAAAATAGAGAAACACATTGTCAATAATATAAGATTCTAATGAATAATACTATAATAATTTAATTTAATAGTATAATTGAATAATTTAAAAATGATCATTATTTCTATTTAATAACATACTTAAAATTTAATTTTTGTTTACATGATATTTTAAAATTTTGGTACTGTCATATTATAGTAGCATGACAATGTTTTTTGCCATAAGCATTAAATTTGGCCCAGTCATCTCATCTTTTGATTGAGTAGTAAAAAGAAAGGTTTAAAGTGCCAATGAAACAAATTTCAACTGAAAATTTAAATTGTGTTACTTAACAAAAATCTCAACAAACTAATGTGTTATTTTAGTATTTAAAGTTTGTTGGGATTTTTGTTAAGAGTTTGTTTTATTATATTTTCTCCATGTAAATTTAATAATTCCTTCTTTGTAAGGTTTACTTTTTGCACGTAAATTTGATATTTGTGTAGGTGTATTTATTATATTAGATATGTAGTACAATTACTAAATTAGAAAATAACACCTAATTTTGAGACTGGAAAAAATTGAAAAATAAAACTCCTCTTTATGTGAAGGAGAAAGTAATTTTTTGCTTCCATAACATAGAATTATATATTTATCTATTTATAATTATTAATTCCTCAAAATAAGCTCATTTGGTTTTATCACAAATTTTAATACAGTGTTACTTTTTTTATATAATAAAAATATTAAAAAAGATAAAAGTAGTATAAATAAATAAGAAAAATAAACTTTTATTTTAATTACAAAACGGCACTTCCCTTCGCATATTCCCATAAGACTATAGACACATTCTATAGCATATTCCACAGGCACGCACATGCATATTATGTTATAATAATAGTTATATAATATGATATAAGAATTGATATAATATTTTAAATATAAAAATATATTTTAATATAATAAATAAAAACACTAACATTAATACTATTATATATGGGTTCATTAGCAGCAACTCGTTGCAATCAAAAATTAATTTTAGGCATATATATATATATGCAAGAGGAGGACAAGATGAAGGATCACACCTTGCTATAGTGCTCAGGTCTGTGCGTGAATTCGAAGTCGATATGAACAAAGGCTCGCTCCACCTCCGGGAGCTGCTCCAGCTTTTCTTGCAGCGTCTCGCCGATATTATGGGCTTTGTTCAGCGGCATATCCTCAGGCAACACAATGTCGACCTCGGCAAAGTAATGTGACCCAAAAGTGTACGCTCTGACGGTGTCGATGTGCCGGATTTCCTCGTCGTGGTTCCATATTAGGTACGTGAGTTTCGTGAGGAAATCCGGAGGAGCTGTTCTGCCTATGAGGGATCGAACATTTTCGACCACAGTTTTAGCCCACGTGTTGATTGTGTATAGCGCAATCTGCAGCGTTGAGGTAAGAGATGTTAAGCATGCATGGCGGCATTGTCGTTTGGATTATTGATGAGATTAAGTTAAAAGTAAGCTCACGATTATGGCGCCGGTGGGATCGATCCACCAGCTGTACCGGACTGCTAGAACAGCCGTGGCTAATCCGATGGAGTTGGTGATGACATCGAAGAAATGGTCCTGGGCGTAGGCTTGGACGATTTCATTCTTGAATCTGCGGCAATACATCATGAGTAGGAATTTCACTGCGGTCACGGATACCATTATCCCAATCATCCACCTCTCCTCGTCGCGGTTCATTTTAGGACCAGACTGTTGGTAAGCAAGGATTATGGATCTTGTCGAGCAAATTTAGCAATGATCGATTGAATGAATGAATGAATACCTGTGTGATGAATTGGCGGACGGATTCGAGTATTATCTGCAATCCTAGAGTTGCCATTACAGATGCAAAAACGATGATTCCCTGCGAGTAATGCATATTACAAAAGGGCAACATCATGAACACTAATTAGCATTGTGCATTTAGTAGGTGATGAAGTTATAAAAGCCTTGAGACTTTACCACAGGTTGCATTCGTTTCTTTCCGATCGGGTAGTGATACTGATTTGGATTCCTCATGGCATGAGAAGTGAACCAGAGTATCAGTCCAGACAAGAGGTCGAGGAAAGAATCCATTGTCGATGCAATCACAGCCAGAGATCTGCTCTCGACAGATGCGTACAGTTTTGCGGCGAAAAGGATCAGATTAGCTGCGTTTGACATATTGACAGCCATTCTCTCGCTCCTGGCGAGCTCTTTCATTTCATCCTGAGAGAATTTGAGCCGAGTAAGGGAGAAGAAAGACACAACAATGTTCTACGTGAATTAGACAGTGTAAGGAAGTAATTTTTTTCAACGAAGGATAACAATGGCGTAGAGCTTAGAAAGGAACCTCAGTTAGTGCATCTGGTACGCAACCAGATTCATGAATAGCCTCCATTGCAGTGAATCCTTCCAGGAGCCTTTCCTGGTTCTTGTAATACTCAGCAACTTTTCGTTGTTTTCCTGACAGAGCAATTTTCACCCAAATTCAAAATTACAAATAATTCAATCACACCATAGCAGGTAATAGTATAGAAATAATCCTGCAGCGAATGTCATCACATATGGTAAAATAATGAATTCATTCATGGCGTTGCCACCGGAAGTCATTGCAGAGACAAAGGATTCGTTCCAGAAACTTGCTCTAATTATACACATTATTTATTTTGATTGGAATAACATTGAGGTTCATTCATCATTAAAGTCAAGCATATCGGATTTGTCTAGATTTTCCTAAATTACACCTAAGTCAGGCAACATATCAGAATTGTATAGTTCTCCTAAATAACACCGAAGTAGGTATATCAAAATTGTCGAGATTTCCTAAAGAACACCGAAGTCAGGAATCTCGGATTTGTCTGGTATTCTCTCATATTCGGAGTACGTTTGAAATTCGTCAGAAAATTAACGGTCAATGCTAAGAAATTCATCACCAATTAAAGATATTATTCTCTCTGTAGAAATATTCACACTTATAGAACCACAGGATCCTATGGATTTATAGAGTATAGAATACAGAACTATCTGAAAACAGAAAATTTGTTGAAACGGTAAATGCAAAGCATCAGTGAATATCTCTTCGGATAATTTCTCAGGAAAAAACAAGGAATTAAGAGGAAAACAAACTGAAACACTTTCCACATAATTAGTATGTATGGCCGAGATCCGGTAAAAGATTTCTCTCTTTTAATATTCAAAAAAAAAAAAAGTAGGCTACCATTCCTAACACTTCTCTACTGTTACCCTAATTCAATCTTGATAGTGATATGAATTCGATTCTCATCGCGTAAACAAATTCCACTTCAATTCTAAAGCATCATCTACGAGTTAACCACACAGCACATATAAGTAGAAACGCAAACGTGCATGCTCACACACGCAGTACACACATACTCTTATTGCGAAGTAGGCGTTGAAGATAGGAAGGCTGGTGAGGACGATTATCGGAGCCTTTTTCCGGTATCCGGAACTCATTGATGTTCAGTCTCCACGACCGTCGTTCCCCATCGATCTCCGCCGCATCTCCCAGCAACTCCCGGCGACTTTCTCCGCCTCCAACTCCACCGCCGCCGCTCTCCATTCCTCAAATTTCAAATTCTCCTGAAAAATTTATACACACTTCTCAAAAACTCGCACTTCACTTTTACAGTTGAGACTGAAACCGCAAGGAAAGACTACCCTCTCCCCTCCAGCACGGCTATACCATATATATATATACACACATACAAATATATGCGTGAAGAAACAATGCGGTATGCGTGCCCCCTATTTATTGGCAGAAATATCCAAACATCTCAACGATAAAAAGTAAAATAAATAATAATAATAATAATAATAAATAAATCCTTTTGCATAGGGTTTGGCGGGACGGACAATCTGGTGCCCTGTCCCGTCCCGTTCCGTTCGAAAGAAATTTAGTAGTAATTTTTTTAATTTTAATTTTAATATTTTATAATAAGTAATCATATATATATATATATACAGTTTTTTTTATTTTTTTGTCTCGTAGAACTCACATTCTATTCAAAATTAAAGTCCCTAATGTATTTTTTTGATGAGTTTTGAAAAAGTTTTGTTTGAATTTAGCATTAAATAGTGTATAATATAATGTTTTTTGTTAAAAAAAATATAAATTTCAAATATAAAAAATTAAAGTTTGGATGTAAATAAAAAAAATAAAAATCAATTGTATTATTTTGACTATCAAAATAAAAGATTGAGCCTATCTATAGTTACTATGAAAATACTCAATAAATCAAAATCAGAATAATCTAATCTAATGGATAATTAAATTACAATCCAAATCAACTAAATTTATTATAAATCAATCAAAACTAATCTAATTAAAATAATAATCTATATCTAAATTTAAAATATCTCACCATTACATTTTTATTCTTTTGAAGTTTAATTTTACATTTTTAAAAACAAAATCAAACTTTTTTTTTTAAAAAAAATTATTTTGTATTTGGCAAAAGAAAACAAGATCTCATAAGGAAAGCAATACGTAGAAAATATTTAAAAAGCTTTTTTTGTACGTGTGAATGATGAAAACTAAAGGCCTATTTATAGGCCATCCAATTCCGTCAAAGGAAAATGTCCATAATCAATGATTCCAAAAATAAAATTAAATTAAAAAATAAGAAATTACAATTAAAGCAAAATCATCTCATCAATATAAATAGAGTTTTATTTAATCCTATTATTAGATCCCAGTTTAATGTTTTTATATCATTCTTTTTAAACTTTATTATTTGAGTTTGTCTTTTTATATATATATATATATATATATATTGTTGAGATATTTAAGATATTCAATTTTAGATTTAATAGATTTATATCTAGATTTGATTTTATTTATAGATTAGATTACTTAGATTTGAGTCTATCGAGTCTATTCTGTATTGCCTATATATATAGGCTCATTATTTTGATGATCAAAAGACAATCTCATTATTTTCCCCCAAAATTTCTAACATATATTTTTTACAACATATATTATTTAAATATAAAATTTAAATAAGTATGTCTCTTCGGAATCTTCTTTCCAATACCTATTTGTTAGACTTTACATATATATATTTTATTAAATATCACATCAAATATTAATTTAATACAAAATTTTAACCTTTTTTTTTTCAATCCAAATCCAGAAGAATACTTATGTCAAATTTATAAGTCAAATTCTAGTTCTAGTTTGGCCAATATAGTAAAATTGTTACATGAGCTAGCAAACCCGAATATTGATTGTTTGAGCTCGACTCGAATATGCTAATGGTACAAGTTTGATTATATTTGCTTAAGATTCGAACTAAAATGATAATTCACTAGGCTCGTTAGGTTGGATTTCAAGCTAAAGTTTGAAACTTAAATTTAAAATACTCCCTCCGTCTTTTGAAATGTTACTATTTCTATTTTCGTATGTTCCAAAACAATGTTACTATTTCCTAATTTAGTAATTGTATCATCTACTTAACATAATAAATATCCTTTCAACTTACAATATATTACACAAATGTCATTACTTTTATATTACACCATACTAACGAAAGTATTTTCTTTTTTTGTCTTTTTTACTATAATTCAATATAATACTAATATTCAAAAATTTACGTGCAAAAATGATATGCCACCTTCCAACTGGACGGAGGAAGTATATATTATGTAGTATATTTTTTAATGTATAAATTACATATACTTCTATTCACAATTTATTATAATAAAATATTAAAATTTTATTAAGGTATATTTTAATTCAAAGTATTCTTTTACTTTTTTTTTATAATATATTAAAATAATAATAATTTATTGATTATTGTTTAAGGTCATTTGAAATTTTGTAGGGTATTAAAAAATAATAATATTTTATTGATTATTAAAGTATGTAAGATATTTTTGACATTTTTTTTTGTATTTTTATATATAAATTAAGTATACATGTTTATAATTTATGTAAAGCCTAAATAATATTTTGATATTAATATGCGACAGACGAGCGAATATTTTATTATAGTAAAAAATAAATATTTTTTAGTGAGATGCACAAAAAAAAAATAACAATAGTAATATTTTTATTTGGGACGGAATGAGTAATATATTTTTAAAATATGTATAATTTTTTAAAATATATTATTACCTTCATTCCAGGTATGATGTTTTGTATATCATAGATATGAAATTTTATGAGTTGTATAATTAAGGAATATTTATATTAATGCAAAATGCTATAGCTACAATACAATTGTTGAGCCTGGAAAACCAATTTGCAGGGTTTACGAGAATGACTTTGTAATTTGGGTTATGGATTGGTGTATGATTCGATGGGCCTGTCAATTGTATTAAGGTTTTTAATGGGTTTGGATATAGGTCCAACGATCAAGGCGTTACTAAGAAATAGGCTTCTTCGAGAGGACCTTCGATCAGGTGATCGGGTGATTCGGAAGTCGGACAAGAGGAGGTCGGACAAAGGAAAAGGAGACAATAAGCGTTTAGATCGGTTGGTATGGAGATCGAATAAAGAGAAATCGGGGCGAAGGAAGATGAGGCGATGGTGTTTAGGCCAGTCGATACGGAGATCGGACAAGTGGAAGTCGGACGAAGGAAGACAAGGCCGTAGATGTTCAGGTCCGTTGAATAGCAGTTTTGGAGCGGTTAGAAGAAGTTACAACTGATGAGCGGATGAGGAGGCACGACCTGATAACGACATTGGGGCAGTTGACATGGGTTTTAAATAGGCTTTTTCACGACGTGAAAAATACATCTTCAATCGACATCAAATTCAGTGAATTTCTTTTGGGATCATCCTTTTACTTTTACAGTCTTTAGTATTTCTTTTCAATTTTCTTATGTATCATACGGTGTTTGTCTAGGGATTTTACTTTTACAGTATTTAGTATTTCTTTTAAATTTTACTTTTTGTTGTTGAAAATCTGCGTCAACAACAATATAAATAATTATAAATTAAAATTAAAATACTTAATCTAATTAAAATTAATTATATATTAAAAAATTAAATACATTATTAAAAATTAAAATATATAACTGTTATGAGAAAACGAGAAAGAAAGCAAATAAAGAACACAGAGGTTTTACGTGGTTCGGTGACGGTGTGTCAACCTACGTCCACGGGCAGGAACCGGAGAGATTTTATTATACTGATTCAGAGATTTACAATGTGTCATCCGACTAAGAACCATAGTTGTCTATTTATAAGCACCCCAAAACACCCTAAACCGTAAGCCTATTTGTTATCGATTAGGATAAGCCCAAAAGGAACCCTGCCAATTGAAACAGCCATTTCGCTTTGGTTTAGGGTCGTGTAGACCGCTAAATCCAAGTCACGTTTCAACAATCTCCACCTTGACTTGGAGTTTCTCCAACCGCCAAAGGTTCGTCAGTATCTCTCAATCGTCTCCTTCCTGCCAGATGCCCCGAGAGGGCTTTACCTCCTACGAATATTCACCAAGTTCAAGCAGTGCTCAAACTTCTCCGTCGGTAGCGCCTTTGTCAACATATCAGCTGGATTGTGCTCTGTAGCTATTTTCTGAATAGAAAACTTGTCTTCCTCCAGAACATCACGGATAAAATTCAACCTTACATCAATGTGTTTGGTTCTCTCATGATACACTGGATTTTTAGCCAAACTCAAAGCACTTTGACTATCACAGAATAACACCGGTTTCTCCACCTTCAGGCCCAAACTCTGCACCAGACCATGTAACCAGATACCCTCCTTAATACCTTCAGTCATTGACATGTATTCCGCCTCAGTCGTCGACAATGCAACCGTAGGTTGTAAAGTAGACTTCCAACTGACTGCACATCCAAACAAAGTGAAGATAAAACAAGTTAGTGATCTTCGTTTCACCAAGTCACCCCCGTAATCAGAGTCTGCATAGCCAACAAGACCATCACCATGGCCTTTATCATCATATACCAGACAAATATCAGACGCTCCTTTCAAATATCGCAAGATCCACTTTACAGCTCCCCAGTGAGCTTTACCCGGATTAGCCATAAACCTGCTCACCACACTAACCGCATAAGCGAGATCCGGTCTCGTACATACCATCGCATACATAAGACTTCCAACTGCACTTGAATATGGAACCGTCTTCATGTAACTAACCTCTTCATCTGTAGCCGGTATAGTGCTTCGATCAAGTTTAAAGTGTGCCGCCAAAGGGGTACTTACCGGTTTGGACTGCTCAACAGAGAATGCTTGCAAAACTTTCTCAATATACTTTTCTTGAGAAACCCATAACCGTCTTGCTTCTCTATCACGCCAGATCTCCATACCAAGTATTTTCTTTGCCGCACCCAAATCCTTCATCTCAAACTCACCCTTTAGTAGAGCCTTCAAGTCATTAATTACAGCCATATTTTTAGCTGCAATTAACATATCATCCACATACAACAGCAGATACACAAAGGAATCAGTAGAAACTTTCTTCGAGTAAACACAGTTATCAAACTGATTACGAGTATAACCATTAGACACCATGAATGAGTCAAATCTCTTGTACCATTGCCTCGGAGACTGCTTCAAGCCATACAGAGATTTCTTTAACAAGCATACCTGGTCCCCTTTAGAACTGTAGAACCCCTCTGGTTGAGACATGTAAATCTGTTCTTCTAGATTACCATGAAGGAATGCTGTTTTTACATCAAGCTGTTCCAGCTCCAGATCAAAAGCACCCACCATTGCCAAAAGAA